TCTAAGCTGTAAGCGGTATACTATAGCTGGAAGAAAACGGCAGTGTATAAATTTATAGTGAGGATTTGTGTGCTAATATTTTGTGTTGATAATAATTCCATTGTTTTATTTTCTTAAATACACTTGCTTCAGATCTATTCAAGCCTAGAAATTAGTTGCGTATCCACTTTTTCTTATTCATTCTGGAAATTATATATGCAAATTTGCTGAATTTAAAAAATGAGAGAGATAAGAAAAGAAAATCCCTGGTTGGTGAAGTAAGTAACTTTGTTTGGGATCTTATATATTATACTTGCATACTGCCACATATTGCATTTATATTCACTGTACGCTGTCGAATTACAAGTCATATACATGGTAACTGCAATTTCACACAACAACGCGGGCGCAGTGTTTTCAAAAAGGGCAACATATAAATTAACCCGTCGGGTACAGCTAATAGATATACTTCATTGGCAGCATATTCAGTAATAACTTTCTCACATAGCAAATATACACATGCAGACCAATACACATATTCATACAGATGCGATCTTGCTACTCAACCAACTTTCTTTCTTTCACATCTTCTCAGAGATAAACTCTACTTAGCTTTCTGCAACCAACAATGCATGCTTGAGCGTATCGTGTCGTTGAGTCATTCATAGATGGACGCTTTTTATGATGCTAACAACGATCATAGCGAGCAAGCGTAGAATGAACTATTAGCACACTAAAAACTACCTAGTCTGCAAGACGACATTTTGTCGGTGTTTTTTGACGTTTTTAGGTTTTTATACAATACCCCTGCCGCTGGCCGATTAATCTAGCTATCCTTTTGCGAGAAAGAGCTAGACGTCTACTCTGCATTTTGCGATGCCCCAGTCCCCAATGACGAAGGTTATAAGTTAGGAAATATTTGAATTTCAAAAAAACAATTATTTTTTGATACTAAACTCATGTAAATCTCCCGCATAGGGCCCTAAAAGTGACTCAACGGGGAGGCAACTCACAGGTTTTACGAATAATTTCTATTTGATGTCATAAAGTTATAAATCACACGTTTCGTGGTCAGCCCCCTCACCTCTCTTCAAAGCAGATCTAACTCACCTCTTAATGGAGTGTGACGTGTTTTTTTTTAAGTTGCAAATCTGGGGAATTTTTGTGCCTGTTCTCGGGGAATTCTGTGTTACCTATTGACGTCTTACCCATACCCATGGGTAAGACGTCAATGGTGTTACCGTTCTGGCAACGCTGGACGTAGAATTACCGACTCTTGGGCCACAATTAACGCATTTGGTTGATATTTTAAGCAAAACTAACATTACGGACCATTTTGGAGTAGTCCTTAAAAAAAATACTCAATACAGATCCAAATCAAAATTTTCAAACAATGAATTTTTAAATGATAATACATGATCTCATTTACAACGGAATACTTCAAGGCGTAGGAACAAGGTGATTTTGGGCCAGAGTAGAAATATAGGTTGTTCGGAAATTCGGGAATCAAGCTTGCCCTCAGTGGTTGCATATATCGCTGACAACGCTTATTGCCGTTTGCACCGCCTAGCTTAACTGAAGCTTAATCTAAGTGGACCTTATCTTAAAAATTTCTGTTGCACTGCTATTATTTGTGACTTGTAAGTGAAGCTCAAATGTCAAAAAGATAAACCGAAGCCTTGTTGAGCTTAAGTTGCACATAGCCAGATAATACAGGAAAATGGTTTTGATTTTCACTCAAGTTCTGAAGGTTGTGAAGAGGTTTGTGAGGGAATATCACGGAACTTTTAGAATAATTAGATGAAATTAAACTCATTATACGTGGAATTCCAACAATGGCAGTTTTACATCAGCGACTTGTTTCATAATAGTTTTTTAATGTTGTTATAATATACTTAGTGACATATAAATCCGAACACCCAGTTTAAATGGTTTTATTTTAATAAAATTTTGTATAAGTACTTAATGAAGCATAATAAGTAAATGATAACATTTTCAAAATGATTGCACTGCTTTAAAGCCCTTTGACCTTTAATAATGTGTGGATGCACCCTGATGTGCTACGCATTCTCCAACGCGCCTAGGCATGCTTCTGATCAGGTGGTCAATGTCCTCCTGTGGTATCTCATCCCAGGCAACCACCAACTCCTCTCGAAGTGCTTCTAGAGTCTGAGGAGGACGTTGCAAATTGAGCGATCTCCTACCCATCATATCCCACACGTGCTCAATTGGGGATAAGTCGGGAGATCTTGGTGGCCATGGTGACAATGTGACATCATTATGTTGAAAGAAGTCTATTGTGACTCTTGCAACATGTGGTCGGGCATTATCTTGTTGGAAAGTTGGATCTGCCAGGGTGTCAAGATAGGGTATAAGATGGGGTTCTAGAACTTCGTGGATATAACGCTGCGCGTTCATGTTACCTCTGATGAAGATTAAAGGTGACCTGGAACCATAAGCTATAGCACCCCAAACCATAACTCCAACAGTGTGATGAACATGTCTTTCAACAAAAAACTGTGGATTCCTCCTTTTACCACGTCGCCTTCTAACCCTGGCACGACCATCGTGCATGCCTAAACAAAATCGAGACTCGTCACTAAAGACAATACTGTTCCATTCCTGATCCCAGAGTGACCGTTGTCTGCACCACTCAAGGCGATTACGTCGGTGTTCTCGAGTTAAAGGGAGGACCCAGTGTGGCCGGTATGAAAACAAGCCAAAACTTCTCATTCGTCGGTAAACACTTCGCATGCCAATAGGTCTTCCGTGTTCTGCAAACCATTCATTTGCAATGGACCTGGTAGTGGAGAAACGGTCCCTTAAGGCCAATAATCTTAGGCGGCGATCTTCACGGTCTGTTGTTCTACGGCGGCGTCCAGTGCCCCTTGCTCTTTGCGTACGGCCTTCTCGAAGCCATGCCTGACAACACCTAACCACAGTGTCTACACTTCTTTGCACTCTAACTGCAATTGCCCGAAAAGAAAGTCCAGCTTCCCGAAGTCCCACTATACGGCCCCTATCAAACTCACTAAGTTGACGAAATCGTACAGGTCTCCGTACTCTAGGCATCGTAACCGATCGTAAAGGATGTCAAGAACCAAAATCCGCCAACGTTGATTCTTTACTGCGGCTGAAATATTCTTAGAGCGTTAGTGAATTAAAAAAAGCAGTATAAAAACCGGAATGTCCAACTGATAAGGCTGAAAATTGTTTCACTTGTTACAGTAAGATAAATACATTCACCAACTTTTATTAAAATAAAACCATTTAAACTGGGTGTTCGGATTTATATGTCACTTAGTATATTTCCTTAAACTTTCCTTGGTGCTTAGATAACTTTCCGATGATCCGGAATTGAAGAAATCAGTAATCGTTTCCCAGGTCTCGTTCTTTTCAAGTTAGGGCATCAGTTTATTTTGTTTTAGATTATATGTTTATATTCGGATAAATATTTCTCTTATAGGGCAAAAAATGGAGATTTTAGGAATATTAGGAATTCTGACACGATGTTATGAAAGCATAAAAATAGGATTCACTTGGTGCGCAATGCTCATTAATTACTAGTAGTTTTCTAGTAGCTCAAAAGTAAAAATTCATAAAAATATACATGGTTGCCAGGTCAATAATATGCTTAACTAAGCACCCTTCAAGATGTGACGCTGCAACATAAATTCAATCGAAGGTTAAAGATAAGCTTCCCTTTGGCAAGTGGTATATTTAAGAAAGCGCTATGCAAACAGCCATTAAAATTTCCGTGTAGCTAAAATTTCTCAGGGCCGCATTTGATCAATTTGAGTGTGAAGAAGTTTACAAAGTTCGATTCTCTTAATAGTAATTTATGGGAAGAGTGTATTGTGTGGGAAGTACCAAGGCAACCTACTTGGCTCCACTTCTTTATATTTAGCCCTCGAAAAAACTTTCGTTTCGCAAAATTGTGTGGCTATAAACAAATAAGTTTATTGCGTCATCAAAAAACACATATCTAGTAATTTTCCTTGAAAATAGTGAAGCGTGACTATACCCAAGTAAGCTATAAGACTATTAAAATACAGCATGAAAAGTTTTTGTGAAAATTTTTATATATAACATTGACATATTTAGACCGAATGACGATAGGATTACATAGTAACCTCAATACATTATACAGTCTTGTTGATAAACTATGCCTCATGCACTACACAAATTTCTTTAATCCCGCCAATAGCGAGTCGATTCTTTAACTAAATTATTCCTTGAAAATTGTGCAGGGAATTTTGCCTTAATGTAACATCTTAGTATTCTGTGTTTAGCAGAAGAAAAAAATTGTCCGAGTAGTTATATACGAGTATAATCGGCCGAGTTTGAATCTGTTAACACATAATGAATATTTCATTGTACATTTGATCCTAGACTAGATCCTAATAAGGCATACCCACCCTTTCATGCAAGTAGCATTCTGCAACTGACATACAGTCCTTAGAAGCAATCTATCCACAACACCGTAACTTACTGTAAGCTCATAGAACAGCAAATTACAGAATCACGAACAGCAGCAATAGGTGCAGTAACGTACTCAAAGAACTGTTATAACTGTCCAGTGGCAGTGTGTTAAAGAGAAACTTGTTCCATTCAGTCCATTTAAGGTGCAAAAAGTTGCTCGAGGCAGAAATGTCTTCGGTGAAAGAAGAAGAACGCCGGTAGACACATCTGGTCTGGCTTGATGATATCCGGATGTGGGGCTAGACCACGCCGCGGTCATGTCCACTCGATGCGTCAGAAATTGTGCTAATTGGTCTCATCATTGGCGCATCGTACGGGCAGGAGTCGAGTCAGGTCAAAAATGGGTCAAAGTCGTACAGCTGTACAGGGTGTCCCTGCATAGAATGACAGTCTCTAGGTGCATATAAAACAAAAAAAATGATGCGATAAATTCTTCTGAGGAGAGACGCTTCTCTAACAGGCAGCCTCATCGCTATTCCATTTTTTTTTTCATGAAAAGCCCAAATAGTACATTGCTGGTTCTGACAAAACCTAAGCACGTCTTTTTGATGCCATTGCACCGAATGGAAAGTTCTACTACAAGTTGTTTCGATAGCGTGGGAGGTATAGAGTCAATCCACTTGACTACATTTTTTATTGGTAAAGATCACATTTGAAGGTTCTTGCTCTGCTGTTGACATGAGCCATCTTTGAAAGGTGGGGGAACCATAGACTTGACGCCATCTTTTATTTTGTTTGCAGGACCTGATGTACCCTCCATCCATCCCCAGTAGCCATGTCATCTTCTGCCATATGCCAAAACTTCGTCCAGAACGCCTGGAAGAAAGAACTCTGCTCCAACTGCTTCAAGTCCAAAGATGAGCACTCGGCCAAACCAAAACCTAAACCTGTTCAACTTATTTCCACTAAAGAAGTTATCGGCATCATCAGAAATGGGGATCGGAGCAGACCTAAGATGTCCGTTTGTTTTTTGAAAGAGCTTACAGAAGTCATAGGTAAGATAAAACGAATATAATGAAATGGCAAATCCTCGAATGCATATGTAACACAAAAAAATAATGTCACAACCTTCTAAAAAGGTCCTACGTGGTTCCCTATTGAACGAAACTGCATTATTCAACACAATTTTGATAGAACAGTAACGCAATATTTCCAGTCTTTCAAACCCAAGAACGACATCTTGGGTTTGAAAAAAAGATCTGTTCTTGATTATCATCAATAAAATAAGCCTCTTGTTTCAGTACAGTTCTATCAATTTTGACTCCGAACCCAGTACACTAGTTCGGAAATTTCGAAAATATAGTAATTGCAATAGGGTAAGTCGAGGAAAGATGGCCATAGAGGATAGACGGCCCAGTCTCTTTATTTCGCTGGGTTTCTGGTAGGTGGCGCACATTGTACATTACTGTCGTCAGCTGCGTCATATGGGTCGGTTGTGGTGGCATTGTGGTCAAAAACAAGATAATCTATCCTATATAATAAGGAGAGATGGCTCTATCTTTTTAAAGGAAAGATGGCCATATGGCCATCTCTACTACGTTTTACGTATTTTTTTCTTTTTTTTAAACCCATCAATTGTTTTCGTCTTGTTGCGAATATATTCGGAGTTACCCACTTTTGATATATTTTTTTTAGATGCCAAACGTGTACGTGCGAAAAAATTTCAATAATCGAAGAAGTTGGGCAGAGGACAACCTTAAAAATGCTATGACAGCAGTTAAAAATGGTTCAATGTCCGTTAGAAGAGCTTCTTTATCATTTCAAATTCCTCGCAAGACCTTGGAAAGAAGGCTAACGATGAAAAAGGGAAGCTGGGCCCTGATTCTTTGTTGGGTACCTACTTCCAATGAGATGAGGATGATTAGACATATCAAAAATATGCAGAAAAGCGGATTTGCCTTAACCAGACAAGATGTGCGCAGGCTTGCTTACGAATTCACCAATCAATTGGGATTTAGGCTCAAATTTAACCCGAAATGGCTGAGGCGAAACCTCACAATTACTATTAGGAAATCCGAAGGTATTTCCCTACTAAGAAGTCAATCTCTGTACCGTGAGGGAGTAAAAAAATATTTTGATTTGTTGCAAAAGGTCTTGGAGGAAAATCAGTTATTTGACAAACCGATGAATATATTTAATATGGATGGGGGATCACCTCTTCTGAGAAGAGAGAAACCATTACCTTAGTAGCCTGCTGCAATGCGGAAGGCACATTCTTTCCCCCAGCAGTCATTATGAAGGGTAAGAATATCAAAAAAGAATTTGAAGACCCCGTGGGAGCAAGCTTTTTATGTCACCAAAGTCAGCATACATGAATTCACAAATTTTTTGTCTTGGTTGAAGGAACAGTTCACTCACAGAAAAGACACTTCTGTTAGTAGATGGGCATACGTCTCATTCTACCTCTGTTGAAATGCTGGAGTATGCGAAAGAAAATGACATAATTTTGCTATGTTTTCCTAGTCATTGCACCCATTTCTTACAGTCATTAGATAGGGCTACTATTAATAATGCTGTTAGTGGTTTCAGAAGTACCGGTATCTTCACATATAATCCAGATGCCATACCGAACTGCGCTTTTGAAACACCAGACGTGGCAGTTCAAATTGGGACTCAAAACTTATCCGACACTCAAGATAGAACCTTAGAAAATATTGGTGAGGACCAAGTTGATGAGCCAGCTTTGATAAATGAAGATATCCATAATTGTTCAACCGCTATTAAAAACCTTCCCGAGAATAACATTCAACCAGAAGGGACTTGTCAAAATCTGGAAACAGTAGTAACCCCTATCAGTAAAATGCTGGCAGATATATCGCCCGTGCCTTAAGAGTTGAAGCTGCAAAAAGACGGTCCAGATCAGTTGATTCAGAGTTGACTTATACATCAAACATTGAGTCCTGTCGGGAGAAGTTCAAAAACTGAAAAGTAGGAAAAGGCGAGGAACGAAAAGAAACCAAGAAAAGAGAAACTGATGATAATCCTAAAGTCAGTAGAACCAAGGAAAGAAAGATTAACAGCTGTTTTACAGTATCTGACGAAGAACCCCTCGCTAATCTTTTGAGCAAAGAAAACAAAAAAACAGAAAAAACAACCTGAATGACAAGGATATCGGCGTTGTGGACATCTGCTTAGTCTGTCAGGAATTTGGTAAGAGCGGTGAAACTTGGTATTGGTGCATTTACTGTGGATAATGGGGTCACAAATTATGCAGCGGGCAAAGTACCCCTGCAAATTTTATTTGTGATTTGTGTTCTTCTAATATTGCAAAGTAAACTGCTCTTAGTTTGTAGAAAAACATGTATGCGGCACTTTTTGTGGGTTCCCATTTTATTTTTTTATCCTTTATGTAAAAATAAAGTGTTGTGTGCGTCTAATATGACCTAAGTATTTTATTTTCCTGCGAAAAAATCAATAAAATCTACCTGGCCATCTCACCTACAGTCTGTAGGAGAGATGGCCAAATGCCACTTTTTATGACATGAGAATTATTGAAAAAACTATTTTGCTACTCGCATTGAATTTTAAAGGTAATCAACCTTTACATGAAGGAGTTATTCTATACCAAATTTCAAGTTTGTACTTTCCATCTATCAAACAATATAACCAATAATAAAAAGTATGGCCATCTTCCCTCGACTTACCCTAATAAATTCGTAAAAACTACAGGATACAAATCCTCAGATCACTAAATGAAGTTTTGGGTTTTTTCGATCTCTCTGGGGATCCATTGCAGTATAGATTGGACATTATTGAAAAAAAAGACAATTTTACTAAAAAACGACTCTTTCACTGCTGGTACACACAGGCATTCAAGTACCGCGCAGCAAAAAACGCTCATTTAGCATTACCTTGGTGTAGTTCACGCTATGGGCAGACGCGTTCATTGACGAAAGAATTATTTGAATTATTTGTCGTATGTTAAGGGAACACCCTGCTTAAGAGTTTAATATACGGTATTTGGGTTTCAGTATGAATCAAGAAAAACAGCATATTTTGTTGAATAATATTTTAATTTTGACAGCTTTTATAGGTACCAGGAGAAAATCTGTGGCCAGGGGGGGGGTAACATTTAAACTATGAAAGAGATATAAACACCATCAGCTAAGTAAATTCAATTCTCCCTTATTAAAATAAAAAGCCTTCAGATTCATCAGTTTTAAAATAAACCGTATAGATTGAAAGCTCACAGATCATCATGGTGATAGTTGTGTTTGGAAGCTAAACATTTTTTTAATAGCGGAGCACAGACGTTACTTTCATGTTCTTAATATCTTAAATAAATGACAAAACGTAGAAAGTATGAGAAGAAGAAGAGTTAAAAAACAATTGACTCGAAAACTACCAGGGAAGTGCATCTAGGGTAGTGACAAAAACATATAAATACATTAATTATTGTATTATTGTAAGTAATTTATGACTTTTGCATTCAAGAATCGTCGTCTTTTACATAGTTTCAGTAATGTACCATTGAAACTCACAAAGATTTATTTCCCAGGACGAATGACAAAAGGGTATCTGCCAAACTGCCGACACTATGTGAGCAACTGAGGCGTGCCTGGTTTCAATAGGCCAAATTGTGATAGTTTCAAACCATAACTTTTTGATTTTCTATGCATTGATCAGTGTTAAGTCTTGAACTTGTCAAGTCTACACGAAAATATGCAATTTGTATTGTACCAAGTAAGAGTGACACAATTTCCAGGAACCACAAGGCGTTTTTATGTATTATTCATGTATTTATTTATGTATTGTATTATTGTAGTATTCGTATATTGTTCTACAAATTACACATATAGGGATTTATTGATATTTGTAGAGCATGCATTCATCCATCATGAAACATTTTGTCAATTTTTAAGCATACTATGCCTAAATCTTAGTGGTTACCTTAACCTCAACGTATGCTCCAAATAAAGCATGAATGTCACACCATTTGGATGGTTTATTTCCTCAATTTATCGATTTGCTTAAGACTTTTTTGGCAGAACATTGAAATCCCAAATACTGTTTACCCGTCAGTAAAAATGCATTATCACGCTTTCGTTCCCTAGGTTATGGTGGGGATGACTGGTACTCAGACACTGAAGATGAAGTTGATGAAAACGAAAGCAGTAGCGATGGTTACATTTCAACAGATTCAGAAGGTGAAGAATGCCATGAAGAATTGAAGAAGATTACTAAAGCAAACACAGACTTCAACACAACATCTTTAGGTAATCATTCCTCATTAGGTGTTGATTCATTTCATTGTTTGGAAATCTCTTAAGTATAATCGCACCGTTAGTTTAATTAGTGAAACTATTGATGAAATTTTTCAAAACTCCTTGTATGTTGACATCGGATAAATTAGATGCTTAGAGAATCAGCTGTGAGTTTTTTGTTGAGATCGACGATAGAGCCAAGAATACCCACTTTCACAAGGTTTTATTTAACTTGACCTGTTTGTTAGTATGTGTTGGACAAATCTAGTAACCATTTTAATTTTAAACCAGTTAACCTTGATCAATTAAGCGGAAATTTTGTACACGCGTTTGGTTTGCGTGGCAATATGAAATGAACTAACTGACGCTATTTTAGTCTAATATGGCGGATGCTACAAAATGGCGATTTAACATAGTAACGCATATGGTATGGCGTATGGCGGCCGCTCTAAGATAGTTTTTATAATTCATCCCTATGATATGGGTATCAAATTGAGGAGCTTGATCAGAGGAACATAACAAGCTACGTGACATCATTATATATCCAATATGTCGGCCGTCGCAAAATGGCGATTTACTTTTTTCCTAGTGTAATGATAAACGTATCAAATGGAAGGGCTTAATGAGAGAAACATAACAAGAAACGTGTCACTCTAAGTCCAGCATAGCGGCCTCCGCAAAATGGCGATTTACAATTTCCGTAATTCCCTATACCAGGGGTAGCCAAAATAAAGGGGCTTAATGAGAGAAACACAATAAGCAAAACGTCATTCTAAATTCCATATCGCCGCAAAATATAGATTTGTCATTATGACAATTATACAGGGTGATTTCGAAGTTGAGTCATTTATTTTAACAGTGAGTAGATCTGATCAAAAGAAATGTTTTTTTCCTATCACATTTTTCTGGTAAAATTAAAGTAACAAAGTTATAGCAATAATATTATGTGCTCGTGTTTGGCAACAACGGATATAATCCGCCTTATCGGTTCATCGCATCGGAAACAAAAAAGCGAAAGAATTTGAAACGCTTATGTTTTTACTACAATTTTATTCAGTTGTATTCAGTCAATGTGTCAGTCGGTAACGCGTGAGTGAATATAGGTTTGTTGCGTGGCTCAAACGAAATAAAAAATGGCACATGTTTACGAAAATGCTGAACTTGTGGACATGATTCTTATTTACAAAATGCTGCCGCGGCATCACGGATTTATGCGAATCGGTTTCCCAATCGAGTGCAACCAACCCCTCGTGCCTTTGTTAATGTAGTACAAAGGGCTCGTGAATCAGGTGACTTAAGACCTCACAGGGGAGGGCATGCCGGTGCTCCAAGAGGGCACGATCAAATACAGGTCCGCACTGAAATACTTGTCGGGAGGATACTTTATAAAACAAGGTATCATTTTTTTTATTTTTTTTTTATTTTTACACACATATTTTGGTTTATCTTCCTTCTAGAATCATTATCTGAAAATTAATGACTCAACTTCAAAGTCACCCTGTATATAAATTACCAAACTAGTTATTTTACATCAAGAACACTAAAAAATAAAAAATAAAGAAATAAAAACAAGTTTTTGTTTAACTGACAATCAAACGTTTTTGTCCTATTGGAAATATTTAAACGACAATAAACCCCTCCATGCCAAATATTCAAATAAAAGGATGTTATGTTTTGATGCCAGGATGGGCCAAGGATAAGGGTGTCACACGCTTTGATTCGGAACTTCATCGCTAAAATATTTCCAATCGGAAAAGATTTGTAGTTCAGTTTATTATCTGTTGAATAAAAGCTTGTTTTTAAAAATGTGCTTTTTTATTTCTGCTGAAAATATGCTCTCGCAATACTAAAGGATTCTGTACTTGCCATAGTCCAAATAGGCCTTCCAAGTTACCCCAACGGGCATACCTGTCACCTTATTCGAATGTCCAAAATTATACGTACGTAATATAAATTTCCTAATACTTTCTTTCTAATTGTGGCACAAATGGGTTGTCCTAATAATGATAGTCTCACGAATGTATAGCTGCTATATAAATATGTAGAGCAAATATTTCATCATTCTCAGATTTGTTGAATGTTTCTTAAAATGATTCGAATAGCTTAGCTCGGTATTTAGACCGATAGGTATTCACTGTTGGCCAGATTCGCTTTCCACTTTAGATTTCCGCGTGTATGAGAGAAGCGATAGAAATGTGTCAGAAAGACTGCGCCCTATAAGCGTCCTCACCACATTGCCTGGAAAGATTGCATCCGTCATGTTCAAGAGACAATCGAAACAAAGATGTGGTGTCTGCAAAATATAATCGATATCGATCAAATTGAAACTGTAACAACGATATCGAACACGGCCACCGATATATTTATCGGGTCGGTTTTTGTGTAAAACTATTCATTTAAGGCAATGTATTTGTTAGGCAAACCGATACCGATACCGATAACGACACCGATAATATCGGTGTGTGTGAAACCGCGCTAATAGTTAATATTATCCATTCGGACGATGATTCAAGTACTTTCAGCGAATACAGAATTGTGAAAAGTATGTGCACTTTTTTCTATAAAAATATCATTTATTTTGTTATATTATTCCAAGACCATTGAGGAAAATACTGACCTGTACAATCTCACTTTTGGGCATGTTGTGTTTTGTCTGGCAGTAAATGGGCTACGAATGGGGTATAGACATAGACAATGAAACAAAAAAAATTAAAATAATATTTTCATATGCTTAAAGCATGAACACACTATATATGTAGATACGATGTTAAACTCATGGAGTGTGGGTGAAGCCAAACATGTCAACGGTGACATGAGTTGGTACACTCTCTCGTAAAGAAATGAAGTTCAGGTTCTGCGCATGTGGCGTCTCTCCCTGTTGCTATCATCATGAGTGTAAGCAACTACAATTTTGATAGTTTGGAAGAGTTGCAAGCAGAAATATTGGATAATAGTAATAAACCACGAAGTACTAATCCTCCAAAGCAATGCAAAGTGTGAGTGAAATGCGCATAAGGGTTACGGCAGGTTATGTTGACATTATTGAATGCACAGACGCTACGCGCCTTATTCTAAGCCCGCTAGATTTCCGAGAGTCACACCATCCTTACGCAGTTTATGCTCATATCTCTAGTCTTCGTGGCTCAGAGGCACTATACATGCTTCAGACTATTTGATCAGAAGGTTGAATAACTTTTTTCGGTTATTTAAGCAAATATCGGATTTTTTACGGAGCTGTAGGAATAAATTCAGAGAATATATTTTTTACTTCTCACGCAGACGGACGAGGAAGTATTGTAATTGAAAAAAATTTCGGAATCAGTATATTCTGTTTTTTTAGTTTGCATATTATGTGTAGCACGAAAAACCATGTCACATATTTCCGTCTGTCTGTCTGTCGTCTATCTAATCCTTGACCCTTCTGTAACTCTTCAAATACCACCGGAATTTTGATAAAATTTTGCCACAATGTTTCAGTTACAGAAAATCTTTGTTGATTTTGAGCATCTATTCAGTAGCGGCGAACCGGAAGGTTTTTGTTCTTCAATATTTTTTTTTATTATTTTAGGCGGTGAAACATTTTTTGGTTTCTTTCTTGCATGGAATTTTTAAAACTGGTCAACCGGTTTATTTACTCTATAAGTTGATTCCTCTTGGAAAAAAAAGTCTGCGGCACAATGATCTACTTTCCATTCCTATACATCGTACGTCAGTTTTTGAAAGGACCTTTACTTATAATGCGGTCAAGTTATACAATTCTTTATCACCTAACTATAAGACCTTACGTTTGCAGAGCTTCAAGAAAACAGTTAAATTGCACTTTCTGGGCACAGCACGTTGAGTGATAAATTCAGCGTGCCAAATGATAGCTTGTTTATAATAGGTCCGTTCTATTCTTTCTATATGTTCATCATGTTGTTATCCTGATGTTTTGTGATGTCTGGTTGTAGTATGGTTTAGTTGTAGAGTAGCCATCGCTAACTTCGCCATCCTATGATCATTTTCTGAACAAAGACATTATTATTATCATTAAAATTTGTCTAGCTTACAATCTTACAAAAATTGCTTGGTGGTTGTTTTGGACACAAGTTTTTGTCAAATGTAGGATTATGTTGAACATATTAAAATATGACTATGAATATTTTCTACGGACTTTCTCAATCAATAAGTTTCTTATAATATTGTTACAGGAGACACTGAACCAAAAAGATCTTTCACCCAGCTCCTCCTGGGCAAACCACTGGTAGATTCTTCAGGCAAAAAACAAACCCTGTTAGTATCTGTAACTCCATTTGGTGAGGAACCATCTTCTCCAGTCAGAAAATCAAATACAAAATCCTTCTCGCATATACCAATAGCCAAAAACAAAGAAGTGATTGCAGAAAACAAAAATAGCAACGTAGTTTTGACTTCATACACGAAAAATGAAGAAAAGGAAGAAAAGTCGTTATTAGATGAAATAAATGAGACTTTGGAGAGTGGCAGAAATCCAATAAGTATTATGAGTAAGAAGAAGAAAATTGAGAAAGAGATTGTGTTGAGTGTTAGTGAACTCGATAAGGAGAATTTAGTGCAAGAAAGAGATAAGAATGATGATGAGATTGAAGAAGGAAGAGTTCAAAAGGTAGGTTTCCTATAATAGACACAGAGTATAAAGTTATGGGTGGGTCAAGTCAGACGATAGAGGTCCTCAATACCCATAGATTCTGGACATATTTGCGATTTTGTGAAATTTTGAAAAACAAAACTTTCAAGCTCAAATACAATTAGCTTAAATAGGCTTAAATGGTTGGCCGTATCAATAGTTATAACATTTTGCAACGGAACTAAATAAAGATCAGTGCGAAAAATGTTTAATTCATTTTTTTGTGAAAAATTGGGGTTGTATTTCTTTATGCATTTTATCGAAAAACTATTTCAATCCATGTAGGATCAGTCCTCAAAATTACATCATGCTACGGTGCACGGGTAGGGTAATTATTTATGTATTTAAACAAGAAGAATAGTGTTGCGTAAAAAAGTTAGGTGTGAATACTGGTTCGAGTGAAATTTAAATTTTTCAACATCGTGCCTCAAAACTAATTTTCAAGATTCAAAATTTTTGAATCCTAGTTAACAATGCCAAAGCAAAGACCGCCCACTTTACGCCCTAGATACATAACTAACTATTATAGGTGGTTGTCAGCGAGAAGAAGATCAACCTAACTAGAACGCCAGCTCTGAAACGAGACGTGGAAAAACCTGTGATCTACCAAACATCCACTGCTAAAATCGAACTGATGAACAGCAGGAATCTGAAACTAAATAAAGAGACAACCAACAACAAAGCTAAGAATGACAGCACTTTACACATAAGCAAAAATGAAGTGAACAACAATACGACTAGTGAGAATAAAGAAATAAAGAAAGAGGTTGTTGAAGTAACGAAGACTAAAGAGAAGAAAGATGAAATTAACGCAAATGTAGCTGAAAAAGGCGAAAGTGTGAAAGAGGATAAATTGGCTGCGTTGCCACCTCCAGTACCTGCAAAAAGTTCGTTGGTCTTCACTCAAAGCAGGGAACAAGCTGGTAAGATCGATAAAAAATTGTTTTCGTTCGACCGCCCAAAAAAAGCGTTAGCGTGGAAACACATGATTGGAAGTCCAATTCAGATTAGCCCAGAAATATTACCTTTTCAGTTGAGAAAATATTAATTTCATTTATTCAAATTTCAAAAAGCAGATTGACACATTTCGGCAAACTTTTCTATATTTTTGCTTCGTGGCATCAGCGATTCCAAGAAACATCCAAAATTTGTCGATTTGTTTAAGATACATAGGTTTTGTTCCAGGCAAACCGGATGGTCGCGAAGACCCCCTCTCTTCAGAAGTACCCCCTTTACCTGTAACTCCTCCTCCAGTACTAGAAACTCAAACTTCCTTCCTCCATGGACCTGCCCCCAATCCCCCAATCTATGAGAAACCTAAAATTCCCGTCAAACCCGCTGCTAATATGCTGATCAGAAAGCCTCAGATTGCTCTGAGCACCTTCTCTTCTGATCCCGTGGAGAAACAGCCCCTGACCAAGCAGGATTCAGGAGAGTTGGATGGAAAGTCTGGCAAGAGGAAAGCACCTATGCCTCCTGACGATGGACAAGGTTTGTAGGTTATGTTCTTGTTAAGTTTAGAATAACAATTATTTATTTCCAACACACTAAGATGGGTTGACTATAGAAGGCCACTTCAACCTTTACTTATTGGATAAATCGAACAAACAAATCATTAAGTAACTCGCGTAAATCGCGATGAAATTCTAAAATGAGATATTACGTTATTGGGATATTAGAATGATACAAATATTTTGTATATAAAGAACTCGTACACTAGCCGCTGCTCGCCCAACGGTGAAAACCGACTCAACGAATGTTTTACTTGGACAGCTGGGAAGAGGTCAATTGGGACTGCCAGGGTAATATAATAATTGAATATGTCTAATCAGATATTCTGAAAAGAATCTCATATATTTTCAGTACCTTTTCTGAAGCAAATAATACCAGGGCATACGAAAGTTTGTCCTCAATTGTTAAAAAAGACTCACAATACTTTTTCTCCAATCATATTGAAAGCCCATAATTTTAATTTTTGACAAATCTACAATGCCTTTTCCACTGATCTTCATTCTGCTCTTCGGTCTTATGCCAAGTACAGGGATTTTCGTGGCGGCCAATCAATACAAAGATACAAAATTTAACTGAGATACAAAGTCCATTTGTCTAGAATTGCATATTAAGTACGGAGTCATCTTACTTGACGCCTTTTTTTAATGCAGCTAGCCATCATTTATTGAATTTAAGTTTTACTAAATTCTCCCGAGAGGCCTTGCAATGAAGAAGGCTCCAAACAAGAATGATATAATAAATCATTCGTTTAATTCAAAACTAAATTGTGATAAACATATCTGCTTATGCTTAAGCTACATAAAAAGGTATTTCATCAAAATGAAACATCAAATAGTTACAATAATATATATTATTCTTATAAAAAATACTCAACAACCTTGATAAGGGGTAAACAAATTCAAACCGACCAAAATGAACTTCTCATCCTTGTGAGGCCAAAATGTTCCAGATGGTGTTAAAAATCTACAGTTTAGTAAATAGTGAGTTGGTTCAATTTAAAAACCGGTCTTGCTGAGCGCTCATATTATAATCTTAACGCAGTTTGATGGGGGTATGAACGAATTTGTCATCGCATGGCAATAACAATGACTTTCTAAGAATTGGCCACCAAAGAGCATTGCCATCCATTGTGCACCTTACTACTTAATCTGCGATCCTGGATGATTTATCCTTGAGCCTTGATCCTCCTCAATCAGTGATAACTCGAACGTGTTGATCGCTCCTCGACAGTTGGTTCTAAATGATTGATATTTGATTCTTGATTATTGGTCCATGATCACCAATCGTTCATTGTCAGTCTACTATCTTTGATCTTTGCCCTTAGCCTAACTGCTTTTTGACAGTCGTGGTAAAGCGGCATCCAGACTCTGCCTTTAGGCTTCTTTGATATAATAATCAGAATAAAATACCTATGCTCTACAACATTTTACAGGACCAATATACACAAGAAACAACAATGCATTGACCAGCACGGACGGACCAGTAGTCAAAGAAAAGGATAAGAGAGATAGAGCCTCTTCTTGTGCTCCCAAACTGACTGCAAGTTTGGATGAAGTAGATTACGCTTCGCCTGAACCGGCTCCTAGAAAGTCTCTGTCTATCTCGACCGATTGTCTGGCTACTGAAGAAAAACGGAAACAAAAAGCCAGGTATAAGTGATTTCATAAACAATAAATTTTCAAAAACCTTAACTTATTGCATCTCGAATCTAACAGATATTTCGATAATATTTTGAAACTATGAGAGGGTCAAAGTTCACGTATGTTCGTAATTCTTAAATTTGCTTCAATTTTCCTGAAAATGTTGAGTATCATCCTGCAAATTTATATTAATGTAAGACAAGTCCAACATATTTGGTTCCATTTTTTGTTATTTCTTTACAGGTTTTCACTGAAGAAATTCTTGCGAATGGGTTCCAGCAAAGACGTATCCAAGCTTGGACAAGACGAAACTACTAAGACTGACGAGAAGTCTGAATCCCAGTCCAACTCAAAGCCTAGATTAGTTATTGTACATCCTAGTGAATTAAATGGAAGCAAGGTAAGCATCATTTTATCTCGTGGAGAAGTATTGCAAAAATCGGATCTGAGCTGTCTGATTGCAATTTTTCAGGTAATAATCTGGGGAAAATAAAATACTATCTAATCCTTTAATTTCTTCTTTTTTAGGTGGAAGTAGTCGCAACTCCCGTAGGCTTAACCCCGCCCAAATCACCCTTAGCCCCTCCCACTCCAACGTCCGCACCTCCCTCACCAACCAATCACGACTACGCCTCTGCCGATATGGGTGGCGACTACGAAAGTTACGCCCTCAGTGCTCCGCCCAAGCCGGCCGTTACGAAACCCCCTCCACCTCCGAGAAACTTAGAGGCGGGACATGCTGTTCGACCGCCTCCAAAATCGTTCGATGTGCTCAGCAGGCAGAGGCAGAGAGCAGGGTCGGAGCACGCTGTAAAGAAAACAGAGACTGTGTACGCGAACATCGGGGAAGTTAGGTGAGTCGGTTCAGACAAATAATATATTGGTATTAATTGTAACGTTAACCACAAATGGTACACACATTTTATCTTTGAATCTAACGTTTACCTGATCCTTGACCTTTAACCGGATGTGCCCAGTAAGCAGCAGAGGGAGGAAAATTGTGGTGTTAGAAAGGTCAAATCTATTGTGAATACCGCCAAATGTATTTATCAAGCGGCAGAGGTAGTGCTAGAAGCGATTTCAACCCCAACCCTCAACCCTAGAAAATTAATCGTAGACGTTTGCTCGATCCTCGATCTTCGATCCTTGATTCTCGATCATCAGTCGTTACCCCTCAGTCGTATATACGTGATCCTAGATCCTTCTCTCGATTATCGATCTGTTACTTTCAATTATTAACTTTTAATCCTCAATCAATTATTCTCCATTGCGGAACTTCAATCCTTGACTACGATCCCCAGTTCTTGACCGTCGATTCTTTATCCTTAATTGTTTATTGTCAACCCTCGGGTCTTCATCCTCAAACCGTAATTCTCCTTAATTTTATTGTAAGTTCTGTATCATCAAGGACACAGAATTTCGTAATTTGATCTTTGACTTTGGATCATAGATCCTAAGTCCTTAAACTTTGAGTCTAGATCCTCGAATCTTCATTCTAGATACTCGATTATTGATTCTCTAATCGTCATACCTCGATCTTTGTTCTTCAATCCTTGATCCTTAACCCGCAGACCTTGGTGCTTGGTCTTAAATCATTGAGCTTGACCTCAACCTAAGCCTTTTTGGAATTTCAGATCAGCAATAGTCCCGAACAAACCAGTGCGGACAGCTAGCATGAGAGAAAGGGAGGCCATGCAACAAAAACAGATGAGAAAAGCCAATCACAACTACGAACCGATAAACATCAGAGGCAAGGATAGTACCGAAAACGTGTATGACTACATCAACTCTACGAGATCCAGTTCACCGGATAGTGATTCTAGCAGAGGGAAGGGCAGTCCTAAGGCTAAGAATATGAGATTAGGTAAGAATTTTAAACAGCTGGATACTCATGCCACCCAGCGCCCTATTCCGTAAAAAGTAATGGAAGTGTAATAACTAAAAAGTTTTGCATGTAGTAACTTGTACTAATAACAGATATTGTGTAAGTTAAGTTCGAAACACTGGTACTACTCCATATTTTACAAGTTATAGGACCATACCCGCAAGTTGGATGTTCCATGAAAGTATTCGTACAAATGGTAGTATTTTTTTATTTCAAATGCATTTGCTACAACTAGTTATAGTTTCGTAGAAAAGAGTAGAACAGGCTGAGTCAAATGATGATAACAAGACTTATAGAGGAGATCAAAAGATATTTGGAAGGTGCTGATTTTTTGGTAGTATTAATTTTACTATAGGATTAGAATTCAATAAATGGTAAATATAGGGAGTTTAAGTTACCAGTCAAGATCGTCATCATCAAATATGACTAACTTAGCACTTCACATTTTTTTGAAGACTTGGTATTTTCAGGACGAGGGTAACATATCTGGTACATTAAAAAAACGACAGAACATCATAGTCGCTTGTCGTTTTGGATGACTAGCTGTCCTTTTGGGAACGAGACTTTCAGACAAGTGTAATAACACACTGTATAAGTATGTCATAATGAAAAGAAAAATCAAACTAACAGTCACCTGGAAGACAGATAAATCAAATATATGTCATTGTACTGAAGAGAGTCACATCTTTATTAAAAGGTTTACTACAGTAAAGATCTGTCAATACATGTGGTTTTATTGGCCAGACAAAAGTTGGGGATTATTATGTACTAGTCTACTATTTTTATTAATTGTATTTTTATTATAATTTACCAAAGTATCATTTTATTTAGGAAAGAGATCGGAGAGCAGCATAGACGTATCCAGCGAATACTTCAAATATGGTGGCATCCCCCGTAGCATGTCCCTAACCTACTGTGGTAGTGAGACCGAATCCGAAATCTACTCCCCATACGGTTTCTATGGAAGTGAAAGTGAGGTCACCGAAGATGATCATGACTGGATTCAGAATGGGCGGACGCACAAATTGAGGTCGCGTAAGGGTAGGAGTATCGTTCATAAGAATTTGGAGGATAACTATGGAGCCGTGGTGGTTGCTAACCATGAAGCACTGGCGCAGGTTTTGGAAAATGTAAGTTTTGTAGCAATTGTTTGAATTTTGCGATTGCCATTTCTCGAGGATTTATACAGAACACTAAGCTGTGGCATGTTTCTATAAAATTATTCTACGGAGCTTCCCTACAAGGGACGCAACTTGGAATTTTTTTCTTAAATTACTTCTGAACGACACTTAATAATTTAACGAATTGTTGACTTTGCCCATTAGGGCATATCACCGTCGCCTTTGTTCAAATAAACATGCTGTTTTCTTTCGTTGTCCCGGAGACCAAACCTATCCCAGACTGATGAGTTACGAAAAGCACGAAGCAGCTATCCATGTCTGTCTGTATTTGGTCGGATGAAAGCAGCTTGTCTAGTTGTTCAATGGTGAGTAGACCATGTCTACTATACCGCCAGTCTCTAGAGATCACAGTGGTGACTGGGCTGTCAAATACGTGGGCGTGCGATGTGTTTCGCTGCTCTCTTCCTTTTCGGTTCCCTCTCACTGGTCGATTCTGGTAATAGATGGTGCTTTGTGCTATTTTATCTCGACGCAATACTGCTCTTTTAATTCCGACGCCAATTGACGAAAAATGTCTAAATCGAGGTACCTAAGTATTACGAATGTATAAAAGACATCAAAACATGTTGAAAAACAAGCGTTTGTTTAGCTGTTAATAATTTCTAGATGCTGACTAAAAATTTGAAAACATTTTTTTCCGATTGGTTGGTGTGTGGTTTTATACTTCCCTCTAAACGGTATGAAGACTTGAGACGAATGAGCGCCATTATTGTTTTATTGTTTAAAGCTTAACTAGCATAAAACGACATATTTGCAGTCGGATTTTTTTTTAAATTCTACTTTCGAGATAAATGAAAGCTTGTTTTAAAATGTTTTTTTATTTGTTTTTTACTTTTTAGTATTTATTTGGTCAGAGACAAGTCTGGTGTTCCCAGATAGATAATCCTTTTTGGATGAATTCATTGTCGACCATAGCGAAAGCATTTTTTGTTCAAATTTACTTTTGTTTGGACCTCTAATCATGCTGGGGATATTTATCATCCGTTTGCAGCCTAAGAAATATATTTTCCATTCAAGTTGTAAATCACACTGTTAGCGAGTGCTCTTCCCGCCATGTAAACATAAGTTATTCTTAAAATTTGTAAGTAGTGTCCGACCGATCCTTCGGGTTTGCCCATTTTGGTCAAAATCAGAGTTTCGGTTTAGTTTTGGTTTAGAGAGAAAATCCAACCGAAACCGAGACTACCTTCGCAGGTTTTCGGGCGCCTTCAGGCAAATTCATTCAGACCCAAGGTCAAATTTGCCATTGAAATGGCTAATAGGGGGGGGGGGTCAAAACAAGTCAAAAAGTTCATATGACCCATGGTCCAAAAGTCAATAGATTTCTGTCTAAATGGCTTTATAGTTTACAACTTTAAGTGCTTCATATCGACCACAATCACCACAATCTTACTAATTTTTATAATCTAATCTAAAACGTTTTTTAATTGGGTATAACTAACAAATAAATGGCATTAAGTTTTTCTAAGTTAAGCCAAAATGTGTATGTAGTCAATAAGTAAGTAAGTTTCATTAAATTAAATATTTAAAACACACATGACAACAGCCAAGTCGGAGTTTCATCACTCTTATCGAACCGGCAATCGATCGCAAACGGTAACAGCGGTTAGTTATCGTTTTGCATAGATAAATTACTTTATCGTTTTGTCGAGCAGAGCATCGGGCGTGTTGTTTTGTTTTTGTTCACGTACGTCGTCGTGTTTATTTACAATGTTCTCGGATCAAGAGTTCGCCGACATGTTGTTAGTTTACGATGAAACTCGTCAGAATTCAAATCTTGCAGCTCAAATTTATCGCGACAGATTTTGCCAACGGGTACACCCAGACAGAAGGACATTTGTGCAAGTGTACCAAAGACTTCGAGATACAGGAAGTGTTCAGCCCACTAATATTCGCACACGTGAAAGACAGGTTACTGTAGAGCAGGAGGGACAAATTTTAAATATCCTGGAAATCAATGAAGATATCAGCACTCGGGAATTAGGCCGCCGCGTAGGACTATCGAATACCATACTCCATAGAATCGTACGGGAAAATTTACTTTATCCCTACAATGTACAACGAGTGCAGGCCTTATTAGCAGAAGATTATCCTCGCAGACTAACATTCTATCAGTGGTTTTTGCACAAAAACATTGAAAATCCGGATTTTTTAAAAACATTGTAGCGACGGACGAATGTACTTTTACGCGAGACGGGATATTAAATTTCCATAATACTCACACGTGGGCCCAAGAAAATCCTCATACCATTCGTGAAGGTCATTTCCAACAACGTTTTAACATAAATATTTGGGAGGGTATTTTTGACGATCAGGTAATTGGCCCTTTCGAGTTACCCCCAAAGTTGTCAGGAGAAGGATACCTTAGCTTTCTAGCCAATAACCTACCAGATCTTTTGGAACATACCTTAGACAACATGCCGTTACAACGGATACGGAATTTGTGGTTTCTTCATGACGGAGCACCACCCACACGTTTTTAGAGGCGTCATTCAGTATTTGAATGAACATTTTCCACGGACTCTGGCGAGGGAACACGTGTCCATGCAACATGCACACATTCTGGCTCTGCCTACGAGATCCGCCGGGTGGTACCTCCGCGTTCGACTGTCAGAGACCGTCTACCACCTACGGACAATCACAACATCCATAGCCAAGAGAAAAATTTCTCCTGGGACGGGACTCGAACCCGCACATGGCACGGCGACTGATCAGGAGACCGAAGAGTCTACTACTACGGCCACCGCTGCTGCCTAATCTGGAGCTAGAGTAAGAAAAAACTGGGTTCGTCGTAATGAAGCTTATGTGGAAAGTGTTAGGACGACATTTTGAACGCCTTCTTTAAATACAAAGAAAGTACAGTGTGGGTTTTAGAAAGAAAAACAATGTATGTATCAAAATTGTGTTCCCTATTTATAAGTGGATTTTTTAATACGTTCAATGAAGTTTCACACACGAGGTGAAGCGCTGAGACAGTTAGTGGTAAGTCCGTTTTTTTTCAATTGTTTGCATTTTACGAGTACATTATCAAATAATGAAATAATTCCTAAGATCCAAAAATAAGAAACTCCATCTTTATTTACACTGCGTTCCGTCGTAATTTGCGTCTGGCGTTGTCAGATTTTATCTTACGTTAAAGTCGCTTTTCTCTAAAAACTGCCATTTTGGCCCCCATGTATATGTATATGAAACTTTTTGCTTCTTTTAACCCCCTCTATCACACATTTAAATAATGACTATCATAACGTTTAATACGTATAATATCAGACTGTTCAATTATGTTTATACACGATCACGTTCTAATGGCATGTAGCACCAACATTGAATTTGAGTTTTGTACGCCTACAGAAGTATAGTGACTTTTTTATATAATTAAGATAGATAACTCACAAATTATTGGGCAATTCCAGCTCAGGCTCAATCTCAGACAGAATATTCAAAACTGTACAAACTAAATTTCTTAAAAAATACCATAGTTACTAGTCTCTTAGAAATAGTTTTTGTTGTTTGTTTATGAATAATTCTTCTAGAAAACCACTATTTATTAGATCAAGGGTACCTAAATCATCATTCAAAATATCACCATGACCAATAAAATCCATTTTCGAAGATTAAGAATGTATTAGACGACATTTAACCTCAAAAAGTTAAACGTTTAAGTTAAACGCCATTCACAAAACTTTAAACGCTGTTTAGTGCAACAGGCCATAAGTTGTTATTTTTGTTTTATTGTCTGTTTTTTTTTTACAAAATGTTGGAAACAAAAAGTCAATATTTATTTAGTGTTTTAAGAGACATGTAGCACTGTTTTAGTTTTCTTTACCTAAGTCTTTATAATATTTGATAAAGACTAATGAGAAAAGATTATTATATATTATGTAGAGTTTGTTTTTTCTCCAATAAACTGCTATTGTTATTACTAATATTAATTGATAAAGACTGAGTTTGTTTTTTTGTTGGGGACGTACTACTTCTATCTTACCTCCGATATCATACTCTTCAGTTGGAAGTTTCCGTTTTGGCCGAAACCGAAATTTGGATTTATATTAGGTACATGATTTGGTTTAGTAACAGTATCAGTGTCAGCTTGAAATTCAATTTTTTTCCAACCTAAAATTGCTTATTTGGCCAATCGTCGGTGTATTTGACAGTTACCCGTTATTTAGACAGTTTGGCCCTAAGATGGTATGTTTACTTATTTCGTCTGACTTTTCTTCGTAACCACCAAAAACCGTGAAAAGAACTTCATTCAGCTCAGTATAAATGTAGCGTTTTCTAAACATTCTATGCCAATTTGACAACACCGCCACGGTGAATGCAGGGTCACTTATGAGCGAAACACGCAGATTTTTTGTAGAATGTCGAGCAATCTATGAGCGACTCGGCAAACCAACGGTCCGCTCATAGATCGCTGTTATTTGTCTTTTCTTTTTTCATACGCCAGGGTAGTCCAAGGGCTGACCGCAAATTTTTGTTACATAATCGCGTACCGATAAGGTACAATAAAAATTGATCAAAATAAGTAAGATTTGACTAGTTTTCAACAAAATACGTTCATCGATGATGTAATCAAAAAATTGCGGTCGGCATCCTTACTATAATGCAGAAAAACCCAAGGCCAATGGAGCCGATGAAGACATTCCACGAAGTTTCTTCTCTTGATATAACTACTCTGCCAATATCATAGGGATGATCATGAAAATGATAAATCACCATTTTTCGGTGGCCGCCATGTTGGATTTAGAATGACGTCACTTTGCTTATTGTGTTCATTTCATCAAAATTTACTGTTTTCCAGATAACAAAATAAGTGCATATTTCTATTATCTTTGCAGATCCAACAATCATCACACGTCCAACCAGCCCTACGCGGCCTCAAAACAGCCCCTAGTCTCCGTTGGTCCGACTTCTCCGTAGTCTCCGGTCCCAATTCGCCCGTTCTCGCAGGCCACCGGGCCTTCCATCAATCATTGTGGGGCACAGCTGGGCATCACGTGACGCTGTGCGTGGACACTGGAGCGACCGCTGGGGCAAAAGGGGCTTTAGCGTTAGGAGCGTTCGCTGTGCAAGCTGTGACTGAGTTTAGCGATTTGGTGCCTGAGAGGTGTTTGGCGAAGGGGAAAGGGGAGGATGTTTTGGTTCAAGGTAAGGTGAAGAAACATATGATAGATAAATATGCTTTATTGCCGGAAGAATACAATCATTCTTAATGACAAAACTAACTAAAAACTTAACTACAACAAAATTACATATAACATATGGATCTTAATTACATGAATTGTAGAACTCACACATGGTAAAGGTTTACATAATAGAAATTGTTCGAGTTCACGGCGGATTATGTATTTGATTCTTTTGATAGCGCCATAGCGTATATTATTGTGCCTTTCACAAATGTTGATTTAGGTACTACTAATTTAAGATCTTATTTTCAACTAATATCGTACCTTATATTTGATGTTTTAAATTTAAATTTGTTTTTAAAAATAAGAATTGCTGTTTTTTAAAATCTGCAATGATATGAATGTCATTATTTCAAGATTTGCATGCAGCTCTAGGATTGCTTTTAGTTATGTCTAATAGTTCGTTTTTGTAGAATAGTCACTTTTTTAAATAATTTAAGGAACAGACATTCTTTGTATAACCCGTAGGAATCTGAAGAATTTTCGGAATGAGCCTTCCAACTTACCATACCCACGACCTGAATTTGAACTTGCCTAAAATGTGAATAAATTTGAACTAGTAATGTGTTTTTAGTTCATTTCGGTGAACTGGTTCAAGAGGGTTCACTAAAATCAACTAGTTCTAGAAATTTTAAGCAACAATCCACATAATGCATTATTAAACGCCGTCTTTTCTCCGATCACCGGAGCTAAGCAGCGGTTAGTACTTGGATGGAAACCTGCTTCGGAACACCTCGTATTTGTTTTTTTTTTGTTTTTCTATTTTTTTTCATTGTTAAGATGGATGTTTCAAATTTAAATAATACACGTAAGCTGTCGCTCACTTGGTAGATGTAACCATAAGATATACTATACACGTTTTCTAACAATCTCAAATAATGTGTGATACACTTTTATTTTTTTTGTTTGCACCTAAATATGTTTAATACATACCTTTCATTAGAGTTGCCAGATGGGGAGAACGGACCTCTTTTGTATATAGCAGGCGAAACCCAAGCAGTAAATGAACCAAACAAGAAGAAACCGGACTCAAACATCTGGTACCATTTTGACCTTGAGTTAAAACGTCTTTCCGAGTATAAAATCGAGTCGCAGCTTAGATTATCGAACTGAATAAATATTTAATGAGCCACCTTTACCGAGAACAGAGGATCTGATGTGGTGACAGGAAAGAGAAACAGTCTATCCCAGATTATTTGAGATGGTTAAAAAACCTGTGTGCCTTATAGCGACATCTGTGCCATGCAACCGATATTTTTTCAATGACTGGGCAAGTCTTTTCAGAAAGGAGAAATAGACCAGAAACCAACAAAGTTCAAAAATAATGTTTTCAAACTGAAATTTGTAGTTAATTTACATATTCAATTTAGTATTGTTTTAATTTATCCATTAGCCTCAAATGGTGATATGTTGTTTAGATGTTAGCTAATTTTTATTTCTTTCATCTTTATAAATGGCATGGTGTCCTAATATATTTTTTTAATAACTTCATTTTGTCCTGTTCGATATCCTTGAACTAAACCACGATCGTATCCAGGCACCAGTTATATAACTTTCTGCTTACTTGGTTGATGTCCCATCTCCTATCTTGTTCTCATTCGTTCGGTAATATCAGTCGTCCATAGTGAACGAGTTTTTTGAGGAATGATGAACTAGTTCACTTACATGTTACTATTTTCTTTTTATATTTCAGCTACAATATCAGTGTTACCATGGCTACAAATCCACACGTTCCAGTCGTACAGCGATTACCTTAAATCGAAATTCCAGAACCCCGATGAGGCGTGGAAAGACTCAAACTTCGTTATGCTACAATTAGTGAACGCACTGAAGATCTTACAAGCACAAGGCATTGAAGAGTTACCTGTTTCGCTCAGTTGTTTTGTACTGTGTAAAGAGATGGAAAAAGATAATCATCATAGGTTATGCGTTTTACAGGTAACTAATTGCTATACAGTAAGTTACTGCAACTACTATACAGCTGAAGCATCTCAAGGAATATGGATGGCAACGAGCCTTTATGACGTATCTGCAACTGTAAATGTCAAATTGCAATGTCTTATGTCGGAATCCTCGAATTAGAATAGATTAGGAATCATACCTATATGTTTACATTGCATTGTTTGTCGCCGAAATTGCGTAGTTTTAGTGCAGAGTTTTGACTCATTTGACTACCATTACCTACCAAAGTGACAAAGTACCGGTGGAAACATCTACGTTCAGTAGGCTTGTGCTGCTCTTTGCAAATTATGCAAGATGTATCAAGTCCTGAAATCGTCACCACAATTATCAGCAAACACTCGTACTTAGCTTATGTCAAGTCCACTTGCAGTATGCACTTCCATCCTGACTAGAGACTGAGCCTGACCTAGTATTAATTCGTTCGTTGGAACTGTAAAGACCTCAGTTCGCATTTGATAGCCCAGTCACTACTGTGACCGCTAGAGGCTGACGATTCTGGCGGTATAGTAGTTGTGGTATACTTGCCGTTGAATAACTAAACAAGCTACTTTCATCCATCCGACCAAAGACAGTCATCCATGGGCAGCTGTTTCGTGCTTTTTGGAAACTAATCAGCATGATCTGGGCTTGATCTCTGGGATAACAAACTATCTATCTAAACTATCCTCTAAATTATGAGACCTATTTAAAGTAAGACGCAAAGTGCCATCTATTACCATAATTAACCACTGCGAGAGTGTATAGTAGCTATCGGTTGGAACTGTAAAGATCTCAGTTGGCCTATGATAGCCCAGTGCGACCGCTAGAGGCTGACGATTCTGGCGGTATAGTACATGTGGTCTACTCGCAATTAAACAACTAAACTTGCTGGTTTCATCCGTCTGCCAGAACAGTTAGCCTTTAGCGAACTGAGACATTTACAATTCCAACCCATAGCTTCTATAAACTCTCGCAGTGGTCGATTATGATAATAGATGGCGCTTTGCGCTTTTATATCGTATACCTTGGATAGAGGAGAGTTGCTATGCTTTCGTTTGTTGTCCCAGAGACCAAGCCTAGATCATGATTATGAGTTGTTGAAAAGCGCGAAACAGTTTCCATGGTTGGTTATCTTTGTTTGGACGGACGGCACCATGTTTAAATACCGAGCGATATCACCCAGAGAGAAAAAAATCAAGAAATCAAGCTACAAGGTAGTCTACGCCAATTTGGCTGTTTGACTGACACTCAGCGACCGTCCAGTGATGCTTCAGAACGCTTTTATAAATTCCTATATTTAATTATGTTCCTCGATTAACTATGTCTTATTGTTTCAGCCCGATTTGACAACAGACACTGATCCAGAAAAGCACGCCACACTATGCGCATGCGCTTTAAAGGCACTGAATCTCCTTCAGACGTCACCCAAGATCTCGTGTTTACTACAGTCGCTATTAGGTCACGAAAGGGCTGTGTCACTGACACAAGTCAAAAGCGTGTTAGAATTCACGTTATGGGGACCTTCGGATGTAGCTTTAGGAAGCACAGTTAGGGAAAGGGAACTGGCATTACAGAGGTAAGAAAAAAAATGATAGGTCTACCATCGTTTTGGGGCGCCAGCGTGCCACCTCTCGGATTGTTGTTCTGGGATTTCCTTTTCTATCTGAGAAAACGAAATCTTGGGAATAAATACAAGGTGTCCTGAAAGTTGGGACCTTCCTTCTCAGAAACACGTTTGAAATAACAAAGGTAGTTTGCGGTAAAACAGCACCGAAAACGTAAAAAAGAAATTTAAGAAAAATACTCACTATTTATTTGGAGCGGCATTTCATATGTTTTGTGATTACTGCTTGAAGTTATCGCTGTTCGATTCAAAAACACAAGTTTGTTTACGACCCCCTGAATTTGCAACATTTGGGGCTGTCTAGGTCTTCTACTTTGTTCACCCAGATGGATTTTGCACGATATAAACGAACCTAGGCAGCTCTGATGGATAAACAGGACCATGGCGACATTCTGAAAACTCGAATACACTCGCGGAGTATCAATAGGATTTGAAGACGGTCACAATAAACTAACATCAAATCGATAACTACTTTTTGGTGTAGGAATGTGCCAATCTCAGTCCTCAAATGCTCTTTGTTTACAAACTAGTTTAACATACACACTGCGCGGTGCCTCATTTGGATACTGACATATGTTACATACACAATACAATATGCATATACGCTGGTATGCATAGTCGATCTCCGGCGACGCACCAGCGGCTCACCGTTCTCAAAAAGTCTATTCCGATGCATTGTTTCTTGGTGAATTTGTAGAACGACAGGCCACTGGCGCGTCGCTAGAAATCGTCTATCGAACTTAATATCTCGGTTATCTGAAGGCTTTGTTATATGTGTTACTAGGAATCTTTGCTTATTATTGCCTGACCTATACGCTCTGTCCCAACTGTGAGGACACCCTATATAAGGGAGGTTAAGGGGTGATATTTCCCTGGAAAGTTGATTCCATGCTTAAGTATAAACAATTTTCTTTAAAAATAAAATGGAGTCTGTTTTTACTATTAGTGGAAGTAACGCGATCCTACTTGGCAAAATTATTAACCTGTGGATGGTCCTGGAGCTGTCGCATACGCCAGAAAAAACCAACTAAACAGTGCCACCTGTTGGCGAACTACTGACTCTAGGATCTCTAGAACATCCCTCGAATACCAGTCAGCGCGAGTCCGAATCGCAACTCTGATATAAATTTAATATAGGCCACTGATAATTGTTGCATTGTTATAAATTAGTGCTGACGACGAGCAATAAATTAGATATAGTCGTAAGATCTCAATTACACCTAGAAATGACTTACATGATCTGTTTAATGGATGAAAAGTATTTTGTATCAAATTTAGTATGTTAAAAAATATATTTCGAGCGGGTTGGCTGAAAATTTCCTGACATTGAAAAATGACAAACTAAAATAATAATATTGTACCACCATGTGTAGTGCGGTGGGTCACACTTTCAGTTCTCTCAGGTTTTGTCAAATAGTAGGTCAATAGCAGGCACATATACAGGGTGTTTCAGTTTATTGTTGCATAACTTTAAGATTCGATAGAACTTTTAAAATTAATGCATAAAGTCTATAGTCAACGCCAAACAAAGTGGCGTGCACGTCATCACGATAAAAATTCCCCGACCTAATGCCTAGGTTTCTATCACAAACAATTGCTCTATTGCAGTTTCATATTAATGTGATATATAAATTGTAAAATGGTCATTACTCTCTTATTATGGTTAATAGTCATATAAACATTGTTATTAAAATATCACATAAGTTGCTTTCTGATAAATTTAAACGCATTATGCGAAATAAAATGTTTTGCAAACGCTCCAATCACTTATCGACATGTAAACGCACTAAACCGATTTCGCAGCGTTGACACATTGTCACCTTGAAACTTATTTAAACTGGGAACTGACATTTGTATTAATTTTGACACTGAATCAATTTGTGGCATTTCAAATCTTTATAAATCCTTTGGCCCCGCATACTGTAAATCAACAACTGTTTGTTTCAAAACAAAATTATTCATTTTACGAGTAGATAAAGGCAATTTTGGTATATAAAGATGCCCAAACAGTTAAATAGTCGGTGTAAGGAACTCGTGGCCTCGTTAATGCACTACTTTGAGCAAGAAAGGGACAACAACGGGCCTTTGTTGCCTTTAAATGCTGTTCAAGAGGTAGGTTACTAATAATTATATGTAATGTATATTAATAATAGTGAAATTTTATTTCATTTTTTGTAGCGTGTTGCTGCTGCTTTAAAAATTAGTTTAAGGACAGTTAGTCGTATTTCCGAGGGTGTGAAAAGTGATGCAAATTTAGAATCGCCCAAGAAAAAGCGGAGTTATATTAAACGTGTAACCAACACAGCGACATTGGTTACAAGTGCCATTCGAGAAGTGATCTATAATATGTATCACAAAAGTAAGATCTTATTATAATAACTTATCAGAAATTTGCATTAATTTGTTAACTAAATTATAATGTCATATTACACATGGTTTCAGAAGAACAAGTTACGATACAAACTTTATGGTCTCGATTAAGAGATAGGGCATTATTTGATGGTAGTGCCACGTCTTTAAGGCGGTTGCTTAGAGATCTTGGATTTAAGTGGCTTAAGGACAATCCGCGACGAGGGCTCATGGAACTACCAAGTATAGCTTTGAAAAGGGTGGAATTTCTAAGGCAATACAATCAAGCCAAGGTTGAGGCCTTATACCAGTTTGTCTTCCTCGATGAAACTTGGATATTTCAAAATGGGACCATAGGTCGCTCTTGGCAAAATGGAAACCAAAAAAGCGTGAAAGCTATTAAAACAGATGGTAAAAGGTATGTACTTTTACACAATTTGCACTATAAAATTTAAAACTAATATATTTTAGATACATTATATTACATGCTGGAAATGAAAATGGGTTTATTGAGGGTAGTGAAGCGATATTTTCTTCGAAAACAAAATTGAGCGATTACCATGGAGAGATGAACCAGGACAATTTTTTGAAATGGTTTCAACATCAGTTATTAGAAAAATTGGAGAGTCCATCTATGATTATACTGGATAACGCCCCTTATCACAGCATGATATTGAACAAAGTGCCCAACAATGCATGGACAAAAAAAAATATCTATAAGACTGGTTGACAAATCAAAACATACCATTTTTAAACACAATGTTTAAAACAGAGCTATTGAGTATTATTGCTCGGTACATAATGCTTCTTAATTATATATATTTTGGTCGACAGTTTATATTTCTTTTGTTTATTCCTATTCTTAAAATAACTGCTTTTTTAGAAACAAACCACCTAAAATATACGTGATTGATGAATTGGCGGAACAACATGGGCACAAAGTTCTTCGTCTGCCTCCTTACCATTGTATATTTGACCCTATTGAGTTAATTTGGGGCATAGCAAAAGGTTACTATAACAGACATATTGGTAGAGATGGTAACAGTGAAAAAGACTGTTTGGATATGTGGAACGAGGCTCTACAAACGGTTACCCCAGACATGTGGAAAAATAGTGTTCGACATACTGAGCAAGAAATTTTTAAATGGTATGAAAGAGAACGAATTTTTGATCGACCAGACATCGAACCTTTAATAATCAACTTTGAGAGTGATGAAGATTCAGATTCAGACAGCGCTGAAGAAAGAAACTCCGACTAACTTTATTGTACAGAAAAAGCTTACACCAGTAGCTTACCTAATTTTAGAATGCATTTTTCTGTATGAATTCTGAAAAATAAATACCATGCATAAAATTTGGAGGACCCCATTTGGATTTTTATTCAGTACCTTTAAGCTATCAATTAAATATGGTAGTTTCATAGTGTCATCTGATCAATAATTGTCATACTTAATGATTATGCAAGTACAGATCTATAATTTTATTATACTATTATTTTTGTTCTCATTTGAGGTTAATATTGCTTATAAACCTAGATATGTAAATAATAAATTTTATTATTTTACAAAAAGTTTGGCAACAATGTAAATTTTTCAACACACCCACCTTGATGACGTGCACGCCACTTTGTTTGGCGTTGACTATATATAAACATGGGTCGAAAAATGCGTGGCTTCCGAAATACAGGGTGTTTAAATTTACTTTCTAACATAGTTTTTTTCAAATATTTCGAACAATATTTGATGTATAACAGTGAAAATTGGTATACAAGGGTTTCTTGGTACGATAAAACGAACCATGGGCATAGTTTTACTGTACCCGCTAGAGGGCGCTCTCTACTGTACCTGTAGTGTATTAAAATGACCGAAAAATTTTTCTTAGTGCAATTTTTTGCTTGTTGAATAAAAAAACTGATTCTTCGCACTTTTCAACATAAAAAGGCTCTCCTGTGAGTTATAGTCAGCCGTTTTTTGAGATATTTCGATTTTTAGGGTTCGATGCATTTTTAATTATTTATGGGAAAATAATATTTTTTTTACATTTTCGATTTGGGCATTACAAGTAATTAAGATGATCGTTTAGATTGTGTATTTAAACACAGCAATAATTCCTAACTCGAAATAAACACAAAAAAACAGAATATTAATTTGTTTAATTTTCCAATATTATTTTTAACAAATTAAATTAATTATTTACAACTAAACTGCTATTGGATAGTTAGGACAAACATACAAAATCTAAAGTAGTTGCTCGAAATGTAAACCCAATTGTTCAATACACAATTCACATCTACGAATGATCGAACGTGGTATAGCATTATTCAAATAAGGCCTTATTTCATCACATGCATTCCTGATTCTGTCTATTAGCATATCTCTTGTGGTTACGGGAGTCTGGTACACTTTTTCTTTTAGAAATCCCCACACAGAGAAATCTAATGGATTTAGGTCAGGGGATCGTGGAGGCCAGGCGACTGGTCCTCCACGGCCGATCCATCTTTTTGGATAATTTTCGTCCAGCCAGTTTCTAACTATTCTCGAATAATGAGCTGGACAACCATCAAGCTGGATCCAGGCCAATCTTCTTAAATCTAACATAACATCATCCCACATATTTGCATCTTCAGCCTTTAAAAATTCCAAGAAGGTCGCAGCATTTAACCTGGCAGGCAAGAGGTAGGGTCCAAATAGTCGATTACGGTAGATACAAATCCACACGTTCACACTAAATTCGTGCTGAAAATTTCTTTCCCGAACTGCATGCGGATTTTCATGCGACCAAATATGTTGATTATGAAAATTTACCAGTCCACGTCTAGTGAAGCATGACTCATCGGTCCATAAAACGTTACTTAAAAACTCCCTATTATTATCAGTTCTATCAAGAATCCACTGACAAAATGTGATTCTTCGTTCTCCGTCCCCTGGCTGTACTCCTTGCACAGGTTGCAAATGGTAAGGACGTCTATGGTCATTTCTAAGAACACGGTGAACATGGCTTGCAGAAATTCCCAAGGCACCAGAAACTCTCCTAACACTTGTGGTCGGATCTCTATCAAACTCACGCGGAATCATACGGGTAAATCTGCGCTGACGAACATTTATGTTTTGATCCCTTTGGAGATTTCCAAAACCATTTTCAATTATTTGGCGATGCACTCTTACAAATATTGAGCGAGTTGGATGTCGTCTGTTTGGAAATCTTCGTGCGTATTCTCTGGCTGCTTCTGCTGCGTTTCCATTTACAAAGCCATACACAAAATGAATATCCGCTAACTCTTGATTGGAGAATAAAAATGGCATTTTTATAAAACTTACAAAAAAAAACAGGTAAAAGAAACTAAATTTCGTGCATTCACAATGGCAAAAAAATGTTTCAGGTTTCAACAAACAAAACTAACTGTCAGCTAACTGACGTTTAACCTTATTCTGCTTTCAATTTCAAAAATATTTGCAGGCACAGCATACTTCTAAAAATTATCGAGATACTGACTTTTTAACGTTATTTTATCATAAATAATTAAAAATGCATCGAACCTTAAAAATTGAAATATCTCAAAAAACGGCTAACTATAACGAAAATTCACAAGAGAGCTTTTTTATGTTGAAAAGAGCGAAGAATCAGTTTTTTTATTCAAAAAGCAAAAAATTGCACTAAGAAAAAATTTTCGGTCATTTTAATACACTACGGGTACAGTAGAGAGCGGCTAGCGGCTACAGTAAAACTATACCCATGGTTCGTTTTGTCGTACCAAGAAACCCTTGTATACCAATTTTCACTGTTATACATCAAATATTGTTCGAAATATTTAAAAAAAAAAACTATTTTAGAAAGTAAATTTAAACTCCCTGTATTTCGGAAGCCACGCATTTTTCAACCCATGTTTATATAGACTTTATGCATTAATTTTAAAAGTTCTATCGAATCTTAAAGTTATGCAACAATAAACTGAAACACCCTGTATAGTACATATTTCAACTGTTATGTTTCTATGATAGTTTTGATAAAAAAATGGATAAAAAGTATTTTTGTGTGATTGGGACGTTCATTACAGCTTTTTGTAAAGAAAGAAACATTAAATAAGTACAATGAGGTTGAGCTATCTAGAGCATCACTCGATTTTGTTGGTTAACATACCAAGTGTTATAAAAAACTGACTGCTTTTGATAATAGAATTTTTTGTACTGAGAATAAATACAGTGAGTTCATAATATTATGGTCTTTATGAAATCCTACTTGGAAAGTTCTGCAGTTCCGAGTATTTCTCGAGATAGACGAAAGAAACGGAATTTTCCCAAAATCGTTTTCATTTTAATTTTATTTAATAACCGTAATCTCGCCAGGTTTTTTGTGCCAACTCACTCGCGATATACCTTTTAACATACTTTTGACATCAAATACTTTTCATCCATTAAGCAGATGTGTGAAGTTCGTTTCTGATTCGGATGTTCTACTAGCAATTTGTTTAGTGAATATGCGTATTCGTTACAATATCTATATAGTATATAATGATCCTAATTTTTTATTTGACCTTCAGGTGGCTGGACTTACAAAGAGCTACAGTTCTTCATGGACTAGTTTGCGCCAGAGTTCAACTAACAGTCTACGAAGAATGCCACCTTACCTTCTTGGTTAGAAGCAACGCCAGAATGATGAGTGACGCATCTTTACTCATTGAGTCAAGCAATATGAAGCATGCAGTTACCAATGGACATAAATAGATTACTCTTCAAATCCATACTTTTCATTTTCACTATTTTGGGAAAATCTCAGAACGTATGCCTTGAATCTCAAATGGCTTCAGTGAGAAATAGTACATTACATATGTGGGTTGAGAAATTTGCGAAGTCTATTGCGTGAATGAAGCTAGAATGTTTAAACAATCTTGAACAACAAAAATGCTACCTTTTCAGGAGAGAAGCAACAAGAATAGATGGATATATTTTGTGGTCACGATGCTTACATCTCCTATGGGTGGAAGGAGTAATTTTTATATGAATGTCCGCCAAACATTGCTAAATGAGTTGAAAAATATGTTAACGCGAATCTCGGATATATCATTCACTAACCGGAACGGAATAAAGCACGTATTTTCAGAAAATCATAGCGGTTCGTGTATAAATTCACGTAGATACTAGATAGAACCACATCCACTTTTCCGAGATAAAAATGACTTTATGGAAATCTTATTACCTTATAGAATCAAAGTCAACTTAATCAACTTGTCAAAAAAAAGTATTATACGCTTTATGGGGTATGGCTCCCATGTTTACCAAGAAAATCATCCATCAATTATTAGTCGTATTATGTATTGGCAGTATTCTTGATAATTATTCATTTCAACATATTTGAAGCAGCTTAAATAAAAGCTAAAATAGCAAAAAAGTGAAAAAGAGGGCCATGATTGAGATTCGAACTGACTCCTAAATGGACGTACATGATTTGCCCACTTAGCATTACCACTCAGCAAATAATGATTCAGTCGTTACGTTTCAAAAGCGAATACTTGCAGATTCAGTTTTGCGTATGTAAAGTATTTCTTTTTTTTTCCTTTTTTCGTCATGTTTCTAGTAAGTACGTTTGTAAGCCAATTCAAATAGAAAATGAAGCATTTTATAAAAAAAAAACCGTAAAAATCAAAATTTCCTCCCAAATTCGGCGTACTGCGAGTGTTAAAAATCAATAATTGGTTGCCATGACAATAGTCCACAATTATCCCCTAAAATTTCAAAAATGCGGGTCTGATTTTTTCCCCGATAAATCTGCTGATCGAGTCATATTTATATGAAATAGCATCAAGCTTTATTTAGGATTTAGATAATCTTAAATATGAGGCATTTATATCCTAGAAGATTGAACCTAGGGTCATCTACTTTAATCCTAAGTCTTTATATCCGTAAAGACAAATCCAAATCTTAATCTAATCCTTTACTTGGAGAACTGGCTCATCCTGTTAAGAAAATAATCCTAAGTGTTCATATAGGGAATTTTGAATCCTGAGCCTGAAATTATCTTACATAAATCCTCGATATATACATAGTCATTAATGATGATTTTTCAGGTTACGATCAAGAAAAAAGGAATTCATGTGTGCTTTCTGTGATTTTTTCAAAATTATTCTTCATACTCACCTAGGTTGTGGAAAAAGGAGCAATAACCACTTATATCTCGATAACACTAATATTTTTCTTGAATACGTATTAACATTTACCTCTTTTATAATGTACTTACATATGCAATTTAGTTGTATCATTATCGTAATTGTCCGTTTTTATACACTTTTCTACATGTTTGCGTCTGTTTGTTATTTTTTTTTGTAAATACTCGTCAAAACTGCCAATGTAATATACGTAGGATAATTTAATATTTATTAGTTTTTAATTTTTTGTAAATGAAATATACAGTTTACTGAAAGCGTTAATATATTTTGTAAATAAATAAAGATCACAATGAAATTGTTTAATATTTTTACAAAATATTCATAAGTCAACAATAAACGATTTTAAATTATTGCCTTACTATTACTCAATAAATAATATTGCTAAATATATAACAAAAATGGCAACAAAAATTTTAAGTAATTTGTTCCTTAGCTCTAATTCATGAGTTACGTATACTTCTTACGAAAGTGATACCTTGACTTTATTCCTCCTTTACCATTAAACTATTATTGTCCAGTGAAATTCTTAATTCGTGCTTACAGGCCTTTGTTGAAATATACCCTTTCTGGTAGCTTTCCTCCACAATTTTCTTTCATTTTTTCGTAGGTGGCTGGTTCCAACCATGCCAAAGTTGTTGTTTTCAGAGAACTAGAAAACAAAAAACATTAAATTCATACATGCAGGGTGACTTAAAAAATAGCGTTCTGAGAAAAAGGTTAGTTACGATCATGATAACAGGGAAATTAAACGGATCAAGTCAGTCAACAGGCCCATACAATTAGTCGATAGGCATTCCATATGGGAACGTAGCATCTCCTCGATACATGACCGCAGGCCCGCCGGTGAACAGAGAGCAGAAGGAGGGACGCGTATCGGAAGAATTTCTGTACCATTCTAAGTTTTAAGAGCAAATGTATGGGGAAATCTATGATGTGTGAAATATGTCTAATAAAAGAGTTGAATTACCGAGGTTGGGAGCATATAGATATACTAACATCAAAAAATTGGTACGAGGTCTGTAAATTAAGTGATGAGACTGGCAACGTAGCGTTCGATCTGCAACACTGGAAGCGCCGGGCTTGGAGGGGAAACAAGGGAACATGTGATCTACTTTCAGTGCAAGTTTGAACTCGCTCGAGTCATTTGGTGGCATTCTCAGAAGGGAGAGAGTCGGTTGAAGATGAATGACGAAGCGGAAGGCCTTCATCTTCAAGAAGCGATGAAAATATCAACAGAATGCGGGTTCTTGTTCGTTCAGATCGTCGGTTGACTGTCGAAATGATCGGGGAAGAGTTAAAGAACAACTGTTTTTCAACAATAAAAACGTTTTTGTGGCTCCTCAGACCCCTTATTCGCCTGAGTTTTTGTAATTTTTTTATATTTCCGAAGTTAAAAAATTACCTCAAGGAAACTCATTTTGGGACAGTTGGAAACATTCAAACGGCTGTAACCGACCAGCTGAAGGCTATTCCAGTATCGGAGTTCCAGCACTGCTATGAGGAGTGCAAGAACCGTTTCCAGCGCTGTGTTGCTTCAGAAGGAAGTTATTATGAGGGTGACAATATGCAACTGCAATTATATTTGAACAAAAAAAATTAAAAATCAGTCTAATCACTTTTCGCCCAAAAAACGAAGTTTGGGCGATTTTTATTCCTCCGTTCTTAGCCTTTTTCTCCACCGCTACTGGAACGATTTCCAAAAACAAAGATTTTTCGTCCTTAGCATAGTATTAACCTTGTGTAAAAATTTCATCGAAATCCGAGCAGTACTTTCCTAATTATAGAAGGGGCAAGGATTAGCGAACAGACTGATCGACGAAAATCAGTGATATAATTTTCCATGACATTAAACATCCAAAAAACAAAATATTTCATATTCGAAAATTTGCGAGATTATAATTCTTCCTCGCCAGTAGGCATGGGAAGTGAAATGATATAAATGTTGGAGTAGAAAATGCATGAAAAGTCCCTATAAACCTAGATCCGAAAGTAAGCATGGTGTTAAAATTTCTACATCACTGATGAGACCCATCAAAGACAAATAGAGTAAGATCCCAAGGGCGTCAGACATTACTGGTTTATATGACGGTTTAGAAAAAAGTTTCATACAATGCTGGCCAAAGTCGTTTTTCTTTTTAGCTTTCCATGTGTGTTAGAAAGGGTGTGTCATATGTATAAAAGGATAACGACTTTGGAGAGCATTGTACATATCCAAATTATAGGGTCTAATAGATTTTCATGCTAACTCACTACAACTGGAAAATCTGGTTCATTGATTTCGAATATGACATCAAAAAACACTAAATTATCGAGAAGCTATAAATTTTACTGAAAATGTGATTTCATAATCTACAAAGTCAAAATTAAACTCACCATCTTTGTGGGAACAACGCACACGCAGTGGGAACCATGAAACTGAGGAAACAACCCACGGCCATGACTTGAATTGGCCCATGCAAAAACGTGATTCTTTGCATGAACTTGTACTTTTCAGCTCTTTCCATGATCACAGGCAGTATCAACATACCGGGTGCGCACATTGTAATTCTTGATATGATCACTTGGCTTATGCCCTTGCATGCTGCCAGTTTTGATTGACCTGGATAAATGAAACGTTAAACATAAGTATTGAGCAAAAAGGAGACACTGCCACCTATAAAAAGCTCACCAAACGCAGTACTATCGACCCCCAGGTCGGTAGCAGGAAAATACACACATTCTCGACATGTCTGAATGACAGTCGGCTTTGATGAAACAGAAAAATATCTCCAACCATAAAGTCGTCTCATCAATCAGTGAGTTACTCGATACACACCATGCTAAAGCGTCTTTCACGTGCCTCCATTACCATTTGACGTTTACTGAGGTGACCAGCTGATCAGCAAGTGACATATTTGTATTCAAGTATGTAGTGTTGGCGATAATGAATCGGGTTGAACTCAGGACCGTATTCTGAGCTGTTGATACCAAACATACGCAAAAACCGTATCTTGTTTTATTCCTACCTAGCTTGAAATATAGTCATGATCATAAGTAGTCACTTTCTTTTCTTGTGTGTAAAGGAACTCTAAATGAAAGCGTTTGTAGGAAGTATAAATCCAAAGTGAACAAAAGACCACAACAAAATAGGACTCTGTCTACAGATATAGTTTTGACAGGTCCGTAAGAATTGTGTGCTATATGGGGTATTTTGAAATGTCACTAGATAATAAGCTGTTATTTGCTGTCACGATTGACCACTGATTAACTTCTACCTAAAGCCAAAATAATGCTATATTCCCGCATTCAGAAAGTTGATCAAGATAAAATGAGATACTTTAGCGTCATCTATGAGAATTTATTACAGCTGTTTCTCTATTTACTTGGTTGAAAACGTTAGATAGATGGTGCTGTGTGCACCAGGTGTTTCAAATTCGAATTTCACCATTGGGAACCGGAAAACAGTAAGAGACAGGCAGTCAATTAAATCGGGTCAAATTTGCGCATTTAAGTAACTAAGAAAATGGCACCACGAAAGTTTTACCATTCTGAAACAAAAGGAATTTTCCCAAAACCGTTTTTATTCTTTCCTGGTTATATTTGAAATGGGATTTCTAAATGAAAGGTATATTAACATTGCCAATTTTTCTCATCTAGAAGATAGTGTAATTAGAATTTCAATATGACGCACGTTTCGTCTATTATCTTCAATCATCAATTTTATTTTTTCTTATAGACGCCATATTGGATTTTTGCATAGGTGAATAGAGTTCTTAATTTTGATTCCAAAAATACACTGACATTACCAAACCTTAGTTATTTGAAAAAACTGGATTTCCTAAGTAGGCCTTCATATAGGTGAACCGCCCTATTTCCGATATAAATCATGTGATATTGTACATATCTTGATATGGATTGGTATTATAAGGCTTCAAATATCTAAAAAATTAATCCACCTATAGTTGGTCTTAACTAATTGAATAAAGATCAATCTAATACTAAAATTTTTTCATATTATTTATTATTTTATGTGACTGATGGACACATTTTGGAGCCTAGACAATGTTGCATCTTCCTGAACACATTTCATATCCCTCATATTTAAACTGATGCTCACATCTTGCATTCAAATGCTATTAATCTACGACTAAGGTGTCATCTAGCATCTCCATCGTGCTAGAATGATGCATGGGGGAATTATCTGAATGTCCTCAAACACACTTCTCAGGAATTGGAGCATTGTTGATTAAATCGGATAAACATGTGATAAGCTGTCATTTTCAAAGCGAACCATGACACTAGTTTTTTTTTCGAAATAACTTTGGTCTGACAATGTCAATATATAAAATATTTTATTTTTATTTGGAATCACAATTAAACATTCTATCCACCTGTGCAAAAATCCAGTAGAGCGTCTACAAGAAAACATAAAGTTGATGATGGAGGACAAGGCAGGAAACGTCATTGTGAAATTCTAATAAGGCCATCTTGTAGAGGAGAAAAGGTGGCGATGTTAATGTACTTTTTATTTTAAAATCCCATATCCAATCAAGCCAGAAAAAATAAAAACTTTTTGGGAAAATTCGATTCAATTTATTTATCCCCGAAACTTTCTACGAGTCATTTAAGAGATTTCATATTTCTTACCGTTTCTGAAATCCCAATGAGGAGAGTTGAATTTGAAACACCTGCTATGAATGCATACATATAGGTGGATACAGCAACATCTGTGAGACACTAAGCTAAGTATACATAGCAATTAGAGAAACAGTTGTGACAATTTCTCATAGACGACGCTACAGTAGCTTATTTTATCTCCGATAATTTTTTAAACGCGGAAATATAGGATTAGGTTGGCTATCTTCAGGTAGAATACGTTAATCAATAGTATGATCTAAGGAGATTTGTGAAAAAGACCATACCATCATTATCATACTATGCAAATGATGCATAACCAAAACATAGGCTGAGTAGGACAGAAGAATGCAGATTAAAATCACATCATCAAATTTCAAATAACATACCTACAATCTTTCCTGACTCGTCAGTACAATCAATTCCATAAAGAATTTCATTCTGCCTCATGAGAGGAATATTCACACAGTTAGCTGCAGCTACAGCAGCAAACGGCACATATCTCTAAAAAGGCACAAAAATATTTGTAGAGAAAATAAAATTTAGTAATGTCACTGATAAACACATTCCACTACGTAAGATACCAGTTTCAATTGAATGCCGAGATATATCCCCCCAGCCACTTATGATTAAAACCACACAGTACACGTAACACTGCGGCAGCCGATTAATCAAAAAGTTGTCATTGGACAGTTATGCTAAAATACTTTCAAAATGGTGGCTATTCCCATTCTACAAAGGGTACTATTAAAGTTTTATGACTTAACAAACGGACGCAGGAGGATGCATATGTTACTGCATGTCGAGACATGTCCGTGAGTGCATAGAAGCCGCCAGCAGCATGTCTGTTCATTTAGTTCTTCATTCGTATTGACAGTGTAAAATGCGAACTATGGCATTGTGGTCACGTAGTGAGATAAGGGCAGTTTTACGGTATAACTTTACGCGTAGCTTAAGCATAGACCAATGCTTAGAAGAAATGACGCTTGCATTAAAGAATGATTGCCGCCAACGTATTCAGGTGATACGGAGAATTCCAAAGGGGCAATTTAACTCTGGAGAACGCTGAGAGGAAAGGAAGGCCGCGAACGTCAGTAACAGAGGAAAACATTACTGCTGTGAGGAAAATGCTTGACGAAGACCGGAGAGTGACATATCAACTGATAGAGGAGTCAACGCCTTCATATACCAGCGATTCATTCAATTCTGCAAGGCCATTTACAAGTAAGGAAACTTTGTTCTCTCTGGGTAGCGCATAGCCTGACGGAAGAGCAGAAGACTCGTCGTACGACTTGGCGCCGAAAGATGCTGAAAATATTTGATAAAGGGCAATCTCGGTTTGTGACCAGCATCGTGACATGTGACAAGATTTGTCTCTATTATTAGAATGTGCCGACCAAGGCTCAAAACAAAGTTTGGGTCTTTGATGATGAGGGCACACCCGAAGCGGTCAGAAAATCCCGATCTGTTAAGAAAAAAATGATAGCTGCATTTTTCAAATCGAGCGGGATTGTGGAGCGTGTCGTTTTAGCAACAGAAGTCGCAGCTAAGTGGTACACGGATCAGAGCCTGCCTAAAGTCATAGACTCTATGAAAAACCTGCCGCCAAAGTCAAGAATGGACCCTGGTACCTCCACCATGACAACGCTCCAGCTCGCCGCGCCAAAGTCTGCGCCGAGCATTTGACCACTACTGGACTGAAACTTATTGAGAACCCTCCTTACAGTCCAGATCTTGCTCCCTGCAACATTGCACTGTTTCCACATGTGAAAATGAAGCTATAAGGAAAACGGTTTTCTAGCGATGAGGACCTTCTGAGGACTTGGGACAGCGAGTGTAACTTGGCAAGAGCTGGTTCAAGGACTGGTTTTGGCGGATGGAAAAGTGTGAATGTGGTTTAAATTACTTTGAACAAAGTTAATAAATAAAGCTGTATTGCAAGACTTGTATAGTGCCCTTTGTATACCATCATATACCTAACTGTTTCCGAGAGTATTTTTGTCTTTATTATGGGATTTTTAACAGTTTTCTTATAGTATGGGACCTACTTTGGTAGATTTTATTCCAGAGTTCATTAACAAGTTGTTGGGTGTCGAAAAAAAAACGGGTTGAATCAGTTGAATTATATCGTTAAAAACCGAAAAAATACCAGAAAGCATTGAAAATAAGGTTCACTTCATATAAGGTTGTCCATGTCGAAAATTGATAGTTTTCAAGATTACAGAAATTTAGAAATACTGATTTCCTTCAGTTAGCCATGGCAAAAATCGCGCGAACTACTACGAATATCACACTGTCGCCACGTCATGGCCAAATGAGATAACCTAATCAAAAAATCTGTAAGGAGCATTTACGCCATAGAGCCTATATACCAGAAAAAACTACTACAACGCTGTGGGTGTTGTCTGCTAGTTAACAGAGCTTGATTTTAATGAATGACAAATATTACTACATCCCTGCAGTCATAAAAATCAAGCTTTATCAAAAAAGCAAATACCTACAGATTAATGCGGCCGGATCTTGTACTAACCTCAGATGTCCTGTGCATGCGCAGCACCTGGTACTCAGTCAGACGTCAAGTTTTTTGCTAATTTCGCCAATTCTCCTGGGATATATGCTCCCTAATTTCCCTATACCTAACTCAGAAAGTACTAATTTGAGAAGTAGATAACAACAGCGCAGTAGTGGTGGTCGCAGTAGTAGACTCTTCAGTCTCCTGATCAGTCGCCGTGCGGGTTCGAATCCCGTCCCAAGATACATTTTTATCTTGGCTATGGTTGTTGTGATTGTCCGTAGGTCGTAGACGGTCTGTGACTGTCGAACGCGGAGTTACCAACCGGCGAATCTCGTAGGCGGGACCAGAATGTGTGCATGCTGCATGCACACGGGTTCCCTCGCCAGAGTCCGTGTGGCGTCCCCCCTTACCCCTGTATCCCCCTATAGCCCCACGGTACATCATGGGTATTTAGGCCTTAGTGGCAGTTGAAGTATAAAAAAAGACCTAATTAGTATGATGATATTATAAAAAGGCATGGTTTCTATTTGAAAAATTGACTTTTTTTGTTTCTTATAATCTGATTTTCGTTCTCTTTCTTTGAACAACATGCGCTAGTTGTTATCTAAATCTGGAATAAAATCTACTAAAGTAGATCCCCTACTACATGAAATTCATTATAAATAATATGGCAATGATCAAAATACTAGAAAAAATTGTTATGATTCAGTAGCCTGCATTTGTCATTTTTTATGCATAAGTGCGAAATATCTTGAAAGTGGTATAGAATGACATGCATGAAATATATTGGAATATCACATATAATCCAAAAATCGAATAATAGACAGTGTTTATTTAATATAAGCAATTTGGTATCCACTTCAGGTACAACAGTTTAGCTCAATTGCTCCTATCAGTTATACACCCAAGTGTCTTATGTCACCTGCCTGAGTTATTGATTGCAACGCAGGAGACCCTCTTTATCGACCATCTTTAGGTGTCAACATTGCCACCTCTCAGGCTGTTGCCCCATGTTACCTTATTACCTTTTTCGCCATTGAGAAATTCTGACAATTATAAATCTTGTGAATAATTATAATTATAATTTTCTATTTAGAAAAAAAATGGAGTCTGTTGTAAATGTCCATATTTATATAGGGTTGGGCATCTTCTCAAAGATCATGTTGATCAATGTTTTCAGATTACAAGGTTTGCTACATCAATCAATATTTACTTAGTTTACCTGAACAAAAGGGCTAGCTCTCTTAGACCAGTAGTACTTGCATCCCAAAGCTGTGATCATAGCTGATGATGTAGCTGACACATAAGCCACAGCCAACTGTTTAGTTGTAGTGGGAGATTTTGCATTGCGATTTGTGTAATTGACTAGAGCATTAAAAGACTGGTTCACCCACTGCCAAAACACCACTGCAAAAGGTGTTCTGAAAAAAAAAGAACTTTCTCGATATAATAGTTCAAAGTATGGAAAATGGCTCACTTGGGACTGTCCAAGTATCAAATTGACATCCCATTTTAAGGTACAAACAAATTTTTGTCCAAATCAGAGATAAACAGAGATTTTTGAACAATGTTACAAAGAACTCTAAAAAATATTTAAATATCCTATGACTGTACGAAAGAAATTCTATGGTTATCTGCCATTGTTACAAGCCAATGAAACTTGTTCCTAAAATGTGGGACTAAACTTGAGTAGAAAATAAATGAAGTCTTGGCAACAAAGCACTTTCAGTAGTTGATAAATACTTAAAGTCATAGCAGGCTAAGTCTAGATCCTTGAGGAACATCTAAAGATGCTAAACTATAATTAGAAACTCTAAGACATAGACATCATGCTGTGTTGATAAAATTAAGTTTCTAACTGCAGGATATAAGTGATGTTTAATAAAAATGTCAATAAAACCTAAAAATAAGGTTGACACATGAACATAAATACAAAAAGAATACTTAATATATAATTTGATTTTTGGGCAATACCTGTACCACTGCAACATGGCTCCAGTAATAGCCATACCACCAGGGACCTGGAACGACATTCTCCCAAAGACATTCTGCTTCTCACCACTATCAGGATGGAAAGCACTTTCATACAACTTCTTAGCATAGATGATTTGCTCCTTAGTTGTGCCTGGAGGTTCTTGTCCTTTTCTGTACTGCTCTACCAAGATCTTAGCGTTATCCAGCTGGTCCTCACTCACCAAACATGTTCTGGGATCTGTGACCCACAGGAAGTGCTTGAATCTGCCCACAAAGGTGGTTTGATCCCACAGTGGGCCGTCTATGTTAATTCTTTCGTTAAAGGCAGACATTCTTCCTTTAAAACAAATGGATGAGACTTTAGAATATTATGTAAAATCTAGTAGGTTGTGAATGGAGTGGAACAGGAAAACTCCGAAAATCAAAGTGCAAAGTGCTGTAGATTTTTCGACATTTTTCAATTGATAAATTCTATTTGTAAATAAAATAATTGCTTACCGATAAGGTTGTTTATAAAATAATTAGTCCGATTTTGTCAGCTACAGAACTGATGATTCCCCTCCAGGCACAACTCACAAATGGGAATGGAGAGGGAATCGACAATCGACAAATGATGGCCCAGCAACTTGGCGTCTGCCAATGAGATTTCCTCTACTATGCGCGGGCAAACCTGTTATTTTAAATCATATTTTCTAAATTTAATTTCAGCCATAAACACACTAAATTTTGTTAGTATAAATATTCTTCATATTGTTTGAATGATCAAGAATGCAATCCAAATCCCTTTGAGAGCGGAGGGTCGTAAGTTTGAATTCCGGATTAAACTCAAAATTGCCACTTTTGACGTCAGGTCTTGTGACGGCGATAACGGTGTTACAGACGCGGCGATTTTGTGATACACGGGCACAGCATACTTCAATGGAGACCGTGACCTTGAGCATCACCTGTAACCTGTAAGTGCCTGTAGGGGCGATTCAAGGTTAACTTTTCTGTATTGAATGGAAAGTATTCTCCCCTTTTTGACACTTTGACAGCGTAAAGGTCAAATGTGTGAGAGGCTAGAGAAGAGCTAAGCAAAATTATTGATGAAAAAATCAAGGTGAGAACATTATACCTAAAGTGTATCTAACGAAGCTACAAAGTAATCGTAAACAGTGGTTGATTCGTGATCAACGCGTGATCGGTAGCCATGGCGCTCTGTCGGCCTCTTCCTGATTGGCTTGTAGCGACGAGCCTCCAGACAAAGTCGCACGGTTGCCACGCTCGGCGAGTTTTCGCCAGAGTGGTTGATCACATTCGCATGGATCACAAATCAATCTGTTGGTGCAATACGTGCAATAACTGTTGTAAAGGACATTATATAACAATAAATGGCATCACAAAGGTATATTCCAATTTGATCTGCAGCAAATTATGAACGGCATATACGGAGATGCGAAAACAAGCTCAAAAAGGTGAAGAAAATTTTTGTGCAATCTTTATAGTTAAATTTTTCCTAAGAGATAGCATCAGTGAGGGAATTTTTTTCTATTGTCTTATTTTTCACATTAATGCGATGTCGAGGTATGTGGCCCTATCGCAATTGAAAATAAGGTTTCGATAATCCTTCCATAAAGTTTCGATGAGTACATCTGAAATAACCTTGAGATATTCTTCAGGGAAATAGAAAAATCTCCTTTTGTGTTTTTTTGTGCAGATTTATCTATTAAAATCCTATCCGCAATCTATTTTCCGTGCACACACCTTCAACCGAATGTATGCCATATATGATATTACCGTTTCCAACTTTCACCAAGGTTAATAGGAACCATAACAGCTCCCTACCCTTCCCCCCTATAAGAATATCGATTTGTAGCCTCACATTTCAAGGTTAGACTTCTTGTAATGTTTCTGTTCAACATTCGGCGATTTCTGACAATTTTCCCAATAAAACATGATCATTGTGACATTAAGCCTGGCAACGCTGCATAGTAGAGGGAACTCTCAGCGTCACGTTGATGGTTCGTCACCACGCACAGGATTGTAATCAGTTACGGATACCCGTTTATGAGCGCGAACGTTTTATGCACGTCTTGACTTGATTTTTCTTGCGGAAATTTAATATTAGTCTAAAATATCTGACACAGATACAGCTGATGAAGTGGTTGAAATCAGCTTAACGCCACCCAGCAAAAGGGCTAAAAAGCTTCATCTTAGCGCAGGTGAAAAACAAATTATTCTAAATATCTACAAGAACCAGATGCAAGAGAATAGTGGATTGGCTATAGAAAATATCGTATGTAAGGTTGCTGAAAGTTCTGGAGTAGGTCGATCAAGTGTTTACAAAATCTTGAAGGAATATAGACAAAATCACTCACTATCTGAGCCAAAAACATATCCAGCGAGAAAAAAAATCATCGAAAAAATAGATGACTTTGACAAAAGTGCCATTAGAAGAAAAGTACATAACTTTTTCTTCAGGAATGAAATACCTACAATAGATAAAATATTGAAGCAAGTGAATGATGATGAGGACCTGCCAAATTTTAAAAGATCTACGTTCCATAAGCTGTTGAAAGAACTAGACTTTCGATTTTTGAAAAGAGGAAGGAATAGTTTATTGATAGAAAAGGGGGAAATTGTTATCTGGAGGAGAGAATACCTTAGAAAAATTAGGCAATTCCGCGCATGAAGGAAGAAAAATTTATTATTTAGACGAAACATGGGTGAACGCGGGGCATACGCAGGGAAAGGTTTGGGTAGACAGATCTGTGAGGTCCTCAAGGCAGGCTTTTTTAGATGGCCTTTCGACGGGATTGAAAAATCGTGCAGGTAAGTTTCGAAGTATATGAACTTTTTTGGATGCAGATAATTCATTTTCTGATCGAATCAATGATTTGGAAGCTCCGAACTCAGTTTTGCTATCTCATCCAAGTTTCTGCGTATTTCCTTCACCCAAAAACTAATCTAAGACCCTATCCTACACTAACCTAAAAAGAGTAAGTTGCTTAATATCGTCATTTAGTGCGCTCGCTGAGAAGTAAAATAACTAATTACTTTCAGACAAGGGAAAACGCCTGATCATTTGCCACATAGGTAGCGTAGATGGATTTGTTCCTGAAGCATTGTGGGCATTTGAATCCAAAAAAACTGGAGACTATCACGAAGAAATGGATGGTAACTCATTTGAAAATTGGTTCAAAAAAATTTTGCCGAGACTTGATGATAACGCAATTATTGTGATGGATAATGCCCCGTACCACTCCAGAAAATTGGAAAAAATTCCAACAATGGCCACCAAAAAGGCAGACATTCAACAGTGGCTTGTCTCAAAGAAGATCGACTTCGACCAAACAATGGTCAAAGCTGAGCTGATAAATATAGTCAAGCGACATAAGTATAAATATGATTTAAAAATTGTTAACGAAATGGCCAAAAACCAAAATAAAACGATTCTCAGGCTGCCTCCCTATCACTGCGAACTGAATCCTATCGGGTTGATTTGGGCCGACATCAAGCAATACGTGGCGTCAAATAACAGCACTTTTAAGTTTTCTGACTTTAAAAAACTGTTTGATGTTGCTGTCGATAGAATTACGCCAGCAAAATGGAGAACATGTATTGACCATGTCCAAGAGAAGGTTGAAACCAAAATGTGGGATATGGACAATATCATTGACACCCAAGTTGAACCCCTTATAATTGACATCAACAATTCTGATGATTCAAGCTCCTCGGAATACAGCATATAAATCGATTGATACCATTAAGACTGGCAGTTTAACGGGCTTTTTGGCAAGACAGGTAAGTTCATTATAGACTGCAATCAAAGTGTAAGTTTCTAGTTATTAATGTGGAAATTCCAAATTTATAATTACACAAAATTAGGGTTAATTTAGGAGTTCCAAAGCATAATAGTGCCATTTTGACCTTCTTCCTATTTCTCATGTAAATTTTAATAGCAATCAAACTAACAAACTTTATGGAGTCTGTAATAAACTTTTGTACTACTACTACTACTACGTCTGTAGTTTCTATTTGCACAAAAAAATTTGCTCTGCATTGTGAATAGAAGGTTAATTTGTAAATATTATTGGGTATATATGTAAGTTAATAATAAAATATGAACAATTTCAACTGAGATGGTTCACAAGTTTTTTTCGTGTGCGTTTTAGTAACATTTTGCTAAAATGGTGAATACAGAATTTTTTGCACTGATTCCTAATGTCTAAATATGATTAGAAAGGCGTGGTATATTCCTGATAATTTACTATGCTTTTGATAGAATTTACAGCAACACATATCTTGTACGACATTTTTTGATAGATCAGTCACAATAGCTTGATACGGCCCTGTAGCGTCTCCTACGGTTAAGTTCTTGATCACGTGCAATACGGGTGTATATGTTTGATTTTACTTTGTTTCTTCGATGGATACAGTTTAGTAACTTCTAATAAGGATTTCAATATTGATTTTGGCTTCATCTTCAGGGTCATAATAGTAAGTAAATCTTTCATTGGCGGTGTCAAACAAGGGGGTTAACACAAGTTGACCTCAAAATAACTTCGAAGATGAGGTTCAAGGTTGAATCCGATGTAATCCTTCAAATATTTTTCATACATAAATAAAGACGACCTGTCCTTAATAACTATTTTCATCAATAATCCTAAGAATTTTTCCTAGCTGCACACATTCGATTTTCATTTGACCTTTAGATGTGTCCTTAAGCTTAGATTTTGATGCATATTCTGCCGCGGGCTTCCCATTAAATGTTGTTTTTACGTTCATCTGTAAGCATCCTTAGACGCCATTTACGAGATGGCGGCACCTGCCGCGGCACGTGATACAAATTCGAATATTTTCTCCATGAATTTCCGTTTAAAAATAAATTGTGCATGGGCTGTCACGCTGCCAAAAACACCTGTAAATTGATTCTAATAGCTTTGACGAAAGCCGAGTCTGAACACATGTGGAAATACATGGTTAAACGAGCGTATGCTCAATGGAGCATCTGCTTTTGAGAATGTTTGACTCTCATCCAAATTTTGAACGTGAATAGCACAAGTCTTGATCTCTAGACAAATATCATTGTTTTATTTTATGAAATTGTTATTATGTATTGTTTTGAATCGATAACCGAACCTGAAAATACATATTTTTACGACCTTCCCTTTTTGCCGGTCATGTGATAGAAAGGACCAAACACCATTGAACTAAATTCTTATTATCCCCACAAAGGATGAACAGGTGAGAGAAAAACCTTTGCGAGGAGATTTGGAAGCAGCTTGCTACTAATAAAATTAGCAAGATATTCAGGTATCTTCTGTAAGTTAGCTGAATCTCGCTATTTTTGTGATCCTGATACAAAATTCCGAGTATCCCATCAGGACACGTCCGACCAGACATTCGAGGTATAGACAGCAACTTGCTCATAATAAAATTGGCAAGAAGTTCGAAAGTATCATGTATAAGTAAGATACCTCCCGCCATATCTCTGTGATCCTGATACAAAAATTCGTAGTATCTAACCAGGGCACGACCGGCCAGACATCCTTCTCAAAGCGTTGTTGTCAAATTGGTACGGATTTGCTGGCAATATCTCAGAATCGCGGGAGATTAAAATGTATGTAAGTTAAATACCTCTCACTATTTCTGTGATCTTGATAGACGAGTTCTAGTAACTCATCAAATCACGTTTGACCTGGCTGCCTTCGCGAAACCTTATCGAGTTGAATTGGTGTGTATTTGCTATCAGGATCGCAGAAACTCGAGAAGGTATAGACACCAGCTTGCTCCTAATGAAATTGGCAGGAAATTCAAATGTATCATGCGAAAGTTTGATAACTCCCGTCGTCTCCTGTGATCCTGATACAAAATTTCCAGTATCTCATCAGGGCACGTCCGACCAGACATTCTTTGCAAAACGTTCTTGTCCAACTGGTACGGATTTGCTAGCAAGATCTCAGAATCGCTAGGAGGTATGCTATAGAAATAACTCTTACTGTTTCTGTGATCTTGATACAAAATGTCTAGTATCTCATCAAATCACGTTTGACCTGAATGTCTTCGCAAAACCTTCGATTTGAGTTTGTATATATTTGTTATCAGGATCATAGAAACGCGAAGAGGTTTAGAGATCAGCTTGCTCCTAATAGAATTGGTAGAAAATTCAAATATATCATGTAAAGTTCGATATCTCCCGCCGCCTCTGAGACCCTGATACAAAATTCCTAGTATCTATCGCATTGTCCTTGTCGAATTGGTACGGATTTGCTAGCAAGATCGCGAGGAGGTATGAACAGTAAATAAAATTGACGGGGATTCAAATGTACGAGGGTTGTCTCAAAAATACGGTTCCCAATGCTGTATCTTGGCAACACCGTCGTGTGTTTTGGCTTGCGCACCATCGATCCCAACAAGAAACGCCTGTTTGCGATTCCCAGCACCGGCCAGGGGGTGTAAGCCGTACACAAGGACTTATATCGCTGCTTTGAGTGACATCTGATGATTGCGCCGAACACTAATGTCTATAGTTGATACTCATCATCCTAGATGGCGCAGCTTAACTTATTTTTTTAAATACTTGTCAAAGCGCACTGTCAGCGAGAAGTAACTTGATTTAAATTTAAAATAGTACCCAGGTAATTAACAGAAGAAGTTAACAGGACAGAGCGAGAGAATCGCTAGGAGGTATGCTATAGAAATAACTCTTACTGTTTCTGTGATCTTGATACAAAATGTCTAGCATCTCATCAAATCACGTTTGACCTGAATGTCTTCGCAAAACCTTCGATTTGAGTTTGTATATATTTGTTATCAGGATCATAGAAACGCGAAGAGGTTTAGAGATCAGCTTGCTCCTAATAGAATTGGTAGAAAATTCAAATATATCATGTAAAGTTCGATATCTCCCGCCGTCTCTGAGACCCTGATACAAAATTCCTAGTATCGCATTGTCCTTGTCGAATTGGTACGGATTTGCTAGCAAGATCGCGAGGAGGTATGAACAGTAAATAAAATTGACGGGGATTCAAATGTACGAGGGTTGTCTCAAAAATACGGTTCCCAATGCTGTATCTTGGCAACACCGTCGTGTGTTTTGGCTTGCGCACCATCGATCCCAACAAGAAACGCCTGTTTGCGATTCCCAGCACCGGCCAGGGGGTGTAAGCCGTACACAAGGACTTATATCGCTGCTTTGAGTGACATCTGATGATTGCGCCGAACACTAATGTCTATAGTTGATACTCATCATCCTAGATGGCGCAGCTTAACTCATTTTTTTAAATACTTGTCAAAGCGCACTGTCAGCGAGAAGTAACTTGATTTAAATTTAAAATAGTACCCAGGTAATTAACAGAAGAAGTTAACAGGACAGAGCGAGAGAATCGCTAGGAGGTATGCTATAGAAATAACTCTTACTGTTTCTGTGATCTTGATACAAAATGTCTAGCATCTCATCAAATCACGTTTGACCTGAATGTCTCCGCAAAACCTTCGATTTGAGTTTGTATATATTTGTTATCAGGATCATAGAAACGCGAAGAGGTTTAGAGATCAGCTTGCTCCTAATAGAATTGGTAGAAAATTCAAATATATCATGTAAAGTTCGATATCTCCCGCCGTCTCTGAGACCCTGATACAAAATTCCTAGTATCGCATTGTCCTTGTCGAATTGGTACGGATTTGCTAGCAAGATCGCGAGGAGGTATGAACAGTAAATAAAATTGACGGGGATTCAAATGTACGAGGGTTGTCTCAAAAATACGGTTCCCAATGCTGTATCTTGGCAACACCGTCGTGTGTTTTGGCTTGCGCACCATCGATCCCAACAAGAAACGCCTGTTTGCGATTCCCAGCACCGACCAGGGGGTGTAAGCCGTATACAAGGACTTATATCGCTGCTTTGAGTGACATATGATGATTGCGCCGAACACTAATGTCTATAGTTGATACTCATCATCCTAGATGGCGCAGCTTAACTTATTTTTTTAAATACTTGTCAAAGCGCACTGTCAGCGAGAAGTAACTTGATTTAAATTTAAAATAGTACCCAGGTAATTAACAGAAGAAGTTAACAGGACAGAGCGAGAGTGCCCCTCGAGAGATACCGATACTGACACGAGCCTGCTGGAGGCATAACGTTATGCAACTGACATAAGGGAGCGACCAAAATAGTCAAACACCCTAGAACTTGTCTGAAGGTACCTGAAAGGAGAGCATTCGGGCGTATTGAAGGAATGCGCAACCCCAAGAAGTTAACTAATGGAACGAGACAAAATTATATACTGGAAAGCTTACCAACGAAATTCAAAACTTGAGGAATATGTCATCAAAATATGTAGAAAATAAGAACAGGAAAACAGGCCTGCAGGCTATGCCCTCTCGTCTGCATCATCTTCGGACGTGAGGTGAGAGATGCCGAGCCCTCTGAACAGAGGTGGTTATATCCCCGCAGCCTCGCTCCCAGTTTATCGGCAATATTTTTTATCCGATCGTTGCTTTACAGCTCATTAAACATTATTTTGATTGCCCTTCGCATATAAAGTAGTAGTCTGCCAGGAATGGTGTAGATCAAACGAGACTATATTGTATATAATCATACATTTATACACAAAATACATATTTTATAAAATTCCCACATTTGTGTAGAGATGAACTTGTCATCTTTATAAATATATATTTTTTTAAAAGCGCCACATTGTGCTTGATTTGCTTTTGGTTGGTTTACTAATGGCGTCGAGGATGAAAATTTCAAACATAACTGTCGCGAACGACTATTTTGTGTTAATCTATTTTTAAATGCATTTGAAAATATTGCACACTATGAAGTTGAATAAATTGCATCCACAATTTTTATAAGGCGAACATGGTAACAGAATGTATAGGGACCTATCAATAGGCTTGACGCCACTTTTCAAATGTCATGTATTTACTTACATGCTTATATGTTGTATGTTACATAATAAAAGTGGATGAAAACTTGGAAACTGTGTTTTAATGATTAATTCCGATAACTAATCCATATTTTTTAAGTCAGCATAATTATTTATACATTTGTTTATAAATATAATGCAACTCGAGGATAAGAGAGGGGGCAAGTGTCACTGATTAGAATCACCGACTATAAAGAGAGATATATCGTCGGTGATTAGAATCCTGTAAACAATCGTCGTTTTAGTTTCGTTTGTTGTTAGTGTTCAGTACAATCGTCAGATGACGCTGTTAACGGTGGTGCCAGCAATCATAGCAGAGTGTTTGTTATCTGTAGTGTAGCTAATAATCTGTGGTACCGGCGCAACAGCCACGCGCAATGGAGCCGTTCATTGCCGTCAACGCCAGGTGCGAAATCCGCCTGCGGTCATCCGATTTTTGCACGCAAAACCGTTACCACCTATAGAAATTCGTCGCCACTTGTCCTCAAATGGTAAAGAAATTCCTCCGACAGCCGCACGGACAACGACAATGAACAACGAAGCAGGAGGCCATCGATCTCCAAGGAAGTTGTGGAGAAGATTGAGCAAATCTTGCTCGAAGATCGGCGAATCACTTTCCGTTGAAATTCCTGAGGCTTCTGGAAAAGCTGAGGCGATCAATCCAAAACCGTCGTAGAACAAAACTCACCAAAGCGTAAGACTTCACCACAACAATGTGCATCTCACAACAAACGAAGGACTTAATCGATCGATTTGGCTGGGAAAGTCATTGCCCATCCCCCTTACAGCAATGACACAGCGTTCCCGAAATTGAAGGAGCGCCTAGGCGGTCAATCGTTCGAGACCGATGAGGAGCAGTTAAAAATTTCAGGCTGGCGGCGGATTTCTTGGGGCGGAAGTGCAAAAGTGGATTTTACGTAAAAAAATGGCGACAATGGAGAAAAAAAGCTTAAAGAACAACGTATCTAATGGTGACTTCGTATTTTTAAATAATAAATTCTTCGTGCCTGAAAAAAATGTGGGAACCTCATTTTTGAAACAACCCTAATAAATACATCGCACTGTCTCTGTTATCTGAAAAGGTATAGACTGGAGCTTGTTCCTAAAAAAAATATAGGAAATTCAAATCTATCATGTGTAAGTTCGATCCTTCCCACCGTCTCCGTGATCCTGTTACAAAATTTCCAGTATTTTGTGAGAGCACGTTCGTCCTGACTGCAGAAAACCTATTTCAATTGGTACGGATTTGTTGACAGGACCACAGATACGCGAGGTGTGCAATTTCTGCAATCCTCACACAAAATTTCCTCTATACCTTTAGTCAAATTCTCTGTGAATTCTATCGCGGGGATCTTGTTGAAAACAAATGAAACACAGTTTACATGTAGCAAATGATCATTTATTGATTTTACAACTACTCATCTTATCTAAAAGAATAAAATCACAGATATATTATTGTATAACAGATACCTAGGGCTGAAATAAATATATATTCATAATATGTAAATCATGCAAAAACCTTAAAATAGAAACGTAAGAAGCATTATCACAAACTTATGAAATTTTTAGTAACCCGTTTTTCATATACCCAATCAAAATGCCAATTTTGAAGTTGCATTTTAGCATAGTAATGTGAGATGGATAATCTGTAACTGACAGGTTACATTTTAACTTATTTTAAACTTCCTCAATCATACAAAATTAATGTAAAAAGCAATTATAAAATATTACACGTTTATATACACAATACATCGAGTAGAAGACGCTTCATGATGAAAAAATGTGTTCAGGTTTCTGTCTACATTCATGGAAAATTTATCTTTACGTAAAGAAATACATAGATTGGATTCCCCTGAGAAAAAATATTGGAAGAGCAAGATTATGTAGAAATCTGAGTTTCAAGGTTTCTTGGTAAAATATGGCAGTTGTTTTTTTAGTACAGCAATAAGAATGTAACATCTAAGACTTATCCTGCGGTTTTAATGCTGATAATCCCTAATGTTTGTCTGGCCGAATAATACCACATATCGTCGGCTTAACATGCAAACGAAAATTAACTGTTGGTCCCATCTTTTGTTAAATAATACAAGCTATCGGTTAAGCAAGATATCATTACAGTAATTGTCGCAAATAGAAATGTTGGACTGCAACAACCGTCTAAACCGTTAATCAAATGTTGCAAGTCCGTGTGTATCGCAAGTGTGTAAATAACAGGTGCATTTTACAAGTGAAATATCGTAAGTATTTTTAATTTATTGATTTATAAATAATTGTTCAGCTATAGATTATGTTAAAATAAAAGACAGATTTGGTCAAATAGTATGAATGGTGAGTGTTGTTGTTTTGAGATATATTCCATTAATAAAATTGATATGGACCTACTACATTCTGTATATTTATTTCGCATTCCTGTAAATGGACTTACAATATATTCTTGAAATTATGGAAAATAATTTATGGGTCCACTTACAAAAAACAAGACGAGTTTCCATAGTATATGCTGTGAAAATTGTTTCCAAATTTAACTTTTCTTTAGTTTTTGATTTTTGGACCTCCCATCTGTATTTTTTTAGACAAGGATATTTTTTATTTTTAGTTAAGTACCCAAAAAGTTTTGTTTCAGTAGCAGTTTGTTTCTGTTACAGGAAAATGGCACAGTATAATTCAAGGACGATGAAAATAATGTCTTTTGCATCCACGAACGAATGTCATACGCCATCTTCCAACGAAAATATGTTGGTACTGTCACAGAAGTGACGCACAATTTGTTTGACATCAGTGAGTCCCGACTTAACTTTGACTTAAACAAATAAACAGGAACAGGCATTTGGTGAAAATACGTGGAAGCAAAACATAAACCAATCCAATAGGGGAAAGAGGAGAAAAATATTTAGGGCGAAAAAAAAAATTGATGGTGTCTGGAAAACAATTCCAAAACCGAAAATAATGATTGGGCCACGTTGTGTAAATGTAGACTGTCTAACAACAAAAATAACTGTTAGAATGTCAGAAATAAGAAGAAGACACAGAAATAGGAAAGATGAGAGTGCTTCTAGATAGCAGTTTTCATCTTTATATTATTTGAAGAAAAACAATGATTCACTTGAGGTAAATATATGAAAGTACACTGGAAGTAATGAAAGGAATGTAACTATTGCTGAAAATTCACCAAATGATGTGAGCAGCGACAACGCGCAAGATTAAATATCTAAATACACTGGGGTGAAAAAATGTTTACAAGATTTTTTTAAAACATTCCTAAACTTGAATCCCATTATTGCAGAAGCAGTTCAAATAAAATATACTTAGAGCCTACTTGGACGTCGAAGTACGATTTATACAAGTGTTATAAGGAAATATGGTGTAAAGAAAAAAATACTGATCATCTTTCCAAAGCAACATTCACTCATGTTTTTGACGAACTGAATTTAAGCATAATTAAACCGAAAAAGGACGAATGCCATAAATGTGTAGCTTACAGAACAGCTAACATTTCGGACTAAGATTTTTCTTACACCAACAGAAGACGAAGAAAGCTAGAGACGCTAAGGAGGCGGATACAACCTTAGAAAATGAAGTATATTGCATGGATATGCAGGCAGTTCTTCGGAGCCTCAAGTCAAATGTGTCCTCATTCTATTTTAAAACCAAATTAATGGTTCATAACTTCACCATCTACAATATGAAAACTAAAGATGGTTACTGTTTTATCTGGCGTGAAGCAGCAGGTGGTATTATGTTTTTTATTAAACAAGTCGTGTTAGACAATTTCGAAAAAGACATTTTACTGATTTTGTGGACTGACGGATGTACGTGCCAAAATAGAAATGTTACCATTTCCAACGCACTAATTAATATGAGCATGTTTTACGGAGTCAATATTGAACAAAAATATTTAAAAAAGGGTCATACCCAAATGGAGGCGGACTCTATGCAGTCTTCCATTGAAAGAAAATTACGAGATATTTCGATTCATGTTCCTGCATACTACATTCCTGCCTCCATGCAAGTAAAAACCCTCGTCCATATGTGGAAACATATTTAAGCTACGATTTTTTCAAAAATGTTCAAAGAATAAAATTTCTTAAATTTCTTAAGGCCTTAAGGATCCATGTTATATAAACTAAGACAACACAAATTATATCCCCGTAGAGTTTATAAATACATATAAAACTACATCTACCGACTTTGATAGTATACCTTAGTTATACCAACATGAAATTCCTATAAAAAAACCAAATACGATCATCTTCAAATCTTAAAATCAAGTTTAACCCTTAATTTGGTATTGTATCTTATACGATACTACATATTCAAATATCCCTGTTAACGATGCGAGTCAACATATCAAATCTTTTTTGCCGAAAATATCTTCATTAGGCATTCAGTCACTTGAGTTGGTACTTCTGGCGCCATCTGGCATTTATTTTGTGGATTTATAATGTAATGGCCGAAACTTGTCAGCGGACAGCATTGAGTGGCGTGAATAATCGGTAAGTACTCATAATTTTCTAGTAAAGTAAAACAAATATTCACAAAGAATTTGTAACTTTGAGGACATGGATGTTAGGTGCATCTTATAGAATTAGATTTAGATGATAATGATGAGCCACTTGGTCAGAGTTGCTGATCTAATTTTACTGTATCTCGTAGTCTACGTTGCCAGCTCCTCAAAAAAGGGATAGTTATTTGTTGTGTATCTAATGATCTACAGTGCCAAGTTCTCTTTAACCCTGTAAGACACCTTGTAGCCATATGTCTACAACGATCTTTTAGGTATCTTCTAACGTTTTCTATCCCTTGTACACTCTATTGCTCGATGTAGACATGTGGAAACAGCCTCAAGTTAGGCGCAGTTACCATCCGCCATCTATTAGCGAAATCGAGAAATAATTTTTTAATATGTCAACCGGCAGCTGTTCAGTTCGTTTCGCCGGCGTCGTTGCACTGGCGTGTTTGAGAGATAATTAGGTAGGTAAATTTTCATAAAATACATTAGTATGATATAATATTGGTTGTACATGTCCAAAACACATAATACATGGTAAGATTATCCAAAGTAGCATAGGAGAGTATAGAAAATGAAGTTTGAAAACGATTGTAGCCATATGTCAACATTGAACCTTCATGGTTGAGCCAATGTAAGATACTGTTTTATCCATTTTTGTTTCGTTGCAGCTTGGAAAATGGATCCTTTCGAAAATCTAAAAACCATTTCGGCGAGGTGTTTTTACAAAAAGAAGACAGACTTTATACCTGTATTGCCGGCTAATCTAGAAATATCCGATATTTCAGATAAAAGTGATTCCGATAATGAAAATTTGGAAGATGATGTGTTACGCCTCGGAAGTAATGATGCAGATGATGTAAATCCGTTGCCTTGCTCAAGTAGGTCTACAGTTGAAGTTATTCAGAATAACAGTAGCTCCTCGGATGGGTCAGATGACGAAGAAATAAAACCAATAGCTTCTAAAAGAAGGAAGAAGAGCAATCGAAGGATCCAAAAGGCTGATGTCGTATATAATTGGGTAGAGGAAGATTTACCTAATTTTGAAAAACCTACGTCAGATGTAAACTTTGGAGATGATAATTATCATTATCCATTACAGTACTTTTTAGAGTTTTTCTCATATGAATGCATTGAACTGATAGTGAAGGAATCAAATTTGTATTGTACTCAAATGACTGGGAAAAGTCTAGATACAGATAACAAAGAAGTTACTAATTTTATTGCTATCCTTATCTACATGGGCGTCATTTCTCTTCCTAGTTACAAAGATTATTGGTCGGCTACTCTAAGAATTGAATCTATAGCGAATGTTATGTCACTAAGGAGATTCAAACAATTACGCAGATATATACACTTCAATGATAATTCTTTAGTTGGCAGTTCTCAAGATAGGTTTTATAAAATTAGACCGCTCTTGGACATAGTCAACAGAAACTGCTCTAAGTTTGAGATAGAAAATCGTTTCTCCATTGATGAGACAATGGTACCGTACAAAGGTACACGGGCAGGTAACCTTCGTCAATATATGAAAAACAAACCACACAAATGGGGTTACAAATTCTTCATGAGAGCTGGAGTATCGGGATTGATTTACTCTTTTATTCCATATCAAGGGAAAAATACTTTTTCTTTATTAGATGGCACTGCCATGCAGTTAGCAGAAAATGAACTGGCTATGGGAGTTGGTAGTAGCGTAGTTATTGCTCTCACTAAAACCATCCAAAACCCAGCTCACAGCATTGTGTACTTTGACAATTATTTTTCGAGTGTGAACTTATTTTTATATCTAAAGCACAGATTCAACATTTATAGCTTAGGAACTCTTCGGAACAATAGACTAAATGGCTGCCAGCTGATATCTGATAAGGAATTGCTAAAAAAAGGCAGAGGAAAGTATGACTACAAGTCCACAAACAGGGAATGCATAATTGTCAAATGGGCTGACAATAAATGTGTTTTGATTGGAAGTACAATTCATGGTGTATCCCCTGAAAATACGCTTCGTCGATATTGCAAAGAAAAAAAAGGTAAAACGAATATACCTTGTCCATCCATTATTATGGAGTACAACAGGCATATGGGAGGTGTTGATAAGTCAAATTCGCTGGTCGGGCTTTACAGAACTCCTGGTCGTGCTAAGCGGTGGTACTTCCCGATTTTCGCCTATATCATCGACATGTGTATAGTCAACGCATGGTTACTATACAAAGAGAACAATAAAAATGAAAAGAAGTGTATGCCCCTAAAAGAATTTAGATGTGATATTGCAAAGGGCTTGTCCACCACTGGGAAACCGAAACCTGGAAGGCCGGTATCATCACCTAAGTCCAATTCAATAATAATACACCCAGTCGTTCCAAGACCTTCAGATGTTACCAGAAAGGATACTGTTGGTCATTGGCCAGTTCATACGACAAAGGGAAGATGCCGAATGTGCACTACGGGATTTTCTCGAATAATGTGCCGAAAATGTATGTGTCGGCTATGCCTAAATGATAAAAATAATTGTTTTGTTCATTTTCATCTGTGAGATAGATTCCTTTATGTTATAATTTTCACATTTGTCTCACCTTGTATATTTTTTATACGGAATATATTGTTTTTCGTTTTTGATGGAAATACTTTGATTTTTTTTGTAATAAAATATTATTGCAATTTTTAATGTGTTTTGTTACAATTATATTTTTAATCCGCTTATAGACCGTAACGGTCAATGTTGACATTTGGCAACAATTGCAAAGTACACTTTCTAATAACAATGACTTCAATATATGGATCTAAACTTGTTCCTACAGTGATTTTTTATAGCCAGTGAAAATTTACGAATTTTAACTTAAAAAATAATAGGAGTGAACCTTACAGGGTTAAGCAATTGATAGTTTGTTGTGTGTCGCATAGTATACGTTGCCAACTTATCGTAAATTGAAGTATCCTAGTAGTGCATCATATTATACACACACTTAACCTAAACATATGTTCAAATTAATAAAATATGTTTTTATTTCTGGCTCAGATACTAGTGATTATGTTTATTTTCCAGAAGAAACTATTCTATTATGGCACTAACACGGAAGGACAAGATAATTGCCCTTCTACCACCTGCATCTTCTGATCTGAGTGACACAAGTGAAGATGAAGAATTTCCTGGAAAGCTGTTTGATATGATAAGGGACTCAAATAGTGAGTCTTCCGAGGCTCCATCGATTCCTGATGAAGCAGTTGCAGTAATGGAGGATATAATGAATGATTTGTCAAACACCAATGACGCTTCTCCAGATGAAGCAACCCCAGTTGTTCAGAATACACCAGAAAAAGTAAGTCTCTGTGCATTTTCGACTCCAAGAACTTCATTTGCGATTACACCACTAAAAACCAGATCACATTCTAAAACGGGCAAAAAAAGAAAAAATGTGAGTCATGCTGTTAGAGACAAGCTGATAAAAGACGAAGTCAGTAGGAAAAGGAGTAAGGTGAAAAAGAAAAAACTTGAATGTAGCTGGACAAATGAACAGTTTGCTTTTCCAGTAGATATTCCAGAAGACAATTTTACCACGCCTGATAGAGTGAAAACGCCATACGAATACTTTCAGATGTTCTTCTCAGATGATTTATTACAAATGCTCGTTGACAACACTAATTTATACTCAGTTCAACAAACCGGCAAATCAATATGTGTCACACTCGAGGAAATGAAAGATTTTTTGGCTATTCAAATCCTGATGGGAATAGTCGAAATGCCAGCTTATACTGATTATTGGAGTCAAAAATTTAGATATAATGATATCGCGGAAATCATGTCGCTAAAACGTTATCAACAGATAAGAAGACACATTCACTTTGTTAACAACGCAAATCAGAACGACGATCCTTACATCAAAATTAGGCCAGCTTTAGAAATAGTGAGAAGAAATTGTATGAGTGTAGAAGAAGAGAAAAAACAGAGTATTGATGAAATGATGGTACCATATAAAGGGAAGAAGGCCGGGTCAAAGCGGCAATATATAAAATCTAAGCCCAAAAAGTGGGGCTTCAAAATCTTTGTGAGAGCAGGTGTATCTGGATTGGTCTATGATTTTCTCATCTATGGAGGAGAAAAGACATTCAGAGAATATCACCAGTTTACCAGCGAAGAGAATACTTTAGGATTAGGAGCGAAAGTTATTCTTAGTCTATGCAAATCTATGAAAGCCCCTATCTGCTCGGCTGTGTATTCTGACAACTTCTTTACGTCTTTGGAATTGGTGCACATACTGAGACAAAACTACGGAATTTTATCTCTCGGCACAATAAGATCCAATCGGCTGGGGATCTGTTCATTAGAAAACGACAAAGCCTTGGCGAAAAGAGGTCGAGGGTCATTTTGCTTCAAAAATGATAACGTCAACAAAATCAGTTGCGTTAAATGGTTTGACAATAAGGCAGTCATTCTTGTGAGCTCTTATGTTTCAGTAGAGCCAGTAGCTACTGCTACACGGTATACGAAACACAAAAAAGATAAAACTGATATACCATGTCCGAGTATTGTAAAACAGTATAACCGCCACATGGGTGGAGTTGACCTTATGGATATGTTAGTTTCACTTTACAGAACTCGGCTGAAGACTCGTCGGTGGTATTTATCTATTTTTGCTCAAATGATAGATTTATGCATGAATAATGCTTGGCTTCTTTACCGTCGAGAAACTAAGCTGACGTGTGCAGAATCAGGGGGCAACGTGGAAAACATCAGTCTGAAAGAATTCAGATACTATGTCTCGAAATCATTGAGAATGAAAGGAAGATCAACTGACTCGAGAGTGAACGAGAATGTAGATATAAAACAAAGGATCAAACAAGCAGTTGTAGTTAGACCACCAATAGATGTAAGACATGACAGAGTCGATCACTTCCCGCAGTATATAAGCAAAGGTAGATGTCGATTATGCAAAAAGGGAGAAACTCATTGGGCGTGTACCAAGTGTGGCACAAGACTATGTTTAGTGAAAGATCGGAACTGCTTTTATACATTCCATCAGAGTAGTTGACAGGTTCCAGTGAACGTCAACTTTGGATTTTTTGTTCAATTATGAAAGATGTTTTCGTTTATTTGTGCTTAGAGGTTGTCGGTTTCTTATTTCATGCAAATGTTGTCCATTATAAACAATCAATAAATTATTTTACAATATTTTCTTGTATCCTTTTATATAACTTAACAATTGGCAGTGTATCTCTTAGCATACATTACATTGTAGCAAACAACTTCACTCAAATTGGTGATGTATCTTATCGGATACATCCTGTATCTGCTCAAAATTCCATAAAAATCACAATTTTTCTCTTATAATCACTTATTGGGATGCCAATAAATATATCAACATCCACTGTTATCAGAAAAATTGCAAAACATGGCTTTGCCAATTTAAGGGTTAATCAAAGATTACCATCTATTTTATGATAATTTGTCATTTAAGGAATAAGTTTTCTCTTATATATCTCCCTACCATGTATTATTTGATTTGCAAAATTAGATACCCACCAATTATTTTAGTTAGTTTTATATTTTTTTCATTTGCTGCTGCTATGTTGTACCTCAAAAGCTAAGTTTATGTACGTTTCAAGCTCCATAATCCGTATTATCCGTAAGTCCATATTAAACCACCCAATACTAATTATTGGCAAAATTCTTCCGTTACTTCCGATTAATAAACTTCATGAATCCATGAAAACAGTTTTTTCACCCTCGTAAAATTTGACTCCTGGGACTTACGATATTTGCATGTTAAGCCGACGATACATGTTTAAAATAGGTTTATTGTAAGACGTTTCGGTCACAAGGGTGACCTTTTTGAACTACAATTGACAATAGATTTTGTTTATTTGTCTTCCAGGTGAGACTCAGGGTCGTTCCTACAATATTGTAAGACGAGTTTATGGCCTCCTTGATTTCTTATAGTTTGCTAGTGTTCCGTGTCAGCGCTCTATTTTGAGGTTATGTTAGAAATATCTATTTGCCTCAAATTTCCTACAATTCAAAAAGAAAGCATAGCCTCACAATCGGAGAGCGCTGTCGCTGACATCGAACAGTAGAACTCTAGAAATTTCCCAGCGTTTCTGAAGGAGATAAAAAACTATGGAATATATAATAACAATAATTGTAGAAACGACTGACGATACGGCCCTCATCTTGTTTTTTCTTTCATCTACACATTCATATTCAGTGTGTTACCACAACCGTCTGGAACATGCTGATATTGCACGAAGCCATTGTAATTTTCAGATGGTATGGCGCAAAACCGGCAAAGCCCAGGACCACCTAGGGCAAGTAGTAAATCCTAGACTTGCCACCCGTGTCCATCGCCCCAAAAACGCAAAAAATCCTCCGAAAACGCAAAAACTCAGATCTGCAGTTATCACTCACCACCTAATTCTTATTCAATCTTCGACTAAAATGCTGCATGTGCATTGTTATGGATCTGAAATGAGATGATTTTTCTTATGGTTTGTTATTGGATCTGTTGCGCAGATGTTTTACATTGCCATCTCAAGGACAAATTGGTGGGTCTGGGACCGTTCAAGTATTACCTAAGCAGATTTTTTATAATTAACTCTCCCTCCCAAATGTCAGCAAAAATAAGCAAGGCGAAGACCCCCTGCCCGCCTAGTGCTTATGTAATAATTGAATAGTACCTCTTATTTCCTAGCAAGACAAACAACATGATTCCCTTTAGATATCGAAGTACTGTTTCTCGCACTTCAGATCCATAACAATGCACAAGCAGCATTTTAGTAGAAGTCTGGTACATTAAAAAGAGGGCTGGGTTTCCTTCTGGGAAAGGGAATACTCACCCCAGGCGGTCCTGGGCTTTGCTGGTTTTGCGCGGTGCCATCTTAAAACTGCAATGATGGCTTCGCGCATTCTCAGCATGTTATAGGACCGTCCAGACTATTGGAGTAACACACTGTATAGGAATGTGTAGATGAAAAAAAAAACAAAAGTGTCACCATAATACATAAACAAAATATATTGTCAAAAGTGTCAATTATACTTGAAAAAGGTCCGCGATGGGACAAAAAGAAGAATTTTAAACATATATGTGGTTTGATTCGGCTAGAAAAACATGAAGTATATTACCAGCACTAAGCGTTTTCATATACTCTATTTTCATTCGCATGAATCAGAGATACTAGATATAGTAGAGGAAGATGACAACTAAGTTCTTAGTTTCAGATTTTTCTCAGAGAAATTCTTGGTTGAAATTTCGTATCAATAACAGCAATCTTAACCATTCTAAATACATGTTTTTTTGCGCTAGAATATATTTTACCCGTATCTCCGCACATTTATAAATGCTAGAAGATGTTTCCAATTTAATCACAAATTTGTGTTTTAGACATGCCGTTCATCATCCATAGGTGAAAACTTGTGCCAGGTACTTAACAAGAAAAATTGCTAATAACGTCTGATACCAGGACAAAGTTATAGCAGGTATAATTTTTTGTAAAGTAATGATTCTTTAAACTGTCAAATAAGTGAGATACGAATAAAATGATTGTGACAACCAATACAGATCTGGGCAACATTTTTTTCTTACCTTGAAATGTTGAAAAGCAAAGAAGGAAAGAAACATTTTGAAAAAACCTTAGTGAAAAATGCAGTCCTTTTGTAGAAGTATGCCTAAAAATCTATATAAGTATTTTTGCCAGGTTTTTGTATATAGACATTTTATCACCACTTTGCTTAAAAATACCCTCTTTAGGCCCGTATCGTCAGTCGTCCCTACAATTGTAGGGCGCGTTAAAGGCCTCCTTGATTGTCATACTCCTTTCTCTCCTTCAAAAATTTCTAGATTACACTTGTCCCGTGTCAGCGTCAGCGCTCTCCTATTGTGAAGATATGTTTTCTTTTTAAATTGTAGGAAATTTCAGGCTGATAAAACATGATATAACTCAAAAGCAAGCACAATTTGATGCAAATAGATGTTTGTGACATAACCTCAAAATAGAGCGCTGACACGGAGAAGTAGAAAACTATGACAATCAAGGAGGCCATAAAGACGCCCTACAATTGTAGGGACGACTGACGATACGGGCCTTAATCTGAGACTTTGACATGCCCCTATACAGGGTGTTACTTGATGATACGGCGTTATTACAACTGCGTATTCCTGAACTAAATTCAAATGGAAAAGTTCATATAAATATGTGTCCTAACAAGTCTGGTTTCCCAGATACAGGTTGCCAAAGATCAAAAAAATAAAGTTTTATGACAAAGGATAAATAATATTAAGCTATCATGGAAAGTCGAAAATATGTTGATAATACTCTTGTGATGAACAATTAGGATACAAAGAGATACGAAGAGACAAAAAAGTTGTATTATCAGCTGATTAACCCGATAAAGAAATACATATTTTTTTAAAAGCACATTTTTTGTTAATATTATATGTGAGGCTGTCCCCGAGACGCCATTGGAATTCATGATTATCTTCTATATAGTGTTAACTGAACGTCTTATTTCAATGAACAATACTGTTAAAATAATTGGAACAAACATGTCTAGATGAACTTTTCTACTTGAATATGGGTCATGAAGTAACATCATATATCACCCGAATCAGGGAGGTCTAAGAAAAAGCATAGCCTCATACCATGAATGTATTTATCGTTACTGGGAAGCGAAAAAGCAACTCCAATGGTCAACCTAAATGTTTTTTTTTCCTTTTGAAAAGTCACAAGCAATATAGTGGTAGGCTCCAGTATGTATTGCAACATTATTACGCAGACAATATATGACACAATCAATTCCTATTTCTCAATTTCAATCTAATATGGCCGGAATAAAAAAAACACGTGCTTTTATGCAATATAATATGGATAAAAGGAATGTGATCAATTAAAAAAATATCTAGATCATAAATGAAAAACATAGAATATGAGAAAATAATGTCCTTACAGGATAACTAGCATTTAAATAAAAAAAAATGTTCCTTGTCAGCATACTCACTCACATATCCATCATGCATTAAACATATTCTGCAAGCAAACTGACAAAGGCTTCCAAATATACAACACCCTGTGTAGAATAGACAAATATACAAGTACAAAAATTAGTGTGTAGCTCAACACCATACAATGAAATAGACTTTTCTTATTTTTGAAAGCATTTTATTTCAGTATGATGACTCGTATGATAGATAATTGGCAGTTATATCCGATTTAGAGACGCTGTGGTCTACGCTGTTCTGCTGGATTATTATGATCGTTATTTCAATTTTTCGCAGCAGTAAAATAGAAATAAAAAGTTTTAGATCACAAATAAAAATAAATGCAAGATGCGGTTTATTGTAGTTCTGCTGGTTTTGTGGTCACTTGTCTTTCTATGGTTCTATGATTCCAAACCTATTCATTTCTTGTCCGGTTTGTCTTCATGTCGTGTCCATCATAAATATTACCGAAACTTTCTTATGAAAAGAATTAATAAGGTATCAAGTACTGTCAAATTACCACGATTCACTTTGGTAGTCATAAAAACTTTTGTTTTTCCAACCACCTTTATTTGCTATCGATGTCAAAAATAACGTAACATAAGATTCAATGGTTCGATATTTTTGTTGTACTAAAAATTCTCTAATGATACGAAGTAGCAAAGTGAATTTCCATAAAAGTGCGTCTAGATATATAAAACAGGCTTTTCAAAAATTAAAAAAAACTTTACCGCCGCATGACATCGGCTATCTGCTTCAAACGGACACTAACATTAAGTATTTGTATCTCAAACACTGTAATTCCCTTAATGTACCTAATATTCCAAATAACCTATATTTTGAGCACTGTGAACATAACAGCAAAAATCTACCACAGAGTCACACGACTACGCTCTTTCCCCTGTACAGTGAAAAATGAATTTACCATGACCAAAAATTCAAATTTTCTATGACACAACATCAATTTCTCTCGGAGATGCCAGAGCAGGAGGGACAACTTGAATAATGTTGTGTGATGGTGAATTTCCTAATGGTTGCCTCACCCTGTTTTCAGCATTTTCTCGCGCTTCCATTGTTGCTTGTTTCACTGCTTCCTTGTACGGGCCTTTTTTCTTCCTGTTGTAGAGGAACTATAAATAAAATCGTAGTAAGTAAAAAATCGACCAAGGATTATATTTTACGATTGATTAACATACTCCACTAGTAGACACCCAACACATTTGAAGCCGGGCCTGCGCAAAAATAAGCATACATATCACCACCAATGCTTACAACTATACAGGGTGTCCAAGATAAGGATCCTAAGCATGGCGATCTCAATATCTGTGAGAGATACAGCTTAGATTAAATTACGAAAAAGCTGCGTTTTTTGGGGCAAGAAACTTGTAAAAACTTCATGGCTTTCTGATGTATTTGGAAAAAATTAAAATTTGGCTATTTGGTTTTTTTCTGACTTCATTTTAAGCTATATAAAAAAACTGATGGAACTTTTTCATTGGCACTTTTTGTGCCCGACGTTTCGTTTTTGAGAAACATCATCAACTTTATTTTTTTTATATGGCCTTTTTTCTACGAAATCAACGAAGTACCATCATATGTTACATTTGTTTTTTTTTGTTATAAAGACAAATGTGTTTTTTTATTTTATTTAAGTATGAGTTGCAAACAAATGCTTGATGTAAAATAAGTGTTCAAATATAGTCAACGCCAAACAAAGTGGCGTGCACGTCATCACGATAAAAATTCCCCGACCTAATGCCTAGGTTTCTATCACAAACAATTGCTCTATTGCAGTTTCATATTAATGTGATATATAAATTGTAAAATGGTCATTACTCTCTTATTATGGTTAATAGTCATATAAACATTGTTATTAAAATATCACATAAGTTGCTTTCTGATAAATTTAGACGCATTATGCGAAATAAAATGTTTTGCAAACGCTCCAATCACTTATCGACATGTAAACGCACTAAACCGATTTCGCAGCGTTGACACATTGTCACTTTGAAACTTATTTAAACTGGGAACTGACATTTGTATTAATTTTGACACTGAATCAATTTGTGGCATTTCAAATCTTTATAAATCCTTTGGCCCCGCATACTGTAAATCAACAACTGTTTGTTTCAAAACAAAATTATTCATTTTACGAGTAGATAAAGGCAATTTTGGTATATAAAGATGCCCAAACAGTTAAATAGTCGGTGTAAGGAACTCGTGGCCTCGTTAATGCACTACTTTGAGCAAGAAAGGGACAGCAACGGGCCTTTGTTGCCTTTAAATGCTGTTCAAGAGGTAGGTTACTAATAATTATATGTAATGTATATTAATAATAGTGAAATTTTATTTCATTTTTTGTAGCGTGTTGCTGCTGCTTTAAAAATTAGTTTAAGGACAGTTAGTCGTATTTCCGAGGGTGTGAAAAGTGATGCAAATTTAGAATCGCCCAAGAAAAAGCGGAGTCATATTAAACGTGTAACCAACACAGCGACATTGGATACAAGTGCCATTCGAGAAGTGATCTATAATATGTATCACAAAAGTAAGATCTTAATATAATAACTTATCAGAAATTTGCATTAATTTGTTAACTAAATTATAATGTCATATTACACATGGTTCCAGAAGAACAAGTTACGATACAAACTTTATGGTCTCGATTAAGAGATAGGGCATTATTTGATGGTAGTGCCACGTCTTTAAGGCGGTTGCTTAGAGATCTTGGATTTAAGTGGCTTAAGGACAATCCGCGACGAGGGCTCATGGAACTACCAAGTATAGCTTTGAAAAGGGTGGAATTTCTAAGGCAATACAATCAAGCCAAGGTTGAGGCCTTATACCAGTTTGTCTTCCTCAATGAAACTTGGATATTTCAAAATGGGACCATAGGTCGCTCTTGGCAAAATGGAAACCAAAAAAGCGTGAAAGCTATTAAAACAGATGGTAAAAGGTATGTACTTTTACACAATTAGCACTATAAAATTTAAAACTAATATATTTTAGATACATTATATTACATGCTGGAAATGAAAATGGGTTTATTGAGGGTAGTGAAGCGATATTTTCTTCGAAAACAAAATTGAGCGATTACCATGGAGAGATGAACCAGGACAATTTTTTGAAATGGTTTCAACATCAGTTATTAGAAAAATTGGAGAGTCCATCTATGATTATACTGGATAACGCCCCTTATCACAGCATGATATTGAACAAAGTGCCCAACAATGCATGGACAAAAAAAAATATCCAAGACTGGTTGACAAATCAAAACATACCATTTTTAAACACAATGTTTAAAACAGAGCGATTGAGTATTGTTGCTCGGTACATAATGCTTCTTAATTATATATATTTTGGTCGACAGTTTATATTTCTTTTGTTTATTCCTATTCTTAAAATAACTGCTTTTTTAGAAACAAACCACCTAAAATATACGTGATTGATGAATTGGCGGAACAACATGGGCACAAAGTTCTTCGTCTGCCTCCTTACCATTGTATATTTAACCCTATTGAGTTAATTTGGGGCATAGCAAAAGGTTACTATAACAGACATATTGGTAGAGATGGTAACAGTGAAAAAGACTGTTTGGATATGTGGAACGAGGCTCTACAAACGGTTACCCCAGACATGTGGAAAAATAGTGTTCGACATACTGAGCAAGAAATTTTTAAATGGTATGAAAGAGAACGAATTTTTGATCGACCAGACATCGAACCTTTAATAATCAACTTTGAGAGTGATGAAGATTCAGATTCAGACAGCGCTGAAGAAAGAAACTCAGACTAACTTTATTGTACAGAAAAAGCTTACACCAGTAGCTTACCTAATTTTAGAATGCATTTTTCTGTATGAATTCTGTAAAATAAATACCATGCATAAAATTTGGAGGACCCCATTTGGATTTTTATTCAGTACTTTTAAACTATCAATTAAATATGGTAGTTTCATAGTGTCATCTGATCAATAATTGTCATACTTAATGATTATGCAAGTACAGATCTATAATTTTATTATACTATTATTTTTGTTCTCATTTGAGGTTAATATTGCTTATAAACCTAGATATGTAAATAATAAATTTTATTATTTTACAAAAAGTTTGGCAACAATGTAAATTTTTCAACACACCCACCTTGATGACGTGCACGCCACTTTGTTTGGCGTTGACTATAGGTTGCCATTCTTTTCTAATCATAAATATGGTCTTGTAACAGTAGATGTAATCGTACTGCTTTCATTACATATTCTCGTAACTACCGCTCCGTTTGAAGTAAACTTGGTTTTTAATAAAACCTCAAACAATAGTCCCGTGGAGTTAAATCCGAGAAACGCGCTGGAGGTTCCAATCCACCTTCCGGGAAATTGCTGAGGAAGATAATTTCGAACTTGCATAAAATTATATACAGGAGGGCACCGTCTTGTTGAAACCAACAGCTATTAACCTGTGCCGCAGGTAAATTATCAAAGCAGTATTCTAGATCATGTTGCAACAATAAATTGAAGGTACCCGTTCTTCAGTGAATAATTAGTTGTGGTAAATAAATGGACCTAATACTTTTATCCCTAGAATTCCACACTTCATATTAAACCCAAAACGTTCTTGATGTCTGGATACTTTTTTAGCCCGCAGATTTTCTTGAGCCCAGTAATCAGTGTTGCGGCGATTGAAGATACGAGTACATTCTTAGTGGCCATACTCTCATCGGAACATGTTATTTTTTAAGGAAAATTAAAATCTTCTTCACACGTTCGTATACCACTCACAAAGATGCTGCGCCGTTCGCTATCCCCTGGTCTAAGTCACTGGCAAATCCTGAATTTATAGGGGTGATATATATTTTTATGCAAAATGAATTGGGCTGTGGATCCTATGTTTTTCTCGATATTCATTTAAATACTTAGTCAACCCGAATAGGCTTACTTGACTGCCTTCTTTCAGTAAATTTATCAAGATATACTACTGCAGTATTTTTAGCATTTTTGTAGCACAAAATGTAGCACGTCAGCATGTAGATCTTTTCTTGATTGCTAAAATGACCGCCTGGCATCTTTGACGATAATAAAGCAATATTAACAATACACAATAATAACAATACTCGGTGACAGGTATTTACGTCACGCCAAGTATTTATTTGCAATGTCTACTTGAAAAAGAAAACGAAAAAACGCATCTTCCTTTATAACCAAGGAAATAAATGTAACATACGTAGTTGAATCCGTATAGTCAAGCGGAATCGCACAGTAACTCTCTCTGTTGCGTGACTCAGTAGAAACACTCTAACAAAACCTGAATCAAAATTTGTTTTCTTTGCTCTTCTCCTTTTTTATTCTCTTTTTCCTTGACATTGTCTGGTTTCTGGGCAACCAGAACTGACTGATTCGACTAACGTACATTAAACAGTGACAAATGGGCAAAGGTCCTACGGACCGCCCAGACAAACAAATGACGAATAGTATTGTTGAGTTCGTATAAAAAATGGTATTAGATACAGGATGTACTTTTTTCGGGCCATATGATAAAATAAAGTTGGTGGTTTCTCAAAAACGAACCGCCGGGTACAAAATTTAAAAACACCATCATATAGTGCTTAAAAAGTCCAAATGGAAAAGTTTCATTTGTTTTTTTATATTTCTTAAAATAAAATCAGAAAAATAATCATGAATTGTTCAAATTTAAGTGTTTCCCAAATATCTCATTAAGCCATGAAATTTTTACAAGTTTCTCAACGGCATGCAAATACGCCTCAAAGAACACAACTTTTTCCTAATTTAACCTAAACTGTATCTCCCACAGGTATTGAGATCCCCATGCTTAGGATCCTTATTTCGGACACCCTATATACGTGTCAACCACCCCATTTAGGTGCTAGCGTTGCCAGCTCTTGGACTATTGCCGTAGGTTATGTGAATTCTTTTTCGTTCATTTGTATTGTGAGAACACGAAACCATAAAAATAACTACGCGGAAAGTTGAGGGATGATCTTTCCTTGGCAGGTTTGTTTGTTTGTTTCAGATTTATTTAGCATTAACGCTACAATGTCCATAATATCCATATTACACAGTATGTCACAAAATATATTATGTATTCAAGACTACATATTTTTATACTAAATTTCACTACTATGAATTCTGGTTTTCCATGAGATATTTTTTCAATTTCCCTTTGAACGTTTTCAAACTGACACACATCTTGATATCATTACTTAATTTATTAAATTCGTACAATCCCTTTTGAAATGCTGACTTGTTCGTTATATTGCTACTGCAGTTTTGTAAATGAAAGTCTATATTTTATCTAGTAGAATAATTGTGGCACTCATTGTTCAATACAATAAAATTTTCTAAGTGATTTGGTAGAAGACGATTGTTTAACTTGAATATGAAAATGAAAACCAAGTAGGCTATGAAATTTTTGATATTTAACCATTGTAGTTTTTTCAGCATAAAATTCATTCTAGTATACATATTTATTTTTATTTAAGATGATTCTCATAGCTTTATTTTGTAATATTTGTAATTCTGAAAATACAGTTTCATTTGCAGTGGACAAAATAGTCGAACAATATAACAAATGAGGAAGAATGATCGTGTTGTACACAATTTTTTTAGAATAAACGCTTAGGCTATGCGAAATTCTATAAAAGTAATTTATTTTCTTGGATATTTTTTATGCAAGCTTAGTAAACAATTGTTTATAAAAGTAAAGTTAAATCTGTCATTAATACCTTCAGGAATTTAGAAAGATCCTACATGGCTGTGCCGATCAGAATTGTCTAAATACAGCACAATGTTGGGCATTTTCTTGGAGAATAACTTAATCAATAATATTAAACAGTTAAGATGAAATAATGCACATTAATTTGCTGAAAAAAAAATCAATTACCTTGAAATTGTCTAAATAATGGCTGAGCTGATCACACTGCATCAAGGAGGAAGTAGATGATCCATACCACGCCACATGTGCCTGAGGTCCTTGGTTGCTGCTATTAGTCATTGTTAAGATTTTCCCTGGCCACCATGGAAACCCTCGAATTTTCCCCCAAACCACGTCTCCCACTAATAGGCGAACGCCTACAATAAAAAACAACTTATTTGTTATGTGTACTGGATATTTCCATTATACTCCTCTACTATAGTAGGAACTTATAAAAATTAGCAGAGTTATTAGCAGTAGGGCTGCGGCATGATATCGCTTGTTATTTATTGAAATAATCGCCCGGAGTCAGGCTTTGACGCAATTTGATGAGCGAAGATTATTCTGCGAGATACGCTTTTATTTTGTTCTGTTTGATATATAAGAAGCAGGATAGAGGCGCATCAACTATATTATTTCTCAAGTATATATTTCAACTCTTGAACGCAAGGGGGTACAGAGCGTCAAGTTACCAGTAACATTTTTCGAGATTCGCACGAACATTTCATACTTCGTTTTGTTTCACGTACCACTTCGCAGTCAATTCGAAAATAGTTAAAATATATGATAGATAAATATGCTTTATTGTCTGAAGACTACAATCATTCTTAAGGTTGATTTATATACCCTGACGCAGAACTTGAATCATGCCTTCTACGTTAAACTGTTTATAAACAGGAATGCAATGTTCGTCAGCAAAATTGACGCTAGACTTGACGAAGTTTCAGCGTTCCACCCTTGCTGTTCCCGATTCACATGCACGTGCTTTGTTTTGCTTTTGAAAATCGGTGCGACTTCGAGATTGTTTGCTAATTTTTTTTACACCGAAGCAGCAGCGCAGGCCTAAATGCCAGAACACCGCGACTGCTACGAGCTATGAGGATCCCAAGAAAATTTTGTTAATCCGATTTTTGAACTGCCTAAGGTTTGAACTAAAAAAGCCTCCTCTTGTAGATTGTTCCACAGTCTCGACACCCTCGGGACAAAGGAGCGGTCGTTTCGGCCAGTTCTGGATGAACGAAGTTCGAAACGGTTCTCGATACTGTCTATTAGAGAAGAGTCATCGATCAGTAGGACAGCCCTCCTCTGGACGTCATCAATCATAAATAATGTGGTCGCGGCGGCAGTGCCCTAAACGTGTCTGATCTGGGCCTTGTAATTAGCGGAAGCCATGCGGAGAAAAGTACTTTTTAGAGATGTGTTCAAACCAGATAAAGTCCTCGGTGATCTGGACTCCGACCAGCTGAAATTAATGGCCCTTTGGTAGAACTCGACCATCCATCGAGACCGGATGAGCGCTGTCATCAGCAAATCTGTGGATTGGGATGATCGTACAGGAAACAAGGTCGTTGATATGTAAGAGGAGCCAAGACCGATCCGTGGGAAACACCCGCGTTGACGTTGTGGGATGGAGAACCCGTCAATTACGGCGGATATCTTGCGGCCACAGAAAAAGTCAGCCACCGATTTGCAAATCATCTCTGGGAGGCCAAAGGATAGTTTGCATATGAGGGCGGCGTGTCACAGTTGATCGAACGCTTTCGTGATATCGAGCGCAACGACATGAGCCTCACCCTAAGACTGGATGAGTTTACTCCACAATTTCGTGACGTAAGCTAGGAGATCCCCTGTGGATCGCTGGTACCGGAAACCATACTGCCTGTCGCTAATCAAGTCGTGAAGTTCGAGGTAGTCCAGAAGCTCGCGATTTATGCAACCCTCCATCACCTTAATTATAACAGAAAGCAGAGCTATAGGCCTGTTAGTTGTGAGGGATGGTCTTAGATCCTTTTGCGGGATGGGGGGGATCTGAGCAAATTTCCAGTTTTCTGGGAAGGCGCCCGATTTTAAGATATCTGGAAGAGACGCGAAAGAACTAGACCAAGTTCGCTGCACACCTCTTTAATCAGGAATCAAGTCCGGACCAGAAACTTTGTTGATGTCGAGCGATAAGAGCATCCATCTTACGGTCTTAAGCCTGAAGGTTACTTCCCGCGTAGTGCAGGAAACCCTTTGAAGCGGCGGCACTCGGGCGTTGGGCGACGTCCATGGTGCAGTTGGTAGCAAAGATCTTGGCTTGCACTTCCGCCTTAGCATTTGAGTCAATTAGAATCGTTCCATCCTGACACGTAACTGGTGGAAGGCACTTTAGTTAAATAATAATCTGTGATGAAGACACTGCAACTGATCTTCATACAAGTTTGGTGACCAAATATGTGACAAAGAATGCAATTTTGGATTAATTAATTTAATTAATTTTATAAATTGATTTTAATTGCCAGCAGCGGCGTTGCGGTAACGGTACGCCGGCGGTACGGCAACGTCAAGAGTTTATAAATCGACCTTTAATGACAAAATATAAAACTAAACTATAACAATTACATATTTGGATCTCAAGTAAATGAATTATAAATTATTGGGTATTGCACAAGTGTTCATTTAGGTACTACTAATTTAAAATCTTGTTTTCGCCAAATTTAGATTTATTTTAAAAAATGAGAGCTGCTGTGTCTAAAATGAACAATGATGTGACGGTCATTATTCTAAGATAGCAGGAAGCTTTAGGATTGCTTTTAGAACATACACACCAAAGGGGAATGCAATATCTTAATCTACTTTCAAGTAAGGCAAAATAACTGTAAGTCTTTATTGTTTTTAAATTGCCTTCGAATGATATAATCACAATTTGGATAAAAAATAACCATCACGTGCCAGTTTGTGTGTCCCAGACTAACCACCTGACACAGAAGTCAGTCTGAGACATTTTTAAGTCAGTCCTTAATTTAAGGCTTTTACCGATAACTAGCTTTTATTTACATATAGAGAGATCCTGTTTGTACGATTTTGAAGAATTTTAGTCAATGCAATTTACTGAACTTCAGTTGCTTCATTCACTTTAAAGAATCATGTGAATAATTACAACAGTAAATTTTTTGAGTTTCCATTTTTGTCAGGTTGTGACGTCTACTTTCACAGTATGTTCACACCAACTAATTCAGACTAGGTAGAAGGGGCCAGTCAAGGATTAGTTTGTCTCATTCTCATCGTCTATTGCAAGTGTCAAAGTGCACATGACATGTCACTTTTTGACAGTTCTGTCATTAAATTCATAGTTTTGTGTTATTTTTTAAAAGTGCGAGTGTTTGCAGATAATTATGGTGTTAGACGATTTCAGGAATGATGAAAAAAATGTGCTGTATTCACCGCGGATAAAATTATTGCTTCATCTCTTGCCCTTTTTAGTCCGAATAATAAAACGAAGTTTTAGAAATCCACAGTGTAATGTACTATTGGAGTTAATCTATGTTTCTCTATTCCTTTCTCAAATAGACTAAATCAAAATACCCCTTACTCACCGTCAGCCCCCACTGCGTTCGTGACTGTCTGCGAGTTGATCCTGAGCATCAATGGCGGATTCGCCTGCGGAAAATCGGGCACCGTTTCCCCATGTTCGTCCGAACTTGACACGTCGTCCGGTTTATCAGTCAAACGACACGGAGCGTAAGTGTTGTTCAAACGACGAAGGTTGATGGAAAGCTTCTGCGTGATACACTGCTCTTTGGAGTCGTCTTGAGTCGAACTCACCTGAGAATATACTCAAATTCAAGACAGCCTGCCCTTTAAGTCCTCTCTTTATAATGACTTACACTAAGGGGACGTTCGTGCCAAAGATGTGACATACTCCACCAGAAGATGCCCAACTCAATTGAAAGCAGTATCTGTGATTTAGACTTTTAACAGCAATGAAGTGTTAACCAACAAAATAGCTGATCTGGTGGGAACAGCAGGTATAGATACGCGCATATGTCGGAATCGTTAAACTTTTGGTTTGGTACTTTGTATTCAGTGCAATAAATGTTTTCATGAATTACATCAAATAATGGGACGTTGCCGCTCACTCATTTGCAGTTGACAATGCTATCATAATGCATTTGTATCTCAGTGTAATAAAAGTATAGTTCAAAAATAATAATAACCTTAGTTTTGCCATGTATTGTTATAACTGCTCGCTAATTTGAAACAAGCCAGCACAAAGCGCTACTCTATTTCAAGAATCGGCCACTGCAAGAGTGTACGAGGTTTGTCCGGAAAATTCGTATAAAAGTGGAATAATAACTTCAAAGTACGCCTCCTGAGACAAGATGCACTTCTGCCGACGCCGTATCTACTGTGGATTCGATCGCTGAAAGTCTTCAATTGTGAGGCTCTTTATTTGCCGTGTGGTTTCTGACTTGATGGCTTACTCATCCCCCAAGTGCCGGGTGAATAAGGCGGGTGTTCTGTCACGGTGATTGAGCTTTGGGCCAAAAACGTGAGACGTGCGAGCAGGTGCGTTGTCGTCATGGAGGATCTACCTACCCCCTTGTGCCAAATCCGGCCGAACTCAGCCACACGAGCTCTGAGAGGATGTAAAACTTCAATGTAGAAATTTCCGTTCACTGTCTGGCCGGGAGGAACAAATTCCTGGTGAACAATGCCCCGAGAATCAAAGAAAACAGTCTACATTGTTTTCAAATTGGACCTTGATTTTTTCGACTTATTTTGTTCTCAGTTCCCTTGTTTCCACTCAGCTCTACATCGAATTCGTAGAACCAAGACTCGTCTCCAGTGATGACCCGGTTAAGAAAGTCCCCCCTTTCCTCTGCTTCCAAAACAATCCTCACAGCTAGCAATCCTTGCTTTCTGTTTTGGAGTCAAGAGCTTCGGTACGATTTTCGCGCACAATTTTTTCATTTCAAGTTTTTCTGTCACAATTTCGTGGACGATTGACAGTTTCTCAGCTATCATTCTAACTGTCAATCGACGGTCAATTCGTTCAACATTTCCCTCAGAGATCGATATGGAGGGGTGTCCTGAGCGTTTTTCAACCTTTACAACCACTTGTTGACGGTTGCTTCCCTCACAGAATTGTGTCCGCAAACTTGTTCCAAACACTCAAAAGTCTCACGACCATTCTTGCCTAGCTTTGCAAGAAACTTGATGTTGATGTGCTGTTCCTCGATCAGAGACGGCAGGTAAAAAAGGGGTTACTTGCAACAAGCACACATAAATCCTACTTACTAGCAGAGCGCTCCGGCTCGAGCTGATCATAGATGAGATTGCATAGAGAGAGAGAACCACAGAGCCACCCCTCCACAACGCCTTGACACGACGCCTCGAATTTTGTATACGTATTTGCCGGACAAACCTTGTATAGCAGCTATCGGTTGGAACTGTGAAGATCACAGTTTGCATTTGATAGCCCAGCTACCACAGTGACCACTAGAGGCTGACGATTCTGCAGATATAGTAGATGTCGTCTACTCGCCGTTGAATAAATAGACATGCTGCTTTAACAGATCTCATACCTCGGATGAAGGATAGTTGCTATGTTTTTGTTCAGATCAAGACTGGATTATACTGATACGTTGCCAAAAAAGCACGAAACAGCTGTCCATGGTTAGAAATCTGTGGTCGAAAAACGAAAGCAGTATCCTGGAAAAAGCATACCCTCCGGGATAACAACCATACAATTACAGTATGTTACAACGAGTATTACCACTGATTAACGTATTCTAGCTGAAGATACCCAGCCTAATACTATAATCAACCCGAAAAGAAATGAGATATCATAGCTTCATATATGAGAATTAGTCTCAGCTATATTTGCAATCTTTGAAACATTAACCTTTTCAAAGTAGATTTCTAATTATTGCGGACAGGAGATATACAGAGTGTCCCAGAAATACTACGTCAGAGTGACACGGGAGGTAGATTGGCTGCAGATCAATCAGATAAAATCAACATGACGTTAGTAAGTTTTCTAGTTTGCGAGAAATTGCCACTTTTAGGCTTTTTCAAAAGATCGCTACCTTTTGCTCTTTTTTGCCTGTTATGGCGATAAAGAACCTGATGTTTTTTTTCATGGGCTAGCATTAATAGTTGGTTGAGACAACCTAGTATTCATTTCATTGAAAACTATCTCGGTATGCTAAAACAAAATATTGCATTTTGTTTCAATGTGAAAACTGAAGTTTGACTAATTACTGTGAAAAAAAATGTACCAGACCAAAACTTAAATTTACTTAGATTTTTTGCAACATCATCTAACCATTATTTTGAAGATGTGCCCCTTGAGGCAAGAAGAAGGATGTGTTTACAGAATGATGGGTGACAGCACACTATGCTAGTGTATTTAGAGGGTATCTTGATGACACATTCCCTAGACGATGGATTGGCTGGCTAGGACCAATTTTATGGCCTCCACGCTCCCCCGACCTGAACCCCCTGGGGATGTTTAAAAGATAAGGACTATGGAAAACCAGTTCGATCAGACGATGAACTGCGTCATCGAATCCGTCAACTAGCACGCAAAATATCCGATGTAAGTTTAAGACGTTTAAAATTACAATTTTTAAGAAGATGCAGGTTGTGTATAAGAGAGTTAGTATTTTTTAGATGCAGTATTTCGCAAGTATTACGACTTCAATGACAACAGTTAGAATTATTCAGTTTTTAGTAAAAAAAAAAACATTCAAATGTTATACTAGTTTTGACAGAGCATTAAATAGCTGGTTTTTTAATATCATTTGCTGATTCAGTCTGGCACATTTTTTTTCACAGTAATTAGTCATATTTTAGTAACGGTTTTCGCACTGAAACCAAATGTAAATTTAGTTTGTTTTAGCATACTGTGCTAGTCTTCAATGAGATGAATACTCGGTTGCCTCAACCAACTATGAATTGTAGCCTAGGGGAAAAAATGCATAAATTAGAAGTTCTTTATAGCCATAACAGGCAAAAAAGGAGCAAAAAGTAGTGATTTTTTTGAAAAAACTTAAAAGTGGCAATATCTCGAAAACTAGAAAACTTTTACTAAGGTCATGTTGATTTTATCTGATTGATCTGAAGCCAATCTATCCCCCGTGTCACCCTGGCGTGATATTTCTGGGACACCCTGTATATTGATGACGCTATGTTATCTCATTTCATCTCGAATAATTTTTGGGCACTGGAATATAGTATTTGGTTGGCTATATTCAGGTAAAGTATGTTAACGAATGGTATTACACAGCCGCAGCACCATAGGGAGTGTAAATGGCAAGACCAGCTTAGCGTCACCTTGTAAGAATACATTAACAAATGGTGTTAATGGTCCGAATGCTGTCTGATTTATGGGAATTGGCACATTGTGGGATATGAGGTTAAGTTGCATGTCGACCCTCTTCATTAGACATGCATCATCAAGGCAGTGTCATCATTTGCGACCGGCTGTGTAGTACTGGTAATAACATACTGCAAAACGGAAGGATCATAGTATATTTGCTAGTAGTATTTAAATGTAGCTAAGTAATATAAAAAGTATTATTTCATAATGAAAAGATAAATCTGGCCAGGGTTAAAATGACAATTTTCCTTAAAAGGAAAATCAAAACTATTTTCAAAAACACCATAAGGTTGGGCATTTTCTTGAAGAATACGTTAATCAATTAGTGAATTTATTGTAAAATTTTGCAGAAATTCAAAAGTAAATTTCACATGGTTTGCTACTTACAGCTAAAGTATAACAAAACAAGTAGGGACTTGACGTGCGGATCATGCGTATACTCTTAAACCTAATGGAGAAAAAGAAAAAGGTGCATAAAATATATGTATAAACGTGAATAAATGAAGTTAAAGTACCTCTCCTTCTTTATGTTTTCTATCCTTATCTTCCCGATGCTTCTTTTTATGCTTCATTTTGTGCTTCCTTTTTCTGGGCATGTTTATTTCGTACATGTACCGCGGAGAGTTGTTTCCTAGACCGTGACGAGGTGAAGCACTACCTACTGTGTACCTGAAAATAAATACATCAGGGTCAGATAGCAAGTGGCGCATCCAGGGGGGTGTCCAAGGGATCCAGACATTCTAAAAATATCAGAGTTCATGTTTTTCAATTTGCGACGACCCCCTCTCCTGCTCTTCAATTTCCAATATGTGATCCCACACTCTCGAGTCGGGGATCCATCTGAACATGAATCCTGAGCTCTCCCCCCACACTTTTTTCATATGGATCCATATTAGTCTCATTTTACAGAGATGCTTTCCTAGCTAACAGTTGCAATGCAAGTAGTGAACTGACTTACCAACTTAGTGAATTGTGCGGTCTATACTGTTACAGACCATTAAACGTCGAAGAAAATGTGAGAATATTTTCATTGATGACCAATTGGCCAAAATAATATATTTACTTATCATCACAGATATTCGTTTAACATAGCTGTCGTGTTCTAATGTTGCTACATTGTATTAGAAAGTAGAATGGAAATGTAGCATTTTTTCTTACTTCATGCACTTACCTTGGAGAAAGACCACCAGCTTTGCACCTTGGGGATGCACCTCCTGAAGCCACACCTAACATAATTCTTTTTCTCGCTTCTTTTCTTGCTCTTTTCAGTGCTTTTCTCGCTGCTTTACCACCATCTGAAAATCAATTTTAAAGGGTTTTAAATGTAATGTTTTCAGTGATTTAACCTACTAAATTTGCAATAAGCTACCGACAACAGTTTTGGTAGCAAAATAATCTAAGCACAATCGTGAGTCACTCAGTGGAAAATAAGTAGAACTAATTAAATTGTCAAAGATTTTTTAGTTACAAAATACATTACTATACAACTTAATCACAAACATTTGCCTTTTTAGTGTATCTTGACAAAGAATTGGTTCAGAAATCAATTTATAAAGTGTTTTCAATGTAATATGACTAAATTCAAAATCATTCATTATCAATTTTGAATAGTACTTAGTTTTCATTTATATTACGTGACAGTGCTTGCTTTACCATGTTAAATCACACATATTAGCACCTTGTTTGTAGTAGTGAGATTTGCGCGGTTTTGATCGTTAACGATTCCTTATTAAAAAATTTCCAGCAGGAAATACAGTGGCGAAGCGTCCATGTAACCATTGTTACCATTGGTAACAGTTAAAAATCTTAAAAGTAAATATTGACTTAAATAATATGACTTAAGTACTGTGAAATAATTTCATTTATTTGTTTACCAACAGCGATTTCGTAATAGTAATTCAGTAAATAGCAAATTAGCCCCAAAAATGCATAGTGATGTAATTTTAATAGACAAGAATGTAAAATTACAGAAAATTGATTAAAAAATGTATAAACGAATAATTATGTAAAATTGCCATTGTAGCATTAATTCTAAATAAATCTGCAACAATCAAACAAACTTTCATTAAATTTATTCATTTCTTCATTTTTATATTTAATTTATTTCACTTAATTATTATTCATAATCAATTCCATGAACCAAAAAGCCTACAAGCGAAACTAAATTCGACGTTTTATTAATTAATTCCACACCTCCATACAAAATTTTCCACAGTAGGCCATGGACAGGTTCTTATTCAGAACAAACTTGCAGCAAACAATATTAAATCATTGATTTTCTCACCATGGATGTCAACATTTTCTTCCGAATCATCCTCCAGACTTTCTGCAGGTATTTTCAAAACTGTGCCTTCTCCTTGAGGTCCGTAGGAAATTTTGATAGTTCTGGTACTAATGGAGGGCCCTGGTGGATCTGATATGGTGGCGGATGGTACTGTCGTTGATGGTCTGTCATCAGAAAATACAGTTTTCAAGGTACCCCTCAATTAAAAAAAAGAACAAAAAATCGGTTCATCCATTTGAGAACTATGATACCACAAACAAAAACAGACACACCTCGACTAGAAACCACAAGCACCACTAACGTTCCGATTGCCTTGTCAGCCTTTAATGTGCAAATCGGCTGCCTAAGGCAATCAAAAATCGTGTGCAGTGCATATCATCTCTTAAATGATCCGCTACTTGCCATACGAGATTAAAATATGTGATCTGTCAAAATATGTAAGGAATATAATCCTCCATGTTTGTTTGGCAGCTTAACGAATACATATGTTTGGAATAGTTTACTGATGACGCTTTGGACACAACAGTGGCCTTTTTCGAGTAGAATTTGAAAATTCTGATAATATATTTTGTTCGTGCCTTCCAGGTGACACTTCGTTTGGGAGCGGCAGGGGTATTACTTAATAATCCTAAAAAACGTAAAACAACGACGAAGAGTCATCTTGCAGACTAGGTAGTTTTCAAGTAACACGCACAGCTACAAAGCAAGTTCTCACAAAGTGTACAACAGCTTGTGCTAAGTTAACATCTCGTAGAAAAACCTACGTTATGTCACAAAAAAACTACGAAATATCAAAAAACGTAACTTTTCAAAATACGTAATACCCGTGTTGGAATGCCTACCCTAGGCAGTCGTGGGCTTTGTTGGTGTTGCGAGGCGCCATCTTAAAATTGCAATGATGGCTTCACGCAATCCCAGCATGTTATAGGATCATTAAGACCATTGTAGTAAAACACTGTATACAAATGTAAAAATCAAATTGAAAAAACAAATGAAGTGTCACCAGTAAGACGTATAAACAAAGTATATTGCCAGAATTGTCAAACTGTACTTGAAAAATGTGACCGTTGTGACCGGAACGTCGACATCCGTAAGCAGTACCTCAAACATATCTGGTCTGATTTAGCAGCCAGACAGAGATGGATGATTATCAGCATGAAAACCACATGATAAGTTTCGTGTATTACATTAACCAAATGTATAGACTATTTCGTGCACATAATGAAAACGTTTATTCGTTCAATTTCAAGTAGCGTCTTTGTGTCACTGGTCAACATTGCGAATGATTGACACAATGCTACTCAGCATTGACCTTTCAGCCAATTTATCCATGGAAATATCTGCTATTACGGAACAAAAATTGCAATAAAAAATGACCAACTCTCCATAATAACTATCTTTTTGGAGATTACTTCTAATTAGTGAATTAAAAAATCAGTTGTCCTTCAATAGCTAACTTACCTGCTTTAGACATTTCACTTTTACTCCAGTATGGTATGCCAATTATAAGACAGATAGTATAGTATGTGCAGTATCGCATTATTTCAATCCACAACTTCAGTTATATTGCTGTCAGAGTGGTCATGTAATATGTTGATGAAATTCAACAAGTATTTCACTATCCAGAACATGGATTGGAGTAAGACCAATTTGAACTTGTAATATTTTTCCGAGGAAAATTCTAACATTCCAATCCTTTTCCAAATAAAAGTACATGCATTTTCAAACTTGCAATTTATTATACACAAAATACATAAAATGTTCCTAATAGTAGTTTTATACTGGAGTGTATTTAAAGTTAGTTGCTCTTTACATACTAACTACTGAGGTAGGATAGGAGAATTTTAGGTTTACAAAACTCTGTAAATGCATTGTAAACATTCTAAATATTAAAATCTTAGTGTTGTCATTACAAGATTTTTCAAACAAGTGAGTTTCTTTTTGATATCTCAGTAATTAATAAACCATGAAATTAAGAATATATTCAGGTATTCAAGGTCATGAAAGAATAGTTATTGGAAATACAGTTCAGAAATTTAGACTTTTTGTGTGTAGCAAAATTTGATAATGATGGTTAATAAGATGGAAAAATCACGATTTATTCGACTTTATAGTCATTTGGGTTCCCACTTAACAAATGCCATCCTCGCAATTTTGCCGCGGTTAAAACCGCCAAGTACTAGACTGAACTAACAAATATAATAACACCTGCTTACCACCAAAAAGAAACCCACTCTTCTCGACCAAGTCCCCTCTGATTCATCTCCTTTATCTTGACCAACAGATGTCAGCAAAGATGTTTAATAAATGACGTTACTACTATTTCAAGCTCTGTGCTTTTATTGACCAGGATGAGAGATTGGTCAGAGGAACAAACACAGAATAGATGCGGGAATCGCGTCACGTGAATTCTCAAGCTATCAAGCAAACTGGTGACCTCGAACGTAAATTCAGGGTATGTTATACCAAACACATCTCGTATAGTTAGTTTCCGTTTGCTGTGAATGTCACGCGTCATTGTCTTTCACATTCCCCTTTCGTTCGTTATTTCTTCTTCATACACACTACATTCCGGATCATCATGTTCAAGTACAACGTGCAATAAAAGTATAAAGTTAATTTCTTGCTTTAATACAGGAGTCTACATACTTTCAAACCCTACATATGCAACACGAAGCATCCGCGTAGACAGGAGCATAAATATCGGCTCGGCTATCAAGTAAAAACCTATAAAACGTGAAAAAATGTCATCTTACAGACTACGTAGTTTGTAGGGTGCAAATAGTTCATATCACGTTTGCTCGCTACGATCGCTTTGAACGTCCATCTATGCAGGAATTACTCAACTACCCGCATTGTTGATTGCAGAAAGCAAATATATGTTTTGTGAAGCCGAGTAGTCTGTAGTGTTTACCGCTGAGAAGATGTGGAAGAAAGAAAGTTGGTTGAGTAACAAGATCGCATCTGGATGATTATGTGTATTGGTCTCGTTGTGTATAAAATCGTAATATTTGCTATGTGAGAAAATTATTACTGAATATGCTGCCAATAAAATATATCTATTAGGTGTGCCCGACAGGTTATTTATATATTGTCGTCTCTGAAGACAGGTTATGTTCAAAGTTATAAATTACGATTTTTCCCGTTTTTTTGTGTTTTCAAAAACTTTGAGGAGCAATACGAAAAGTCGCCACCGCGCCCGCGTTGTGTGCAATGCACATCACAGAAAAATCAGGAATGACGCATCACACTTCAAACATTTTTGCAGTACCTCACATCTAGACGCCGATTTGTATTTACTACTGACATCGCTAAATAAATTACTATAAAACTTAAATGACTGGAAAAAAATAATAACATTTTCACTTTCATGGATATTCATGCCTGTAGCAAATTTTCTCACCTGTTACTTCATCAACCAGCGATTTTCTTTTCTTATCTCCCTCATTTTTGAAATTCAGCAAATTTGCATATGTAATTTCCAGAATGAATAAGAAAAAGTGGATGCACAACTAATTTATACCTTTGGATCTCAAGTAAGTGTATTTGAAACAAGAAACCAATGGAATTATCATCAACACATATTATTAGCATACAAATCCTCTCTATGCACCTATGCGCTGCCGTTTCCTTCCAGCTATAGTATACAACTTAGAGGTTAGACCTCCAATAATGCCATCTGTGAAGCAGCTTTGAATATCAAGTAAGTATATTTGAGACAAGAAACAAATGGGATTAGCATCAACACATGTTATTAGCACACAAATCCTCAATATGCACATCACATTAGAGCCAAACATTGATAACTGAAGCATCATGACGTTTATACAACACATACAACTACAAAAAGAGTTCACAACAAGTGTCCATCAGCTAGTGGTAAGTTAACATCTTGTAGAAAAAACAAGTAATGTCAAAAAACCTATGTTATGTCAAAAAAACCGACCTAATGTCACGTTTCAAGATACGTAATACCCGTGCGGGATACCGCAACTGCTATAAGGAGCTCAAAGACACTTTGATTCTTGAACTACCTAGGGTTAGTAGAACTAGGAAAAGCCTGTTCAAGCAGACTGTCCCACAATCTTGAAACCCTAGGCATCAAGGAACAGTTGTACCGGCCACGTTAGGATGGGAGGCAGGATGGCAGGCTCAGCGCACGACGGTATCATAAAGGAGAGATAATGGGGACGACCATTAAAGTATTAAGTAAGCTCTAAGGAGGGTATTTGCTTTACTTATTTTGTAAATTTTGTGATTTTCTACAAAATTTAGTCCATTTGAATTCGAAAAGATGGGGAGGGGGTTATTTACTGTGAGAAACTGCCAGTGTAATAGTTGAACCTCTCCTGGCACAAATTTAGAAATATGCTATTGTTACCTTAGACATCCATACTGCAGTCAATCCATTTTATATTTTAATACTACTGTTTGCATAACTCGTAAGTTCACGTGACAAGAAAGTAATATCATTAATGAGTTCCACTTCCCTTTCATAAACTGAACACCCTGAAACACACATCATCATCATTACCTACTAGCCTCCTCCCATCGCTCCTCAGTCGAACTGGCACTGCGCTTCTTCCGGAACATCCTCTTTAGCTTAGCGGGTGGTGGAGGTGCCACTTCCGCTTCCTCTCCCCCCTCTCTCTCCGTGACATCTGCCGCATCAGAAGACTGGTCTTCCGAATGATTGTTGCTTCTGCTTTGATCTGAATCGTGGCCGTTTTCATGATGGTGGTGGGGCTGAGAATTGGTTGACTGGCGTTTGGAGGAGGAGGATGAGTCAGCTGATCGGCTAGTACCTGGAGAACAATACATTTAAAAGTAAATGTATTTCTGGATTTTGCTTCTAAATAAAACTAAGTTTCAGAAAAATGATATGTCTGTTTATGGCATTAGAATGTTAGTTATTTGCAAACAATATTCTCTCAACTGTTTCCAAAAATGATCAATTTTTGTCTAATTTTTTTAGTAGCTGTTTGGCACAACAGCCGTATAGAAAGCATATAAAAATGGCGTCAAGTAGTTTGACTCTGCACTTCCCACGCAACGCCCTTAACAGTACGTAAAAGTGTATGTTCAGAACAACCTAGTCGTTCTGAGAAAAAATCAGTCAAACAGGACCATACAAATAGTCCATAGATATTCTTTCCCTGCCCTACAAGTAGTGCATCTGGAAACGTCGCCTCTCCCAGACACCTAACTTCGACAGATGTGGCACCGTGAAAGTGGTATGCGGCCTTAACATAGAAAACACTATGCTGTTGCTCCTCAGAAATACGTGTGGTTCCATAATAGAACAGTCATCATGGTCGGCGCACGACGCCCGCAGTAGCCGCGGCCCATAGGTACACGATCCGTCCCGCAAATATATCTATGTTTTTCGGGCTAATGTACAGAGGATTCTATGATGTGTGAATGTACCAGCATCAAAAAAATGAGCTGTCACCCTCACCAACCCTGTACAACTCCCACCCCCAAGTTTGTTTGCCTCTAATTCTTTTTTAATGATCAGGATCCTCTGAAACGCTAAAGTTTGAGCGATTTTTTTTTCGTTTTAGGCCTTTTCCTCTACCGCCACTGGACCGATTTTCAAAAACTGCAAGGCTTTTGCATCCTTGACATGGTTGTAACATTATCGAACAGACCGACGGAAAGGAGTTATATGGTTTTTCTGTTACGTACTTGTCATATAAGTCTATAATAAAACTACCTACCTTCTGTCACATCTGTATTCTGAGGCACTGTCCCAGTCAACCTAGTAAGATACGGCACCACAGACTGCGCGGTAGCCCCTGCTTGCTGCTGTTGTCCCCCGCCCCTGTCCCTAGGAGGCTTTCTCACCTGTGCCAATACGTTTGTCGACCTCGTCACAGGAGCATTTAGGCCCCTCTTTGCAGACTGAGCAGGGAGCGGCGAGGACAGCTCTGGCTTGTCGGAGAACTTGCGCTTACGGGACACGTTCTCAGAGTTTTCGTTGCATATGCCTTTGCATTTGGAACATAGTACCTTTGGGAAAAAACTTAGGTTAAGGGCATAGATGTACCTGATACAGCTATTCTTAACACATAGCGAAGCTACTAATACAAAGGGTGCTTTAAAAGTTTTGCAATACAGCTTTATTTATTGACTTCGTTCAAAGTAATTTCCACCACATTCAATACACTTCATCCGCCAAAACCAGCTCTGCCAAGTTAGTGTGCGTGTACACAGTCGTTGTCCCGATCCCTCAGAAGGTCCCCTCATCTGTTTACCTTTTAGCTTCATTTTCACATGCAGAAACAGTGCAAAATTCGCAGGGAGCAAGATCTGGACAGTAAGGAGGGTGCTCAATAAATTTCAGTTCAGTTTTTGTGGTCAAATACTCAGTCATTTTTTCGTAACAGATCGGGATTTTCTGACAGCTACGGGTGTGTCCTCCTAATCAAAGACCCAAACTTTGTTTTCAGCCTGGGTCGGCACATCGTAAAATAGAGCCAGTCTCGTCACCTGTTATGATGCTGTTCATCCACCGACATTGCCCCTTATCAAACATTTTCAGCATCTTTCGACACCAAGTCCTACGACGAGTCTTCTGCTCTTCCGTCAGACTATGCGGTACTCAGAGAGAACAAAGTTTCCATACGTGTAAATGGTCATGCAGAATTGGATGAATTGCTGGTGCCTGAAGATGTAAGGTCTCCTCTATCTGTTGGTATATCACCCTCCGGTCTTCGTCAAGCATTTTCCTCGCAGCAGTAATGTTTTCCTCTGTTAGTGCCTTCCTTCCCTCTCAGCGTCCTCCAGAGTGAAATTGCCCCTTTGGAAGTCTCTGTACCACCTGAATATAGTCGTACGATCGGGACAATCATTCTTTAATGCAAGCGCCAATCCTTCGATGCATAGGTCTATGCTTAAACCACGCGGAAAGTTATTCCGTAAAACTGCCCTTACCTCACTAGGCGGCCACGATGCCATAGTCCGCACTTTACACAGTCAATAAGAACGAACAACTAAATCAACAGACGTGCTGCTGGCGGCTACTATGCATTCATGGACATGTCTCAACATTTTTTAACATGCAGCCTCCTGCGTCCGTTTGTTAAGTCATATTGCAAAACTTTTATAGTACCCTTTGTATCTTGGAGCAATGTGAATTTGAGGTTACAGGCCTAGATACATATTCTCCACACGATTATTCAACACGGCAAAACGTGAACACAAATGCCAGCTAATCATTTAGTGTCATGCAAAATATCCTATACTGCTGACACTTAAGCATACGCTTTGAGGTTATGTGCCCAGTCACACCTGATAAAGCCTTTCATGAAGAACAAATAGCTAAGCTACTAGTATCTTGGAACAAAAAGTACTGTAGAATTTGACATTATGTGCCTATATACACATTTCCCACAATTTTTCAACACTACATAACAGGAAAACAAATACCAATCGATCATTTAGTAACAGAAAAAATAGCCCACACTGAAAGGGGCTCTTAAATAGACTTTAGAATGTCCTAAAGTATTGTAAACATAATGATGAAAATGTCACAGTTTTAGAGAAGCATTATCATCAGTCTATCAGTCAAATGATACTCCAGTGCAAGGAGTTAGCCGAATACTGAGCGCGCATTTTAAGCAATTTTATGTCAACAATTTAGAAAAAGTTCCATTTTCAAAATGTATACCTGTCTTGGCCTGAGTCGTACAGTCATCCTAGTGTTCTTGTATTTGCTAGATATCTGCACTTTAGGCTTTTTCGCCGCGCCAGGTTCTGTGTATGCAAACCTTTGATTGACAGAGTACAGGGGATCGTCCTTAGATGTCTTGGCAGGGATATCAAAGGCTGGGTTGAGGTTTGGCACCCCACATGGTAAATTTCTGTAGAATATAATTTTTATTAGAAAATCCATCAATCCACCATTTCAATGTTTTCATTGCACCAAGGGTGTTTTAACCCTAAATTCAATGCCTTAAGGATCTATAGAATTTCACAAGTATCCATTATGATAGAGTAAGAGCTGATTAACTAGGAATATTCCAAGATTACCCATATCCATAAAGGATACATAATTCTGATGGATCTGTCAATGCCAGGTAGAGAGAGCCATAGCTTATTTTAATTTTTTGTAAACTACAGATTCATTTTGTACTTGCTAAAAACGCTTTTATTTAGAAAAGTTCATTTGCATACAAAAAACAAAATGCTACAAACAAGTTTGACTAGATTTACACACAATTCATTATTTCCAAGATTGCAGCCTAACACAATGTCACTTGTTGATCAGCTGTTCACCTCAGAAGGTGTCAAAGAGTAATGGATACTTCTGAAATAGGTCTTAGATAGCCTCTACACAAATGATTCAAAAAGCAGTGACAATATTTCTAGAACAGAGAGTATATTCAAAAATATCATAATTTTGCATTTTTTTCTCCAAAAGGAATGAGTAGTACTACAAAAACTTCTTCAGAGAGGCAATTTTTATGGAATTGAATACCTTATTCAGTAAAGGAATAGATGTTACAAAAAAGTAGGTGGTGTTGAAAATAATTGTTTTTTCTTTCATAGGAGTAAAAATTTTCCAATTTTCAAGTCACTTTTATAGTGTCAGGCACAAAAATGTTTGTATATGTATATTGGCTATTTTTGTATGTCTGGTAGGTATTAGTACAAACTGTACAAAATTTGAAGTCAATCTTGCTAAACTCTGGAAATATATTTTTTTCAATTTCAACACCCTGTGTCTTGGTAAGGTAAGGTCCCGGGAAGAGCCTCCTCAAGTGTTATACAATATCAATACCCCTGGAGCAAAGGAGCAGTCATACCAGCCACTTCTTCATGTACAAAGTTTGACATAGTTATGATGGAAGGGCCAAGTCAGGTGGGCCAGCCTGGCAGGCACATTTCGTAGCAGCATCATAAAGGAGAGCTCTCACCAGCAAAGCCCATTGACATAGTGATAGAAGGTAGTTAGATCACTGATGGGCTGTCAATGTGAAAGGGTCTCAAGACTGTCAGTTTGCGAACAGTCAGACAACCCTCCTCTGAACATCAAGCAAGAATAATATACTCTATGCAGCAGCACCCCAAACATGTGAGGCTAGGTCTTACCTGGGCTTTGTACAGAGTAAGGAGGTTGGTCAGAGAAAAGTATGTCTTAGCCCTAAACAAATAGCCTAGCGTTTTCCCAGCAAGATGTTTGTGCCAGATCAAGTCATTGGCAATCTGGACTTAACCAGCCAAAATGAATGGTTCCTTGGTAGAACTTAGCCATCTATACATATTTTTGATATACTTTAGAGCTCAGAAATATTACCACTGTTTTCTGAATCACCCTGTAAAACTTGCATTCACATTTACCTAATTAACTTATTTTTTGAAACAAACTATTGGGCATAGAAAAGATAATGCTAGATGGAGATGAAGGCTGTTTTTTTTAAATTGTAAAAATAGATAACATGTATCATGGAAAAACTTGCACTATTATGGTTACTTGTTTGTCTTTTGGAAATTTTATAGAGTTAGCACTGTGGACCATTTTTCAAATTATCCAGAATTTTGCCAGATATAGATTTATAACTATTTCTTATAATCAGACAACATTAACAGAAATTGCAAGCATTTGATTAGAATCATAGGATCTTATAAAAATTCTGTTACCTATAAGTTTAAGAAATAAAATTTGCACTGAAGGTCACTGTTGTGATTAAAACATTTACATTAAAGAATTCAGATGTTACATTGAGAAATAAAAGTTTTTGAATTGAAGAATTGCATAAGAAATAGAATGAAAGTAAAACACACTGATGGTTTATAGATTCTCATAATTCCAACTAAAATTGGAAAATACTTAGATCAGAAGAAGCTTCTTATTTTTCAACATAAAGATGCACCACAGAAATTATTCTTTATGTTTTGCATTTAGCATCAATTGGCTGAACAGTTTTGCTAGCACATTGATTTGTATTCCAATTTTCAGCCTATAGAATTGAACAACTATATCTAATTAAAAATATCCATAACGTTTCCGATTTAACTAGTATAAATACGCAGTAGGAAACCTGAATTTGGGACAGAATAACTCAGCTTACCAAATGGACTTTACATATTTTTAATATGTAAAAAATATGGTAAAAAATCCACATATATGAATAATAATCGAGTGCTTATCAAATGGGCAGGTATAAGAAGTCCAAAAGTGATGTCTGTTAACATTCCTGATTTGATGATTTGGATAATTAGTCTTGTGCTATTTTCAGTTTTTAAGAAATATGTCTATGTGGATACGCTATAATAACGTTAATTTTTGCAAATAGTTTAAAACCATTTCAAGGTCGGTTTAAAAGGAGTGAAATAGGGGCCAAACGTATGTCTCACCTTTTGGTAGAATCTAGCAAAACCCCTTTGAAAATTTTTACGCCAAATTCGTACGTGACCACCAGAATGTCTGGTAATGCCTCGTCCACGAAAACGGTGATTTTCGTATTTTTCAGCAATTTTATATCTTTGCACGGCTGTTCGGTCGCCATTTTTGTCAAACGGGATACGATCCCGAGAATCGTTTTTCCTTCGGGAGGAGCCGCCTTCTGCAAGGGGCCTTCCGGAATCTTCTTGCTGTCTGAAGACCACATTGATACACTTCCTATTATACAAAAATAGCAAAAAAATACATATTTTTCCTAGGATAATTGTTTATAAAAAGAAACTACCAGCAAAATTGACGTCTGTCAACTGGTAATTGGTTTTTGACAACTGACATTACGGTAAGAATCGCACCGAAATTCTGTATTCTGGCTGTACACTCGCAGTGCCTAAAATGTTTTAGCACCGTTGCCAAATAATCATATATTTCTAGACTTGTAAGATTTATGATGAAAAATCGCAGAGGTACTCTGTGCTTCGTTTGATGAAATGAGTATGACAATGGAAAACAGCTTCCAACCCAGAAGCCACCGTTGATATTGATAGTTAATAGTAATGGGAACCACTTACCTTGCAACTCTAGTTACTGTAACTCCACTGAAACTGATCTTGTGATTGTTATATTCAGAGGACTTCACTGTCAATTGAATATAAAAAAAAGCCACAGTGATGGTCGAAAAACGTCGTGCAAATAACAAACATCTACATATATGCGGTTTAATTCGGCGAGGCCATGGAATCTTTACTTTATAACTCGTATCAAAAGCACCCCGACCCGGCAAACTTGTAGCAGCCCCGATAAAACTTTGCTAAATACATTTTTGATGCATAATAAATGAAGCGTGAAACTTAAGCGTCAGTGTAACCATGCAATTTATTTTGTATTAAATCGCTGGAAACTAACTTGGTATTGTTGATTAAATTGTGTAAGGGAATAAAATCACCAACTAGGACAGTTCAAAGAACAAATTAGCTTTGAACTTCAAAGCTAATTTGTTCATTGGTCAAAATTATGAAAATCGCGCTAAAATTATACTAAGTGACATATAAATCCGAACACCCAGTTTAAATGGTTTTATTTTAATAAAATTTTGTATAAGTACTTAATGAAGCATAATAAGTAACTGATAACAATTTCAAAATGATTGCACTGCTTTAAAGCCCTTTGATTTAATAATGTGTGGATACACCCTGATGTGCTACGCATTCTCCAACGCGCCTAGGCATGCTTCTGATCAGGTGGTCAATGTCCTCCTGTGGTATCTCATTCCAGGCAACCACCAACTCCTCTCGAAGTGCAAATTGAGCAATCTCCTACCCATCATATCTCACACGTGCTCAATTGGGGATAAGTCGGGAGATCTTGGTGGCCATGGTAACAATGTGACATCATTATGTTGAAAGAAGTCTATTGTGACTCTTGCAACATGTGGTCGGGCATTATCTTGTTGGAAAGTTGGATCTGCCAGGGTGTCAAGATAGGGTAAAAGATGGGGTTCTAGAACTTCGTGGATATAACGCTGCGCGTTCATGTTATCTCTGATGAAGATTAAAGGTTACCTGGAACCATAAGCTATAGCACCCCAAAACAATAACTCCAACAGTGTGATGAACATGTCTTTCAACAAAAAACTGTGGATTCCTCCTTTCACCACGTCGCCTTCTAACCCTGGCACGACCATCGTGCATGCCTAAACAAAATCGAGACTCGTCACTAAAGACAATACTGTTCCATTCCTGATCCCAGAGTGACCGTTGTCTGCACCACTCAAGGCGATTACGTCGGTGTTTTCGAGTTAAAGGGAGGACCCAGTGTGGCCGGTATGAAAACAAGCCAAAACTTCTCATTCGTCGGTAAACACTTCGCATGGCAATAGGTCTTCCTTGTTCTGCAAACCATTCATTTGCAATGGACCTGGTAGTGGAGAAACGGTCCCTTAAGGCTAATAATCTTAGGCGGCGATCTTCACGGTCTGTTGTTCTACGGCGGCGTCCAGTGCCCCTTGCTCTTTGCGTACGGCCTTCTCGAAGCCATGCCTGACAACACCTAACCACAGTGTCTACACTTCTTTGCACTCTAACTGCAATTGCCCGAAAAGAAAGTCCAGCTTCCCGAAGTCCCACTATACGGCCCCTATCAAACTCACTAAGTTGACGAAATCGTACAGGCCTCCGTACTCTAGGCATGGTAACCGATCGTAAAGGATGTCAAGAACCAAAATCCGCCAACGTTGATTCTTTACTGCGGCTGAAATATTCATTTTTAGAGCGTTAGTGAATTAAAAAAAAGCTTTATAAAAACCGGAATGTCCAACTGATAAGGCTGAAAATTTTTTCACTTGTTATTTACAGTAAGATAAATACATTCACCTACTTTTATTAAAATAAAACCATTTAAACTGGGTGTTCGGATTTATATGTCACTTAGTATAATTTGATATACAAATGTAGTATATATAGATCTATGTAGCCTCAGTTGTATTAGAAGTATCACTCCTACAAAGAATTTATGAAGTGGCCAAATTAATGTAATAAGTTTTTATCCGTCTGACCTTAACACAAAGTTCTACAAAAAATCAACTGGCAACACTGTACACGCAAATTGCTTACTGCGAGAATGCTTTGAGTATCGGAATTCCTAAGCGATCAATTTGCAACGTTGTCAAATTGAAAAACTAAGTATAGAAAATCGATTTTTACCTTAAAAGCTAGTATTTCAGTTTTCAGTCGCCATCCTAAACTGTATCCATCGAAGAAACAAAGTAAAATCAAACATATACACCCGTATTGCACGTGATCAAGAACTTAACCGTAGGAGACGCTACAGGGCCGTATCAAGCTATTGTGACTGATCTATCAAAAAATGTCGTACAAGATATGTGTTGCTGTAAATTCTATCAAAAGCATAGTAAATTATCAGGAATATACCACGCCTTTCTAATCATATTTCGAACTTAGGAATCAGTGCAAAAAATTCTGTATTCACCATTTCAGCAAAATGTTACTAAAACGCACACGAAAAAAACTTGTGGACCATCTCAATTGAAATTGTTCATATTTTATTATTAACTTACATATATACCCAATAATATTTACAAATCAACCTTCTATTCACAATGCAGAGCAAATTTTTTTGAGCAAATAGAAACTACAGACGTAGTAGTAGTACAAAAGTTTATTACAGACTCCATAAAGTTTGTTAGTTTGATTGATATTAAAATTTACATGAGAAATAGGAAGAAGGTCAAAATGGCACTATTATGCTTTGGAACTCCTAAATTAACCCTAATTTTGTGTAATTATAAATTTGGAATTTCCACATTAATAACTAGAAACTTACACTTTGATTGCAGTCTATAATGAACTTACCTGTCTTGCCAAAAAGCCCGTTAAACTGCCAGTCTTAATGGTATCAATCGATTTATATGCTGTATTCCGAGGAGCTTGAATCATCAGAATTGTTGATGTCAATTATAAGGGGTTCAACTTGGGTGTCAATGATATTGTCCATATCCCACATTTTGGTTTCAACCTTCTCTTGGACATGGTCAATACATGTTCTCCATTTTGCTGGCGTAATTCTATCGACAGCAACATCAAACAGTGTTTTAAGGTCAGAAAACTTAAAAGTGCTGTTATTTGACGCCACGTATTGCTTGATGTCGGCCCAAATCAACTCGATAGGATTCAGTTCGCAGTGATAGGGAGGCAGCCTGAGAATCGTTTTATTTTGGTTTTTGGCCATTTCGTCAACAATTTTTAAATCATATTTATACTTATGTCGCTTGACTATATTTATCAGCTCAGCTTTGACCATTGTTTGGTCGAAGTCGATCTTCTTTGAGACAAGCCACTGTTGAATGTCTGCCTTTTTGGTGGCCATTGTTGGAATTTTTTCCAATTTTCTGGAGTGGTACGGGGCATTATCCATCACAATAATTGCGTTATCATCAAGTGTCGGCAAAATTTTTTTGAACCAATTTTCAAATGAGTTACCATCCATTTCTTCGTGATAGTCTCCAGTTTTTTTGGATTCAAATGCCCACAATGCTTCAGGAACGAATCCATCTACGCTACCTATGTGGCAAATGATCAGGCGTTTTCCCTTGCCTGAAAGTAATTAGTTATTTTACTTTTCAGCGAGCGCACTAAATGACGAAATTAAGCAACTTACTCTTTTTAGGTTAGTGTAGGATAGGGTCTTAGATTAGTTTTTGGGTGAAGGAAATACTCAGAAACTTGAATGAGATAGCAAAACTGAGTTCGCAGCTTCCAAATCATTGATTCGATCAGAAAATGAATTATCTGCATCCAAAAAAGTTCATATACTTCGAAACTTACCTGCAGGATTTTTCAATCCCGTCGAAAGGCCATCTAAAAAAGCCTGCCTTGAGGACCTCACAGATCTGTCTACCCAAACCTTTCCCTGCGTATGCCCCGCGTTCACCCATGTTTCGTCTAAATAATAAATTTTTCTTCCTTCAGCGCGGAATTGCCTAATTTTTCTAAGGTATTCTCTCCTCCAGATAACAATTTCCTCCTTTCCTATCAATAAACTATTCCTTCCTCTTTTCAAAAATCGAAAGTCTAGTTCTTTCAACAGCTTATGGAACGTAGATCTTTTAAAATTTGGCAGGTCCTCATCATCATTCACTTGCTTCAATATTTTATCTATTGTAGGTATTTCATTCCTGAAGAAAAAGTGATGTACTTTTCTTCTAATGGCACTTTTGTCAAAGTCATCTATTTTTTCGATGATTTTTTTCTCGCTGGATATGTTTTTGGCTCAGATAGTGAGTGACTTTGTCTATATTCCTTCAAGGTTTTGTAAACACTTGATCGACCTACTCCAGAAATTTCAGCAACCTTACATACGATATTTTCTATAGCCAATCCACTATTCTCTTGCATCTGGTTCTTGTAGATATTTAGAATAATTTGTTTTTCACCTGCGCTAAGATGAAGCTTTTTAGCCCTTTTGCTGGGTGGCATTAAGCTGATTTCAACCACTTCATCAGCTGTATCTGTGTCAGACATTTTAGACTAATATTAAATTTCCGCAAGAAAAATCAAGTCAAGACGTGCATAAAACGTTCGCGCTCATAAACGGGTATCCGTAACTGATTACAATCCTGTGCGTGGTGGCGAACCATCAACGTGACGCTGAAAGTTCCCTCTACTATGCAGCATTGCCAGGCTTAATGTCACAATGATCATGTTTTATTGGGAAAATTGTCAGAAATCGCCGAATGTTGAACAGAAACATTACAAGAAGTCTAACCTTGAAATGTGAGGCTACAAATCGATATTCTTATAGGGGGGAAGGGTAGGGAGCTGTTATGATTCCTATTAACCTTGGTGAAAGTTGGAAACGGTAATATCATATATGGCATACATTCGGTTGAAGGTGTGTGCACGGAAAATAGATTGCGGATAGGATTTTAATAGATAAATCTGCACAAAAAACACAAAGGGAGATTTTTGTATTTCCCTGAAGAATATCTCAAGGTTATTTCAGATGTACTCATCGAAACTTTATGGAAGGATTATTGAAACCTTATTTTCAATTGCGATAGGGCCACATACCTCGACATCGCATTAATGTGAAAAATAAGACAATAGAAAAAAATTCCCTCACTGATGCTATCTCTTAGCAAAAATTTAACTATAAAGATTGCACAAAAATTTTCTTCACCTTTTTGAGCTTGTTTTCGCATCTCCGTATATGCCGTTCATACTTTGCTGCAGATCAAATTGGAATATACCTTTGTGATGCCATTTATTGTTATATAATGTCCTTTACAACAGTTATTGCACGTATTGCACCAACAGATTGATTTGTGATCCATGCGAATGTGATCAACCACTCTGGCGAAAACTCGCCGAGCGTGGCAACAGTGCGACTTTCTCTGGAGGTGGAGGCTCGTCGCTACAAGCCAATCAGGAAGAGGCCGACAGAGCACCATGGCTACCGATCACGCGTTGATCACGAATCAACCACTGTTTACGATTACTTTGTGGCTTCGTTAGATACACTACAACTAATATTTTGCTCCTTGGAGGTTTGTAGTGAATTAATAATAGATGACTTTAATAAGCACAGTTTAACGACGCCATTTATAAAAGCGAATATAAATCTCAGAAAATTCGTTTAATCTTTAACATATTCGGAGTTGCAGGAGGGAAGATGGTAGACATGAATACGACATTAGTAATGCGTGTCAAAAATCACTGGAAACGTGGCAACACTGTTCATATATAACAAAAAACATGTTTTTTGTTTTGGCACAGGTTTTGGCGGGAACCGATAACGGGAGGTTCTAGTTTGATGATGTCGAGTTGTTAGATTTTAGTTGGAGTTTCTGAAAAAACATATAGAAAATGTATGGAGAGAAAGCATATGCCTTAGTGAAAGAATGCGCCAATCACGAAAATAGTTTGCCACCTTATAATGTGAGTACAATTCAACAAATGCTTAGTTTTAGAGGTATTTAAACAAAACAATGCTCTAGGCCAGTCTTGTTCAAGAAGTTTCAAACGAAATCAGGACATTAGTGGAAGAAAATCAAGAAGATGCGTAAGTAGCAACATAAAAGCAGTTAACTGCTCGAGTATCAATTGCTGTGAACATAGTTGGGTCTCGTAATTATAGGATGGAAGGTACAAAATAAAAGTTTTGCATTTCCAGTTTCCACTTGCTATTAAAATCTTTTATCAATTATATATTGTACTATTTGCACTCCAATTTTTCACATTTTTTTTTTAGTCAGACTTCTACAGAAGAAACTAGTGACAGTGGATCAGTAGTTTCAACAATCAGACTGCGACATGCAGCTGTCAAAAGAAACCTTCGCTGCCTCATGGCCTACCACTATAATCGTTTGAGATTGCTCAGAAAAATGCGTTGGGAATTTGGCAGCATTCTTCCTGCAGATATCAAATCAAATCTGAGCCCTGCAGAGATTGAGTGGTTTGCAAAGTATTCTAGGAGTTTGGCATCTTATATGAGGTACTGCAAATGTAAATAAAAATTAAGAAAATGGAAAAACATAGGACAAAAATGCTAGCAGAAACTTCTTTTTTATTGGAAAAACTGTGTAGAACAAAAGTGAGATAGATAAATCTGACTCTCAAATACAAATGACAAATATGATTCATTCAGAAGTAATTTTTTAAGTGAAAAAAATTAAAACCATTCATTATTATTGGATTATCTTTGTTATTAAAGAAAAGTATTACTTTGCACAAGACTGACCATTTGAAACTTTGAAAAAATGATTTCTAAAAAATGAATGTCAGAAACACTTCTGTTTACTGATAAAGATAACTAGAACAGTTGATTGTCTTTGTTTTATATGCTTTTGGTACCTCTAAATGAATCACTATTATCTGACAAAGGATGTATGCAGTTCTAGTCTTGAGATGGATAATGTTTTTCCAAAAGATTTATTAATGAAACTGACTTATTTTTTGTGTTTCATTTTTGATTAATGTATTCAACCTGAAGATAGCCAACCTAATACTATATTCGTGTCCAAAAATTATTTGAGATGAAATGAGGTACTGTAGTGTCATTTATGAGAAATTGTCATAGCTACGTGTCTCTTCTGCACAGTATGCTCTATGGTATCCCATTTCATCATGGACTGAAGCATTAGGTTAACAATTTTCAGGTAGAATAAGTTAATCAATGGTTTTATTCAAAGATCTGTAGGTGATGATGGTCTCAACCTAGCAGTGGACTTAAAACCACCAAAAAGTCTCTATATAGAAGTAAAGTGTACTGTAGACTACGGTAGATATGAACTGAATGATGGTACAGTTCTACTCTTGAAGAAAGATAGCAGACATTATCTACCAAGAAGTGAGTGTGAAGAATTGGTTAGGCAAGGAGTATTTGAGCATATACTTTAATTCAAATTTGCTGTTTTTTTATTATCTGTATTCTTATTTTTACATGTAATTTATTGTTGAGTAAAATTGAAGCAACTTGCTAATTTTAATTGCAAATATATTATTTCATAACAGATGTTTTTTTATTGCCCTAGTTTTTGAGGTCTTTACAAGTTTTTTAGACTAGGCTTTTCATTGGGGACCACCAGGCTGTTAGAAGGGAAGTCAGAATGGGAACTACAAAAATAAGATCCAAGGCCTCATGCACTCTGTCCGAAATCACTTGTCTAAGAGTTTTTGTGTTTTCTACCAAAACCATTGACTCAATCTTTCTCATTTGTATGACTGAGAGAGTACCTATTTTAAACACGCGCTAAATATTTTAAACAGCTGTTCGTAAAGCTAGTAAATTACACGCCTATGTCTTGCAATAAGGAACTTTTTTGTTGATAAAATCCATTTTTATTTCTGGTAGTCAAATAAGCACGTGGTTTCTTCTACTGCCGATTATTGAGGAAAGTTGAACGAATAAGTCAGTAGACTTATATAAATACGTATACTTCCATGATGATCGATTGGTGGTTTAGATGTAAAACGGGAAACTCGACTTTCTCTGATGTTCGCATTGCCTGGGTTTCCCTTATCTTAAAAATATTAAATCAAGCAAAATTAAAACAAGTGTCATTTTTTTAATATCGAAGCAGCCGCGCAGGTAAAAGTCTAAATGCCAGGGCACCGCGGCTGCTATGAGAGGATCCCAAAGAAATTTCGTTGATCTGGTTTTTGAACTGCCAAAGATTAGTAGAACTGTGAGAAGCTTCCTCTTGTAGATTGTTCCACAATCTCGATACCCTCGGGAAAAACGAGCAGTCGTATCGGCCATTTCTGGATGTACAAGTTCGATACGGTAAGGATCGGAGGCCCAAGTTAGTCGGGACCGTCTGGCATGCACATCGCGCGGCGACATCATGGAAGAGAGCCCGTTGGTGTAGCGGTAAAAGAGAGCCAGATTGCCGACGGCCCACCGGTGCGAGAAAGTGTCTGTTAGAGAAGCCATCAGCATAAATAATGTAGTCGGGGTTTGCACCCCAAACGTGAGAGCAATACTCGAGGCTAGGTCTTATCTGGGCCTTGTATAGAGTGAGGAGGTCATGCGAAGAAAAGTACTTCTCAGCCCTAAACAAAATAGCCTGGCTTTTTCCCAGTAGCTGCCGCTATTGACGAGATGTGTTCGTGCCAGATCAAGTCCTCGGTGATCTGGACTCCATCTAGCCGAAATAAACCGCGCGGATGAGCGCTAAGACGCTTTTTGTTCGTCAAGGTACAGAACGTAAGCAATAAACTGAACAACATTGTTGCATTCCTAAGCAGTGATAACTTCTAGGTCTCTCGTCAGAGAGGAAGTCGCCGCTAGTCGTCTTTTTTTCAGCTCACCGGCAGAGATCGGCTTGTCGCTCTGAATTCCTGCATGTAGAGAGCTGTCATCAGCCAAGCTGTGGATTGGGTTGATCGAACAGGAAACGAGGTCGTTGATATGTAAAAGGAACAGTGTCAAAGTCAAGCCGGATTCCTGGGGAACATCCGCGATGACGTTGATGAAGAGGAGAACCCATCAATTACGACGGATATATTGCGGTCAGAGAGAAAGTCAGCCACTGCATCTGCAAAGCTTTTCTGGGAGGCCATAGGATGGAAGTTTGCATAAGCTGTCAGCGTGCCATAGTGGATCGAAAGCTTTCGTGATATCGAGAACAACTATACATGAGCCTAACCATAAGACTGGATGAGTTTACTACACAATTACGTGACGTAAGCTCCCCTGTGGATCGCTGGTGCCAGAAACCATACTGCCTGTCGCTAATCAAGCCGTCACGTTCGAGGTAGTCCAAAAGCTCGCGATTTATGCACCTCTCGATCACCTTACTTATAACAGAAACCAGAGCTATAGGCCTGAGTTGAAAGGGTTCGTCTTAGATTCTGTTTTTGGAATGGGTTGGACATGAGCCGTCACGTTCGAGGTAGTCCAAAAGCTCGCGATTTATGCACCTCTCGATCACCTTACTTATAACAGAAACCAGAGCTATAGGCGTGAGTTGAAAGGGTTCGTCTTAGATCCTGTTTTTGGAATGGGTTGGACATGAGCGACTTTCCAGTTTTTTGGGAAGGTGTCAGATTCGGAAGGTATCTGGAAGAGACATGAAATAACTGGAGAAAGCTCCGCTGCACACCTCTTCGATACAACGAATCAAGTTCGGTCCAGAAGCTTTTGGCAAGCTTTTTCGCCTTAGTTTTTGAGTCGGTTACAATAATGATTCCATCCTGACACGTGGTGGAAGGCTACTCTGAGAAGTTCTTTCAATCTGCTTGGCCAGCGTCCAGAAAGATCGACTCCCCAGGGGAGACAGGACAACAGTGGATAACTACCTCTGAAGCGAGGTGATTGATGTTCAGGAGGTCGATCTTGACAGCGAGGTATTCAAGTAGGTTATCCCAGTTATGGTCCGTGGGAGAGCGATAAAGGCAGCAAATAAATTTGGGAGATGTTTTGGAATTGATGCGAAGTCACAGAATGTCCTTCCGGAAGAAACGTCTCTGGAGCAGGAACTACTGCTGCGGACAAATGTCACAACTCTCTTATTATTTCTCAGATTAGAGTGCACCTCGTAATTAGGGAAGCTAAGATGATTAATTGGTGCATACTTTGAGATTTTTGTCGCCGCAAAGAAAATCATGGCGGACTACGGACCTCCTAACACGCAAGCTATACAATATTCTCAGAAGGGCTGGGGAATATACCAAGCTCGTGAAGACTCATCAGAGTGGTTCTTGCACCTAAGCCTAGGAAAACAGGACAGGAAGATGCTAAGTCACTCAGATGTCTGCTGAAGATTTTAGAAAAACTGCTAGATAAACATATACAGGATAATGTTCTGGCAAAGAGCCCTCTACATTTGGACCAGTATGCCTATATATAGCAGCCAAATTGACAGAAACGCTACATCAACTGATACAGAGAGCACAATATGCGTTACAAACCAAGGAAGTGCTATTTTGCACTTTCCTAGACATACAGTGTGCTTTTGACATCAGGTCCCTGAATTCAATCTCCAGAGGACGAGATCTGGCCTCGATGAAACAACATATGCAGGTGGATCGACTGTATGCTAAGAGGGAGATTTTTATACACTGCTGTCTGGGAAGTGTATGTGGCTTAGGTCATCCGAAGATGTCCACAGAGTGGGTACTGTCCCAATTACTGTCGAACCTTCCAGTGAATGAGTTAATAAGGGAATTAGACTAAGACAGACACATAACGCTAAGATATGCGGATGACCTCATCCTATCGCAAGGCAAATTCAACACCACAGTCAGAGACAAAGAGAGCAAAGGGCTCTAAATATGTATAGGATTCGAACGAGATGATAATATTAGAAATATAACGATAAACGTGAAAACCACAAATCCATCGAAGTACCACCCTCTACCGTTTTATTTTTACTACAAGGGCAGTACGTGAACAATTCGATATGAGCAACAATGTCAGGATAATATTAAAGTCACTTACTTGGTGACGGAACTGCAACGAGTTGTCCTCCTTTGGCAAGCGATAAGGTCGATACGATCGGATTGTCGGGGCCAATATCTATTTATAGAAAAATGACTTGAGTACCTCCCATATTCAACCGACTCATCACATGCACTACCTTAGGATTACATTAATTATCCGCAGTGGTACCAATTCATCATTATTTACTTTTGTTTTATCATATACTGGTCCGCAGACCCTAAGAACGGGGGCACCTCCCTGGGACACACAGTCCTCCACTTAGGCAATTTTAAGCACACAGCGGCCTATATGATCAATATAGTTTCAAGCACACAGCACCCTATGTGATATCCAGGCGTATAGACAGATATGCTGAGGTTAACGATTGTTACTAAAAAGATAGTCCAGGAACCGGGATATCACGTTGGCCAACGGCCGTTGTGTCAATACCCCAAAGCTCCGACGTTACCCCTGAATCAGAAATAACCGAGCAAGATGACCATTTAAAGTAACAATCGCCTCTTCACACATCCTGCCATGAGATGCATTCAGACTCCAGCGATTGCCAATAGAAGATATTTAAGCGGTGATTCAGACTTAGGACGCCACTTCGGCCAAAGGCCACCGTGTCAACATCCCAAACGCTCCGACGTTTCCCCTGGTAGAGGAAACCGAGCAGTAATTAACATAAGTACCCAGCAAACGGGCCCGAAAGTCTCATAACAACCCCCAGAAACTGAAGGCGTACCTGCGGATATTCAATAACAAGTCGTAAGCCATACATTAAATTATGAAGGTAAAAAGTATAGCATCTTTATAAACATGGCTTAAGACAACCATGATCATGAATATAAGATTATTATGGTTATCAATCTATGCAGTACAGTAAAATAAAGGAAACACTCAGTGATTCCTCATCTGTTAGGTAACCAAAACACTACACCCAATAGCACATCAACACTGTAATGAGGTCCACAATGCGCTCTACTTGGTCTGAGAAGCGATTTCTTCCACGCACTATTTGAACTGAGAAGCGAAACCAGTCTCCGTTTTTAAGAAAGTTTATCCTGGGCATAAGTACCTAGAGAAGGAATGGAATGTATAACATAAACATGCGTAAGGGCCGTCGTACTGAGTGACACTAAGCAGACTTGTGAACCTTCTGGAAAGAATATTTCGTAAGCTTACACAGCAGAGAAATATTTTATAACAATGAATTTTAAATGTTTTGACTATTAGAGATTGGACCAAGGTACTCTACGTGTGTTATGCTGATCTTATTTGTTTTTTATAGATCTCTGTATGTAGATGTTTTGACTATATTCCTATACTACCTCGCAGTCTAATGGAACATTATTTATTTAACAGTATCTTTTGATGAACAGTGTAGTGTAAGCACATTTTTATCGCCCTGTTCCCATAACCATTCCCATGGTTTATGTTTATATTAGGAGCATGCTCTATCGTGGTGTGATTACGGCATCGGTGCACGCATGTTTTGTAACCAGAGACTTTAGGTCCGCCGCTGCAAAAATTAAGCTGATATAGCAACTACAGACCAATATTCCTATTCCCATCTTGTAATATGTTTGATTAATAACGTTGGAATGGAATGTGTAATAAAAATATCTATACAAAATATATTCTACTTACTAAACTAGGTATATACAACTAATGAAACCTTACTTAAATTATATTCAATACAATTCTAATGCTTTCTCGTATCACTCCGATTGTTCGGGATTTCATAAATTGTCAGATCGGTCATATATCCATAAAACGAAGCCTCTAAATGGACAAAATTTTTGATGCAATATTTGGTTATATAAATATGGCAACTATCGCCCAGCCATCAGGACCATATTGCTAGCTATATACCCTATATACATCTATCTCGGCTATATCAGCTATATCTTTTGCCAATATTATCTGCAATACAGGGTTATCCAAATTAAGTGTCCACCATTAGTAACTTTGTTATTAGTGAAAATACAAAGTTGTTTGAATTAGCAAACTAGTAGCATTTTTAACGCTGGTAAAAATGAGAAATAAAAAAAACAATTGAGAGTCGTTATTTTGATTTTTTTCAGTAAAATAACATTTTTTTAAATGGAAACCCCTGTATATTATATTTTTTTCTGTTAAAGCATCAAATTTTAAACAAAAAAGCTTACAATAACTTTTCTCCTAGGTTACAAATTGTTGAAGTTATGGCCTCCAATCTGAAACAATTAAATTGTATCGACAAACTTTATTTTCAACATCAACTTATAATCTTACAAAATACAATAACAATTTTTTTTAAAGAAGATGCTCGAAAACACCACCTTGTTCTTCAATACATTTTTGGGCACGTTTTTCAACTGCTCGAACTGCCTTAAGTATGGTCCTACCATCTATCTGGGTTATCTTTTCCCTAACTGCAGTCTTTAACGCGTCAAGGTTATCGTACCTTCGCTTGTAAATTTGGTTCTTTAAGTAACCCCACAAGAAGTAATCAAGTGGGTTTAGATCTGGTGATCTGGGAGGCCACTGTATTGGGCCATTTGTTCCTATCCACTGATCATTAAAAGTAGTACTTAGAAAATGATAAGTACCTCTGGAGTTGTGGGCAGGTGCGCCATCTTGCTGAAAATGCAGATGATGTCTACTTATAAGATCCAATTCGTCTAAGAAATTAGTCAGAATTTCTGACATAAATTCCACATATCTTTCACCAGTTAGGGTTCCCTCATAAAAGAACGGGCCAACAATTTTTGAACCAATTATACCGCACCAAACGTTGAAACGGAAACGGACTTGTGGGCCTCTTGGATGTACTAACAAAAGATTTTCTCTTGATCAATAATGGTGGTTTTTTCTATTAAACATTCCAGAATTTGAAAAATTTGATTCATCTGTCCAAAAAAGGTAACGAAAGTTATTTACATTTTGGCGACAGAAGCTAAGATACCAATGGCAAAAAACAAGTCTTCTCTCTGGATCCACTGCCAAAAGCGTTTGAACTGGTCGGTACTTATACGGAATAAATTTGTATTTTTTTAAAATCCTTTGAACAGTACCATAACTGAAATTAGAGTCCTTGAGAATATCTGCTATTGAATTCTCACGATAAGCTTCAAAATATCCAATAAATGCAATTTCCGTGGCCTCGCTTATTATGAATTCTTTTTTTGCCCTTGTTTTAGCAAAAACATTCTCGTTGCCCCTAAATTTTCGATAAAGTCTCAGAAAATATCGTTCATACGGTTGAATGCGAGCGGGATATAATTCACTCTTGCTCTCAAGGAGGATTTTCTGCACACTAAATAGCATTCTAACATATCACACTTTTCTTCATGGGAGAACATTTTTCTTTAAATTAATGACACAATAAAGCTTATAAACAAGTATTTACACTAATGTTTGACATTATTTGATTTTATCATTGTTTTCCAAAGCCTTCTAGTTGCGAGTATGTCCAGTTTAACAATTTGTCGCTTATCTTAATGCTGTCAAATCGCGAACGCCATGTTGTTTTCATAGCCGTCTTAATATTATAATACTGCAAATAATTAAAAATATTTATCGTTATTTTGACTTTATTTTTGACTTTAGCGGAAAAGTCATTATGAACTTTTTTGTTTAAAATTTGATGCTTTAACAGAAAAAAATATAATATACAGGGGTTTCCATTTAAAAAAATGTTATTTTACTGAAAAAAATCAAAATAACGACTCTCAATTGTTTTTTTTTATTTCTCATTTTTACCAGCGTTAAAAATGCTACTAGTTTGCTAATTTAAACAACTTTGTATTTTTACTAATAACAAAGTTACCAATGGTGGACACTTAATTTGGATAACCCTGTATATCGACACATTCGCTTTTCAGAATTTTTCATCAAAAGGCTTACAAAAACCAGGTAAGAATGATATTACAGTTTATTGAGTAGGATCCCGATAATTCGGCAATCTGATAGCAATATATAAAAATGGAAATGTCAAACAGGTGTAGCAATATAGTCGGGCCATACTAAGAATATTGCATTGGCCGTATGTTGCTGGCTATACTCTATAGTAGCCAGAGAATGCAGTAAAAATATTGCCTGCTTAGACAGTCTGTTGTAGGTAGGTTTGCGCATTTTAGCACAGGGAGGCAAAAATACAGAAATACGTCAATAGGGCAGACCATTTAGAGTCTTTTAAGCCAAACATGCCTATCCAGCTATTTGGAAAAGTATCGTCCAAATATTGTCTTACGTCTAAACAGAAATGAGCTGGACATCCATCGAGTTGGAAAAAAATTTGCATGTCATCTGGAATTTCTACTTCTACAAGTAATTCGTGATGATTATGTTGCAAAAAGTGTAGATAACTGTTGCCGTTTAATCTTTCAGGCAGAAAATGAGGACCGATTAATCTTTGTCTCATGACGGCGGCCCATACATTCACGGAACATTTGTGCTGGAAAGACGCCTGTCTTTTCCAGTGTGGATTTTCCTGCTTATCAGCCCATTGATGCAAATTGTGAAAATTTGTAATGTCCTCCTTTGAAAAATTGGATTCGTCCGTCCATAGAATGCTTTCCAGGAACCGTTCATTCTCAATGTCACATGTAAGAGAAAACGACAAAATTGGCTTCTGCGAATAGGATCACCATATTCAAGTTCTTGTACGCCGATACCGTGAAAAGGATATTTTCGTTCACGCTGGATGATACTCCAAACCTTCCATGGCGCCAAACCAAGATCAGCAGCAACTTTCCTAGTACTTGGAGTGGGATCATCTTCAAACGCTTGGACGATTAGATTTTCGGCTTTAGGAGGATATCGACCTGGATTAACACCAGGTTCATTACGTGTTACACTTCCAGTCTCGTAAAGATGTCGGTAAGTATTGTAAAACTCCCTGACATTAGGCAAACTTCTACCAGGAAATCGCTCTTGGTACAACCGTCGTGCTTCTAGTCCATTGCCATCTGCTCTGCCTTACATGTAAACGATATTTGCGTATTCTTCATTAGTGAAAGCGGCGATTTTACAAATTAATTAATTCAGGGTTTTTGGACTGAAATTCAAGAATTACTATTGACTTGTTTGGAAAGGAATAAAGCAAGAATGTGTGGAATTTAGTTTTAGCATGCACGCAAACAAGTTCCTTCTTATCAGTACCACAAAAATAGGAAAACATGTATTTATTATTGGTTTACAGTCAATTTGTTTTTTTCTCTACCTTCCGAGAAAAAAAAAACACACTGTCAGGTATTTAAAAACTATTTCATATAGGCTGATCTTTTAGTGATAACAGGAACAAAAGGCATATTTTTTTCAATGAAAATCGAAAATCTTGAATAACTCGAAAACCGAATAACTTTGAACTAAGGTATTTTTGGCTTAAAAAATTCTAAATAGTCACCTCCCCAAACTTTGTATCGACCGTGCAAACACCCTGTATAATATTAATATCCAGACGCAATGCCAATGCCAAGATTTATGAGGAAAATTCGCGATATCTAATTTAAATCCATCACACTGTAGTACATTCGGACTGTTCTATTCAAACAATGAATTTCTGGGACAGGGACTGTCACAGTGAGCCATATGAGTTAATGATATGTTGTCTCTTTACCGAACTGATTAGAGCTGCTGTAAATGAGCGTTCCGGACTATCAGAAATACATTGTTGGAAAGAACCAATTGCGACCCTGAAATAAAAATGTCCATTAGGAAAACCAATGAACCACTTCAATTTTTTAAAGCATCATCGTTTAGAAGAACCCCGGAAACATCGCTTTGGCTTCTAGGTGCAGACTAAGGATAAACGGTGTAAAAAGGTAGACTAATAATTCTATAATTTTTTTATTATGATTCATGATGACCGCACTAGGTACACAAAATATAATTAAATATTGAATTCAATTGTATGAAGTATAAGATATTATACTCGATTATTCGTTCCCAGAGTGAAGGCTGAACATTAACCATGAGCGTACATCACGTTTCGATCAGCATGTTATCAGAAAAAAGTGTTTTGGGAGATTGAAAGTTGTCTTAACTTAAATAAAAGCTCAAAGTATAAATAATTGTGATAAGCTTATTTCATTTCCTATAGGAACCAATTATAGAAGTCAGTGGAAACACCAATAATTTAAATAGACGCGAACGTAATGTACCATGTATCCAGCGTCAACGTCAGAGCGTCGTGCTGGAACGTGTTTCCTCACACTTCTCCCAGGGATCTCTCGCCCGTCTCTCTTGGCCACTTGACAAAATATGTGCAAGGCAGATGCATTTCTTTTTCTATCTAAATGAATCATTGTCGTTAATATTTATTACCTCATCATTAAGAAGAGGGGTTGATAACAAAATGTTGAATAAATGCACCCTATGACACCTAAGCACCTTGTGGTATCGACGATTTAAAATTGAAAAGCGCGTGGGTGGTTGTTATGCTCAAGCTGCGCTTTTGAGAGCGAATGTGCATATACTATGATGTGACACCCATGTTCTAAGCCATAGTTATAAAGATTTTATTATTCATGTATATCCGTATTTCTATTAAAGGCTTAAGGGCTCAATAATTATTGTCGATAAGGATAGGGAAATTGACTGGCTCATACAGGTGTGACGCCTCCGGTCTCTGGGGGTTGTTATGGGACTTTCGGAGCCCGATTGCTGGGTACAGGTGCTAATGTTAATTACTGCTCGGTTTCCTATATCTTCTAATTTCTAAGCACATCAGTGATGGCGTGGAAGTAAGAGGGTTGCGTAAGTCTGGTTGCCTATACGTTCAGCTTGGCGCAAATATACATGTAACAGTGATTTTTTGCATTTTTCGGCTTGGTAGTACTGCAACTGTCCGAGAGATGGCAATGCTGACACGTAATGACGTTGGTCAACAGGCAAATAATAGGCTACATAACTCATATATAATTTCACAGAATAAATGAGTTTTTCTTACAGTGTTTACCTTAGGAAAACGAAATATATCGATTTCAATTTTAAAAGCTCAAGTTAGATATATAAGTCCAAGAAAAAATATATTTTTTATTTAATAGGTCACTGTATGCCATGACGTGACGTTATACAAATTTAAGCAAAGAAAGCACAAATTTGCAGAAAATTGACATATTGACGGTCGGCAATTTTTTTGCTTTCAACACAGATTTTCGCTCTACTGAGCTGAGGAACATCAATGCTTCTATGTAAATACAGTGCATCTTATATACACATAAGTTAGACATAAAAAGGAAGGTAATACATTTACCTAATCTCCCTTTTCAGAAGTCATTCAAAACTAATCTCATGCAATATAACCTCTGAATAATTTTATTTGATATTGTATTTCTTCTCACACATCTGCATGGGATGATGCCGTAAGTTAGGTCTAACTCAAACGACACAATAAAATCTGCGCAGTAAAATGTAAAATATGTCTCAAATATAAGGTAGGGGAGACTCGAACAGAAAGAACCATAAAGGCAAAAGGAATCAGTTGAAAGAAAAATTATTTCAAAATTCCCGCCACTATTTTCTATTTACTTCTGGCAGATACTGTAGTTCTCCAGGGCTTGATTTGATACCCATCCCGGTAAGCTTATTTTTCATGTTTTTACCGCCAATTTAGAAAATGTAACCGTCTTGAATTCTTGATCATGGTTTAAATAGATGGAAATTATTTTAGTATTGTTATAAGTTGAAGCATTGAATTATGTGGCGATGAATAACGTTTTGTGTAGATTGTAACCTCACATTAATTGTGGCGCTGTTCAAGGGTTTGACATTTATAAATAATATTTCAATGTGTTGTATACCTAGTGGTCAATAAGAACCAGGCAAAAAGAACCGGTTCCATTTGCCCGACTCCTTTTGTCCGCTATTCCGTTGGATATACTTTTTTTTCAAAATGGAATATTGTTTCAGAATAATGGTTTTCAAGTATAAACGAAAAACAGAAAGAGCCCAAGGACGGGACGAAAACGTAATGAATCGCGCAATAAATTCAATTAACCAAAGAGAAACATCTATTCGCGGTGCCGCTCTGCAGTTTAGAATAAATACCATATCCCACTTTACGAAAACATTTTTTAAAGCAGCCCTCCAAAAAACAACGGTTTAGACTAGTTTTTTCTGGCGATATAGAACAGCAACTTGTACAACATATTCAAGAAATGGACGCCCGTTTTTATGGGTTCACAAAACAAGACTTATGCATTTTAGCATTTGAGTTCGCAAATCGAAATAATTTGCCACATCATTTTCGTAATGGAACAGCTGGGGAGCAATGGTACTCAAATGTTATGAGGCGATATCTCGAATTAAGCCTTAGAACTCCATAACCTACAAGCATTGCCCGGGCTTGTGGATTTAACAGGCCCCAAGTGCAGTTATTTTTTGATTATTTAAATAATATAATGAAGAAAATGTACCATGCCTCGACTGTGGAGATATTTTAGGCAACTCTAAGTCTGGCGAAACATGGATTGAATGCAATATGTGTCAAAACTGGGCTCATCAATTATGTGCTGATTACAACAGAGGCATATATATTTGCGACAAATGCAAGTTATCAGTTTTGATTTCCTTGAAAAAATAACTGTTAATATACTTCCACTTTTAGTTATGTTTGAAATAAAGTTCTTCTTGCCCACATGTATTTCATATGCTGATTACTTTTGCCCGAGGCGTTGGTTCTTATTGCCCTCATATGTGGGCAAAAGGAATCAAAAGCATGTTTTCGTTTAATGTTTTTTTTAAGATATATTACTATAATTATATATTTTTATAATATATATTTTGTTTCTAAATGTAATAGAGTCTTATTTCAAATTAAAAAAATAATAATTAGGATTTAATAGAAGATTTTAAAAGCTGGCGACTTAAGGTGGTTCCTTTTGCCCGAATCTCCCCTATGCTCCAAGCAAAACAGTGTTGCTTACATTTATTTCCCTGAGCCCTCTAATGCCGGCCACAGACTATCAGGTACACCTGACAGGTACGCTTGAACAGTTACTCCTGTCAGGTGTACCTTATAGTGTGTGGCGGGAATATCTAGCCTGTCAGGCGACCTGACAACTGATGAAAATTCGATCAGTTCTGCTTGACAGGCGAGTAGACTTGACGTGTGTGTGGCGGTGTAACCTGAACAGGTCTCAGTTTTTAGCAATTCTTTGATGTGGACAGGTTAAATTTTCAAAACAATCAGTTTTAGGTACATACTGAAAAATGTCGCAACGGAATAATGAAGTTCTTGGTGATTTTATTGAAATTTATAAAAGTGAACCTTGCTTGTGGAAAGTGAAAGATAATGACTATCGCAATAGAGACCAGAGAGATGCTGCATACAGAAAATTAGTGAACAAATTGAAGGAAATAGAGCCTGATGCAAACGAGACCTTGGTTAAAAAAAATCAACAGTTTGAGATCCAATGTTCGAAAGGAGCAGAAGAAAATTGACTCCTCAATGAAATCTGGCGCCTCAGCAGATAATGTATACAAACCTTCTCTTTGGTACTTCGAACTTTTTGATTTCATAAAGGACCAAGATAATCCTAGATCATCGGTCTCAAATTTATCTCCTGAAAGGGACAATGATGAGGTAAGGAAAACATAAATATTATTTTTGACAATGTTTATTTAAATCTGTATATAAATAATTGTTTAGTTGAGTTTATTTTTACTTAGGTAGGTAAATAAAAGTGTTAGTTTAGAAAGCCTTCCACACTTTACTACAACGCTTTATTTCATTAGTTCTGGTTGTTCCTCAATATGTGGTTATTTTGCCGTGGCACTTTCCCTTCGTCCATGAAGTAATCCATGAAGTGTTCTCTAACTTCTTTGGCATTTTCACAAATATTTCCTCGATTACAAGATTGTAGTGGGTTCATATTAGATTGTGTACTATCGCAGCCAACAGACAAAATATTTCCATTTTGATCACTTTCTTGATACAAACAATTTGCAGGGGCATAAACTGTAGGCTGTGTATCCATCAAAAAGTTATACAGAGCACAAGCTGCCATCACAACCTTTTCAATATTTTGTGGTTCTAAATTTATTGCCGTATGAAAAATACAAAATCTCGATGCAAGAATACCAAATACGTTTTCAACTATATGCCTTGCGATGGCTTCAAAATTTCAGTTATCAGCGGAAATGCATCGTCCGCAACAAAAACATAGGGGACATTTTTAAAATTTTCAGTTACGTCGTTAGGCGGAGGAATATGTAGATTTTTCTCCACTAATTTTTCATAGAAACGTGTATTTTGGAGTACACCGCCGTCGGATACGCGGCCATTAGTTCCGAAATCCACAAGGAGAAATCGGTAGTTTGCATCTACAATAGCAAGAAGAACCATACTATGCTTTCCTTTGTAGTTGAAATAATAAGAGCCCGAATTTCTTGGGGGAATTATATCAATATGCTTGCCATCCATGGCGCCTATGCAGTGTGGGTAGTTCCATCGATTCTCAAAATCCTTTGATATTTCTTTCCATTTTTCTGTAGAATTGGGAAACTGAAAAATAAAAATAATGTTTTAATCGGCAAAATTAAACTGTATTTTGATTTTAGGTGAACATTGATGACCCATCTCCAGAGGAAAACCAATTGTCACCCACTGTCTCTCAAGAAGAGCGGCGGGAATCGAATCAACCAGCGGCGTCGGCTGGGATTTCACGACCTGGGCCCAGTATAAAGAGGAAATCTAATGATGACATATCAGCTGAGATATTGTCTACTGTTCGCGATCATTTCAAACGACCGCAACCACAAATCGACTGTTGCGAGCTCTTGGGGCGAACAGTAGCTATAAAAATGAGGGGCATAAAAGATAAACGCCTGCACATCATGTTCGAAAAAAAAATTAACGACATATTATATGAAGCAGAAATGTGCGCTATTAACTACCCAAATTCCACTTTCACAAGTCCACAACATTACACACCATCTCCCACAAAAAGTCCACAACATTACACACCATCTCCCACACCAAGTCCACAACATTACATACCATCTCCCACACCAATTCCACAACATTACACACCATCTACCACACCAAGTCCACAACATTACACACCATCTACCACACCAAGTCCACAACATTACACACGATCTCCCACACCAAGTCCACAATATCACGCACCATTCACACAACAAGAACAAAACCCAACTTCTCACAACAATACAGAAACAGCATCAAGTTTTTTGTCAAATTTCACTGAAACTTTTGAATGAGTAAATATGAAAATAAAAAGTTTGTTTAAATATATTAAAAGTTTACTTTCCACTTTTTCCTTTCTTATTATTATTAAACATACTATTTGATAGTTTAAAAATTTAATACAAAAGAACAAAATAGAGGACATACCTTAATGTATTTCTGCTGAACTTTGTACAGGGCCACACATGTATCAGGAATAATTTGTCCAAGAGATTGTGGTGAAATCCTAGTTGAATATTTTAGACACTCATACGGTTGTCCAGTTGCTAAGAATCTCAAAGTAGCTGTCAGTCTTTCGTGTGGGCATATAGCTGTTCTCATTTGTGTATCTTTCTTCTTAATCAAGGGAGATACAAGTGACAGCAACTCGTTGTACACTGATTCGTTCATGCGCAGAAAATTGTTATAATCAGATGGTTCATGTCTTAATTCATTAAGGAGATTTATATGGGTAAATTTATTTCTTCTCTGCAACCATTCCTCACACCATTGTTTGCGTTTCTTCCGTCTGTTTTTACGTGTTTCAAAAATTACAAAAAATAAGGACAGAAAGAGCAGATCATCTTTAGGAGAATCCATGATGTGAACTGACAAACTTGACAGGTATACATGAAGAGTGTGTGTGCTCCTAGGGTATCAGGTAAACCTGACAGGCGTAACTGTTCAGGCGTACCTGTCAGGTGTACCTGATAGTCTGTGGCCGGCATAATGCACAGCTTTCTGGGGTCTTTATAGATGATTACAATACAATCACTATATTCTTGTTTGTATCATGTTTAATAGCTTGAGAGGTTATGCTACTGTCAGCTGCTGTTTACTAATGGTGTGACGTCAGAGCACATTAATATGGACCTAACATGACGGTCAGTGTTTTCGCCTAAGAAAAATATATTTTTAGATTAAAGTTTTACGGTGTTTTTGGTCGAAAAAATAGTATAGTATTAATTTTTTTGGTCTAATAGAACAAATATTAACCATTTGGGTCCTACTTGAAAAAATGGCGTCAACCAGGTTGACTCTGCACTTCTCACGCAACCCGTGATCAGTTCATAAAGGATTATGTTCAGCATAAACTACACGAAGTTTGAGCGACTTTTATCCCTTTTCGTTCTTGGCCTTTGCCACTTGACCGAGTTTCAAAAACTAAAATTCGAGCAGTACTTCTCAGGTTATACACGGTTATAAGATTGGCGGACAGACGGAAATGAGAGGCATGATTTTTCGTGATGTATATGTTATATAACATACTAAACATAACAAAATGACATTTTAGAGAATTTTCGCGATTACAATACTTTCCGCCAGTAGGCGTGGGAAGTAAAAAGTGTCAACTAGCCTATTGAAAGTATAACTGACATACGGCCATCAATTGAGTTTAATATCTTCTTGTAGAATATGTTAAAAAAGGTTAAAGCTGTGCCTTAAAGCTAAACATCTACGCTACAGCTTCAGTGAGTTATTGCGTGTCCTCAAAGCAACTATGTTGTTACCATGAAGCCACGAGCCATCAGTGAAGCCAAGAAAACCTGGATTCCCTTCTTTCTTTCACTCTCCCCTACCACAGTATACAGTTCTTTTCAAAAAGATCCCTCTATAATTATTTTTTGATGGGGTCAAGTCCGCAAGCTGTGATTCGGGCAATGAAATTGATCCAGGAATATTATATATTAAAGTAAAAATATCAGTTGTGTAAGCTTACGAAATATCTCAAACACATTTTTGCATGCGAGTCCAACCCTGTAGCACACAAAACCTTTCCAGAAGGTTCACAAGGCTGCTTAGTGTCACTCAGCGCTACGGCCTTTACGCCTTTTTATATTATACATTCCATTCCTTCTCTGGGTACTTGTTCCCAGGATAAACTTTCTTAAAGATACGGGAGTGGCTGGCGATATGCAGTTCAATTATTGCGTGGAGGAGATCGCTTCTCAGACCAAGCAGTGCGCTTTGTGGACTTGATTACAGTGTTGATGTGCTTTTGGATGTAGTGTTTCGGTTACCTGAAAGGTGAGCAATCTCTGAGTGTTTCCTTTATTCTACTGTACTGCATGGATTGATAACCATAATAATTTTATATTCATGATCATGAATGTCTTAAGAAATGTTTATAAAGATGCTATACTTTTTACCTTCATAATTTAATTTATGACTTACGACTTGTTATTGAGTATCCTCAGGTGGGACGCCTCCAGGTTCTGGGGGTTATTATGGGACTTTCGGAGCCCGTTTGCTGGGTTGAGGTAGTTATGTTAATTATTGCTCGGTTTCCCCTACCAGGGGAAACGTCGGAACGCTTGGGATGTTGACACGGTGGCCTTTTGCCGAAGTGGCGTCCTAGGTCTGAATGACCGCTTAACTACCTTCTCTTGGCAATCGCTGGAGTCTGAATGTATCTCATGGCAGGATGTGTGAAGGGATTGTTACTTTAATTATAGTCATCTTGCTCGGTTATCTCTGATTCAGGGGTAACGTCGGAGGCTTGGGGTATTGACACAACGGCCCTTGGCCAACGTGATATCCCGGTTCCTGGACTGTCGTTTTTGTAACAATCGTTAAACTCAGCACGTCTGACCATACACCTAGCGACCAAAGAGTTAGAGTTAGTCTGTGTGACAACTCCGAGTTAGTCTGTGTGACGACTCCTAGTCAGTCTGTGTGACGACTTAATGATCAGTCTGTGTGACGGTCAGGATTAGTCTGTGTGACGATCCCGTGATTCAGTCGATAACGAAACCGTAGTAGTAGTCGTCGTTTCGTCACCAAGTAAGTGACTTTAAAATTACCCTGACATTGTTGCCTATATCGAATTGTTTACGTACTGCCCATGTAGTAAAAATGAAATGGTACGAGGCGGTACTTCGGATTCTTCTAAGATGAGATGTTTTCACGTTTATCGTTATATTGCTATTATCATATCTCGTTCGTATCCTACAGTTGAAAGGTTCAAAATGACGATTGGGCGCCATTTTGGAACATTTTTTCTAATAGAATAGAGGGTCGTGCGATACCCCATTGTGAAGCTCCTTGCCGGTACTTTATAACCTTAGAATACACACTCGAATTGGCGAACTGGCTGGCTGTCAATGTTGAGTGTTTTTGTTAGAGGCTTTTATTTAGCTTTTTACCACAAGTAAGCGTCTTTGTTAGTATGTTTTAGTATATGTTAGTATGTGTGGGACAACTCTTGAAACTGAACCAGATGACCTTGACCAATCCAGATGAGATTTTGTATAAACGCTTGGTAAATAGACTACTACCCAAGAAAAAGTTACCTATATTTGTCAAATTTTAGTAATTATATCCTTAAATGATATCATCAAAAGTTGATTTGTCTTGAGAGTTAAATCCTTTGTCAAAAATTGGTTACTACATCCTAGGTCTGAATGACCGCTTAACTATCTTCTCTTGGCAATCGATGGAGTCTGAAAGGATCGCATGGCAGAATGCATGTAGGGATTGTTACTTTAAAGTTGTCATGTTGCTCAGATATCTCTGTATCGTAGGTAACGTCGGAGCCTTTGGATATTGACATGGCATATATCCTGGAGCGTGGACTGCTTTTCGTAACAATCGTTTACACAGCAGTCCTATTTGGACTGTGTCCTTTGGCAAGCGATAAGGGCGATACGATCGGATTGTCGGGGCCAATATCTATTTATAGAAAAATGACTTGAGTACCTCCCATATTCAACCGACTCATCACATGCACTACCTTAGCATTACATTAATTATCCGCAGTGGTACCAATTCATCATTATTTACTTTTGATTTATCATATACTGGTCCGCAGACCCTAAGAACAGGGGCACCCCCCCTGGGACACACAGTCCTGGGACACACAGTCCTCCACTTAGGCAATTTTAAGCACACAGCAGCCTATGTGATCAACATATTTTTAAGCAGACAGCACCCTATGTGACATCCAGGCGTATAGACAGATATGCTGAGTTTAACGATTGTTACTAAAAAGATAGTCCAGGAACCGGGATATCACGTTAGCCAACGGCCGTTGTGTCAATACTCCAAATCTCCGATATTACCCCTGAATCAGAGATAACCGAGCAAGATGACCATTTAAAGTAACAATCCCTTCACACATCCTGCCATGAGATACATTTAGATGCCAGCGATTACCAAGAGAGGATGGTTAAGCGGTCATTCATCAGACCTAGGACGCCACTTCGGCCAAAGGCCACCGTGTCAACATCCCAAACGCTTCGACGTTCCCCCTGATAGAGGAAATCGAGCAGTAATTAACATAACCACCTAAACCCAGCAATCGGGTACCGAAAGTCCCATAACAACCCCCAGAGACTGGAGGCGTCACCCCTGTATGTGCCACCTAACTTCCCTATCCATATCCGCAATTATTGAGTCCGTAAGCCAGTGATAGAAATATGAATATATGATCCAAGCATCTTTATAAATGTGGATATATGCGCAAAGCATCTTTATAAATGTGGATACCTATATGATCAGAGCCTCGTTATAATTATGGATATATAATCAAAGCATCTTTGTAAATATGAATATGCTCAAAGTATGATTATAACTAGGGCTATACGATCAAAGCTTCTATATAAATATGGCTTACGACATTCATGATCATGAATATAAAAGTATTATCGTTATCAATCCATGCAGTACAGTAGAATAAAGGAAACATTCAGTGATTGCTCACCTTTCAGGTAACCGAAACACTACACCCAATAGCACATCAACACTATAATCAAGTCCACAAAGCGCACTACTTGGTCGGAGAAGCGATCTCCTCCACGCAATAATTGAACTGCATCGCCAGCCTCGCCCGTATCTTTAAGCAAGTTTATCCTGGGAACAAGTACCCAGAGAAGAAATGGAATGTGTAATATAAACAGGCGTAAGGGTCGTAGCGCTGAGTGACGCTAAGCAGCCTTGTGAACCTTCTGGAAAGGTTTTGTGTGCTACAGGGTTGGACTCGCATGCAAAAACGTGTTTGAGATATTTCGTAAGCTTACAAATGTTTAACCATCATATACAGTGTGTTTCTCAAACATGGAACGAGAATTCATGTTGGATGTCTCTTGGGAGTATTCTGAAACTAATGTATTTGATCTTCTCGATTTGCGAAACACCTCATAAGTTCGTGTAAATCAAAAGATGGTGTCAAGCGATAGGAAAACCAAAGGTCCAACGTTTTTTTGATCTTTTAAAAAATATTTAATTCGCCAGAGACAGACTAGTCATAAACGCAATATACCTGTATTGCTAATTTATCACACTTTGGTATAATAATGACTTAAAAATAATGTTTTAGGAAATTGAAACGTGTCTCAATAGTGGAGACTGTTCTATTTACATCAATGTAATGCTACCACCGCTTGTTTCAAGAAATTCA